ATCCACCTTAACATGCATATAATTGATAGCGTCGTGCGCAATTTTTAAGGCTAAGGTGGCTCCAAAATCAATTGCTTAGAATTTCCAAAGCCGATTAAGAGAGTCAAGCACTTTATGGCTGGATACATAGACCCCGGCGGTATTGACTTAGTCTTACCAATCATTTGCTATATACCGTGCAATGCCTATAAGACAGAAGCGATTGTAGCTTAAATCTGCAGCAGTCTGACACTAAGAAGGCGGATGAGTTAATTCCTTGTTATTTGATAAAACATCAATTAGAGAAGTAGTCTGGTCGATAGAGCTAACTAAGGGTGATGCTACAGGCTATTTAGTAAAGCCAACTTTTGGTATCATCATCCTAAACAGAGCTAATAAGTTGGCACCTTTCTAAGGTTATGCTGCTATAACTGTTATGCTTTTTAAGGGTATGCTGCACCATTCCTTCAAAAAATCTGCTCTTAATGTCTTGTCACATGAATTTCTTCATAAACTTTGTATTATTTAACTTCATTTCATATTAACCATTGCCTTTTTGACAGTGAAATTTCATAACCAATTTTCATCCAAGATTTGTAAAGTAATAGCATAAGTATAAACATGAAATTTACTATTTACCGGTATGTCAGTTTATTTACCAGTACAGGCATAGATTCTACCCTTCTAGCAGGTGTCTTCCTAGAAATCCATTACAAATCAAGTGACTCTATGCCTGTAAACATTATTTAAGGTTAGGTATAGCAAATTGGTGTTAAATGAACAATTATGGTATCTTTGAGTCATCAATAAATGTAAAGCGTATCCTCAATTCTTCCATTAAGAAGGAGCCTGTGTTCCAGACCCCTGACTTCAAAGAAATGGCGCAGCCTGTTTTCCTGTTTTACCCGTGTTCTTTTCCCATGCATTACTATGCATTACTGTATGCTTGTGCAGAGAGAAGGGCTACTCAGGTGTAAAGCGTAAGACCATGCACAGAGGGACAGAAGAATGAGACACTTCATTTACCATTTAGAACATGCTGGCACAAAATTATTTCCTTTTTTGACCGAGGCACTCTAAATCAGGGCTCTGAAAAATTAGGGACTGTGGGGCCCGTGACCTGGGGCCAAAACATCTTCAGGGCCCTTGTTCTTTACAATTTATTTCTTTTTTCTTAGGTGTGGTATGGGGCCCCTTTTGGCAACCATAAGCGCAGGGCCTGAGGCCATGGCCCTCTGGACCCCCGTAAAACCGCCACTGTGAAAAAGGGAAATATTTTGGTGGGGTTTTTGCGGTTTGACTGGAATTTAATTTGACAGAATTTCGAAAACAGTGCAAAAGACAATAGAAGTGGGTGCGGTACTTAGAGTCGATTTATAAAGTCGCATTAACTAAATGTTTCGAAACTTTTAAGTTTCAATGAAGTTCAAGATAAGCCTTGACGTATAAATTGAATCATAACGATAATATAAAAAGGGAATGGAGATCTAGTTTTCTTTCCCTTTCAAAATATGAGAGGGGAACAAGGACTGCACTCATTTCAGGACTCTCTAAACAGATTTGAAAGTAGAGCTCTTCTGTATAAAATTCCTGCCTTCTTTGTCTTGTTTTTTTCAGCGTGAGAAAACCTGTGTTTTTCTTTAAAAGCTCAAAATGTGTTTATTCAGGTAGTGCTGGTTGGCTTAATACGAAATAATTAATACTGTTTTTATCGTTAAGAAGAAATTGATTTATATATAAACATGCTAGAATTGAATTATTTTTCACCGATAATCTTGCTTGTTCATTCTTAATTAAATTCATATGATATCACATCATCAGTAAACCACAAGCTGCGTGTCGTGTTTTCATTATTTCAAAGTTTTTAGCTTTTACATAGGATTAAAACAGTAATTCAAAAACCTACTGCAGGCTTTGGATTCCACTTGGCCACACGTACAAAGCATTTGACACAAACACGAACCCAAACCCCTTATTTGCTTGCTTTAAACAAAGAAATGGTCAGTAAGCCTATGAACTAGCATTATTTCTACAGTAAACTCAACACACAGCTACGGGGGTTGGACCATCTACATAAGAAACGTAAAACCCACTACACAGTTCGCAATTAGTGGTAATATCTGAGCTTTTAAACATGGCATCATCTGCATCATCATAATCATATCGGTAGAAATAATAGTGTGTGGATGGTACAGTGGTTTGTGTCGAGGACTACTGTCTGAAGTTCGATTCTCTTCCATGAACAAACTTCCACTTAGAGTAAGGAGCGTCGCCATCGAGAGGAAGTGCCAAGACATTGCTTGATAAGAATAGATTCTAAGCGTACTGATTCTACCTTTAGCGAGAAGAATTCGGGGGTGTCAAATAATGATTAGATTTTGGTGTCACGCCTTTAAGGTGCCTAGATAATGATGGAAACGTCCGTTTTTAAATTCTGTTTTCAACTTTAAGATAAAAAAGATGAGAAGATGAATAAGGTAAATTTTGCATCATTTTATTACATTCAATTACTATCAAAAATTCTTTTTATCGATTCGAAGCAAAATTTCCCAAAGGACGCCAAAATATTGGGAGTATCACACCTCCCCCACCCCCCTGTAAACCCCTCCTTGCTAACTTCGGATGCTATGTAGTAACAAAAACAAGTACAATGTAATAATAATAATTGTCATAGTAACCATCATCATTATCATAATGACATCTTTTACCAATAAACTCCTGTTTACAAAAAGTGCGAGAGCATTACCCTCAGCAAAGCTGCTTATCTCATTCTCTTACTGGAGGCATCAAGCAAAACGAACGGCCAAAAAATATTATTTTACTTGTTTATTGCTAAACTTGAAAAGTTGAAGAGACATGTTTAGTCACAAAAAGAAAGCAAATCATAAGCCCATGAAAAGTATGACCGCGTTCTTTTTGATCCATTCTTTGTCAATTTTCAGTAGCGACTTTTCATTACATAGAGTCTGTTTTTGCAAAAACAATCTATTCTGGCGGCTCCAGAAATTTCTAACAAATAATCATTTGAAGAATTGTTTCTACACAAAACTAACTACCTACCGCATATATCTTCTACACTCGTCGACAAAACATTAGACGAAGGTCACTATGAGCGCCACCAGGCTTTGCATAATCATAATTACATTTTTTGCAGACTTCAGCTTTTAAAGGAAAAAACACATCCAACACATGAACATATCCCGTCTCTTATTCAACAGATTCCTGTTTAGCAAAATCAGTTAAAAGAGAAAAACCATTAAACTTGGTAGGGAGACGGAAGGACAAATTTTTCTGGAAAAGTAGTGCTTTGACTGACTTCCAAAATAGGGACTAACTTTTGTTTTCCCCAGATATGGCTCATTATTCAAAATAAAATAATATTACAAAGAGGGGCTCGTATAGTTTACAATGTTTTAAACGCTCGACATTCAAGCGAATCAAATGGTCGTTTTGATTAAAATCTTGTCTGCTGCTGCGAGGAATTTGTTTGATTTGCTGTTTCTTAAATGGAGTATACAGTTACTTTCAATGCAGTATATAAAAAACCATGGGGTGTCTGGGTCCCTCAAAAAAGTCCCAAAGGGTGGCTCGAGCCCCCTATCCCCAACGTAGGTTGGTACTTAAACTTTGGATTTCATTTTATCAGATGTAAAGAGACAAGCGTTATCTGTAATGAAAAATTGCATGATTATGACGAGGAGTGTTTGAGGGTTTCAAATCTTTAACACAGACACTTGCAAACCAGATAATCAGAGATTTGTGTCTTTACATTGATCAGATAAAGCAAAGATTCTTTAGAAAAAATTTTAACTACATTATGTTATTTCCTTGAAAGTAGTCAAGAGAAAAAGGAATTTATTTCATATCCTAGACGATTTCTAAAACATACTTTGACTGTCGCTTGGGGGAAAGTTCCAAAATTTTCAAATGACTTCAAAAATAGATAGAGAAGGGAATTCAAGAGATTAGTTTAAAGAAGTGCGTGTAGTCACGAGGACTTCGGCCCGCGGGCCAACTCCGGCCCGCAGCAAGTTTTTATCCGGCCCGCCGAGCGCTTTATCTAAAACAATATTTTTAGCTTCGCTTTGAAAATTTTGAATTCGATTTACTGTTGTTTTTGGACTGCTCTAATATTTTCTTTTTCTCTGCAGTAAATGATAATGTGCATCCCGTTGACCAGTTATTGGTCCAAAAGGGAGTACGAAAATGGGAAATGTTTTATTTAATCATTTAAACGTTTTAAAGCAAAATATGTTACTGCTTTCGTTGAATTTAATAGGTCGTTGACAAACTCACCATGACCTCACCCCTTCCTCCGCTTTCTGAGATCCAAGGCCCAAGGCCAAACTTAATCTTTAGTTCATGAAGTTCTACCCTGGGTACTGTAGTAACCTAATTGACTATGCGCAGGAGCATTACTTTATGTGACCCATGTTTATATAGTTTCAGATTACAGTTGATAGTATTACAGTTATGTGTGTAGGCCGTTTGAAGTTAATATAAAGTTATCGTTCTGTTCTGTTCAACCCATGCGTTGTTCTATCTCCTTCACATCTTAACAGGTACCAGATTCACAATATAAAATAATATATTTTATTTTATATATAGTGAGTCTGGTACCCAGGGTAATGAATACTTATTAGCGTATATGTATGAGGCAGCGTGTGTGGACTAGGGCACTGGCTAATGCTTTATTGCCAAACTGGATTTTATTTATTATTTCTTTCCATCTTATTTTGGTTTCATTCATTTGTAAAAGAGTTGATTATTCGCTGTTATGCTAAGATATTTCTAAAATTTTTGAAGACCCTTTCTTTTCATGTCAACATTAAAATAGATAAAACTATGGAACCGTTAGCTTTTCTCCCGTCAAATTCAATTTTAGATGCAGTTTCTGGCCATCCCTAGATTATCATAATCTAAAACTTTTCTTGCCGCCAACCATTATCATAATCTAAAACTTTTCTCGTCGCCAACCATGGTGGCGACCTTTTATAATACAAATACAATCATTAAATTTTGTCCCCACTTTGAAATACGTTTCACCGTCCCTGGATCCGACTTCAAGTGCAGTAAGTCGACCAAACGAATATTAACGTCGTTATCTAAAAATAGCATAACGGCCTTGGGCGTGTAAATCTGTCGAGTATTGCACATTGAGCCAATCCCTCTAACATCAAGCCAGCATCATGTTCCTAAATGTTATCATCGCCCCCCCCCCTTTTTTTCTCCTCTTATCCACCATTCCAAAACTTATTTCATGAAAATAAGCGCACTACATAGATTTTATGAATATAGAATCTAACAAGAACTCTACTTAAATGATTTTTGAAGACGGCTACACACTGCTATACTTCCAAACAGGAACAGGCCTTAAATGCTACAGAATACTAAGATAAAAAGACTCAGGAAAAATAGTACACAAAATTTTATCTTCTTGTTGTTGAACAAACCAATTATTGAACCAAGCAATTTAAATATTCTTGATAACCTAGTCAAGTTGCTCTACCTCAGCACGAGAAACCATAATGTGATATTATACCAAACACTAATTTTGAAGGGAATTTTCAGGCGATAACTATAAAAGATACCTTAAAATCGGACAAAAACTCCCAAACACTGTGAAAGGCTCTCACAAATACCAATTTATCACTTATCACTAAGCCCTCATTTGCTCTTCTACGATGACACTCCTCAGACTCAATTCTTCGATTTTCCCTGATCAGGAAGTACAATATATAGAACGGCATATCATTAATCAGAAATTCTGCACAGGTAACTGGGAATTACTTCATTGAGCGATCATTTGATATAAATAGAAAAAGGGAACGTATTTCAATTGCAAGGAATTTCTAAACTTTGTGTGGAGGATTTCGAGTAATTATATACTAAAGCCACTTCTTCCTCAAAAGGTGGCTGTGTAACAATTGGCTGGTCTTCAACCCTTATTAAATAATATTTAAGCAACAAATATTCTGCTTAGAAAAGTTACCAAGAATGTGTTCCTATCCCCTATTCTCTTTGCGCATGTTGTGATTTCTTGACATGAAACCGTCCAAATCGCGCGGTGCATTTTATGTCATGACCTGAGGCTGTTTCGCAGAGAGAACCACTGCATCTGGCAGGAACAGCGATTAAAAGTGTCCATATTCATTGCAAATGTATAGTTCACTAACGATGTAAGACGTGGGGGTGTTTCTCTGGGTGGAGCCTGCTGTAGCTGCAGCATCTCGATAGCATTCATTCAGTGTTTGAATACCGTGCATATATGATGAACCACTACATACCTCACGATGAAAGATAATGCAAGGTTGATAATTCGGAAAGCTAGTTGCATCGATATACGAAGACTGATTCCAAGAAACATTGCATCGAATTGCACTGAAGCAGTTAAGAACCACCTTATATTTAAAGCGATCTACTTAGTACGGCTGATACCGAGGATACGGAAACGGATACCGGTACGACTCAGTGCCATTACTGCTCAATGCGTTGTTCTAAAAGAAGATAAAATTGAAATGTTTTCAAAAGTAATAATGTCTGGGGAAACAGTTATCGTAAAGTTATTCTCTGTTCATTCAAAGTTTAAGCTACAAGGCAGTGTAAAGGTTTTGTTGCTAGTGACAAATCTGCATCAGCAACATGTTAGAAGAGAAATCAAATTCGCTGTCTGTTAGCCTAGTCTTTGGATATACTAGCTCCAAGCAAACTTATTGTGGATGGCTTTATGTTAAAAAATATATAGCAAATGTAGTTACTTTCTCTAAAAACGTCTGCCACTCTAAACATTCTTATGAGCACTAATATGAGCTGTGTAACAGTAAATGGTGCAACATTTCTGTGACCTAGGTTCTTCAAAACTCTCCTAATGCCACTTTCAAGAACATACTATTTTTTCTTTTCATTAAAACTGTTTTTGTCTAGCAAGTGTCGTTGTTACATCTTTTTAGATCACTTTAGATAATCGCGAAGAAAATAATGCCTGTTGAGTGAACCTATAATACGGAGCATAATGAAACCTTTGGGGGCCTAGCTGACCTCAAGGGAGGTCAGGCTAAATACCGTGTTAAAGCAATCACAACTAAAATTATTATCTAAATCTGGTTTCTAGTTATGAGACAGGTTTGTGGTCAAAATACTCCTTCTATGAATTAAAGAAAATCCTTATACAAATGTTCTGAAGTTGATAAAGGTCAGTTTGAAAATATGAAAGACGACTTAAACCTTTGCAGAAGCTGTTTACCAGAAATTTAGAAAATTTAATTAGAAAAAGGCTTTTGCAGAAAAAGCCCACCAAGTAACAAAATCTGATCCCTCAACAATACATTGGCAAAATAGCAAAAACTTAAACCCTTGAAATCAGGCCACCCCATGACAATGTTATTGATCATGTCTAGGATTCAAATGATGCCAAATGAGGATTTGGTTCACCCGAGTTGCCAATAGCTCAATAAATCCAGAAGACATTATAATCTTTTTTAAGCCAATAAAAATAGTAGAAAGGAGGGGATTTTCAAACCCATCATATAATTAGATCTGCATAGAAAAGGTTTTCGTAATTGCAAAAACAAAAAACAACTTAGACTGCTGCGAACAAGGATGGGTCTTTTTGAGGGGCAAATCACTCTAAGAAAATCTCGTACACCTTTCGTGAAAATCTTATTGTTTTATCTGAAAATCCCCAGAAATACTTTTTTTTTAGGCAAAATCTCGTACGCTATTTGCAAGAGTGAATCGCTTCTCGGGTCTTTTAGTCAAGAAGCTAGTAGTTGCGATAATTCCGAGAGGCGAATGTTGTGGCATAAATGTTTGCTCATCATTAATAAATAAGTATCAACACATTTCGAAAAACGAATCACAGGGTGACTGATTCAAGACTTGGCTGGGGCCATATAAAGAAACAAATCCAAATAGGAATGTAGGGTGTTTGGACTAATGGCACTACAACATTTTAAATTTGAAACGTAGTGGAAGAATCCCTCTCGAATGGTTTAAAGTTTAAGAGCCAGCTTAAAAACAAGTGTATTCAAAATTACCAAGGCCTCGTGTGTATCTTAAATAACTTCCTCAAATTGATTGCATTTAAACTTGGCCTATGAATGAATCAGGTGGAGTGACCGAACTTTCTTGCTAAAGCTAAGTACTGCATTTCAACAACCTTGGCTTGCAAATGCAGTTGCGATGATCTGCAGGTAATTTCATTCTGACTCTTCAGACATAAAATTGTCTTCAGCTGGGTACGTTGTATATGTATTAGAATAGAATGCAACTGATAGACCAACCAAAATTTCTCTCTTATTTTTGCTTCATTGGCCACAAGCATTGGCAACAAGCTAGGAACCCACACCTGGCGCTCGGTTTTAACTGACATGAAAAATGTAAACAGTGTTCCGGCTTAAGCATGAAAATACTTCGAGAGGTCAGAGAAGGCAGCAGGATTGCCCTTTAAATCTACACTCCATTAATAGTCAGAGAAAATTAGATTGTTCAAGCAGACTTCGCTGGACAAAATGTGAAACCTCATCGTCTATCATTTTACGACAGATGCCAACATTGGTACAAGCAAAAGTGATGTATTGCTTGTAAACCGTGCACAAAGGAGGCAAAAAATTTCAATAAGAGACTAACGATAATGCGCATACTTTCCGCATTAAAATTAATATCTAGCTAATCCTTCTATATGATAAATGTAGTGCTGCTCTGAATGAACTAGAAAACGATCGAATGAAAAAAAACGAAGTAACGAACAAACCAATGATCGTACGCACGAAGGAACACACGAATGTACGAACGAAAGACAAAGAAACAAATGTAGAAGTGAATTAGTGGAAACGCACCAGATTAGAAAAATAATTTTTTTCAACGATAGCTTTTCCTGACACGGATATCACTTCATTCCCTTTACCAACAACAGCATTACATCTACAATCTTAATTATTAACGTCATCGTGGATTTGGAATTTTAGTCGATAGTCAATATGAAAACTGTATCTTTTAGGTAACATTGTACCTCCATATCTTAGGAGCCAAACCATGGATTTATTTCCTTGCAGCATGTATCCAGGTCCTACCCCTATTTCCCCTATACCCTAGCAAATTAAACAATCTTCGTGTCAAACAAATGTATCTTGACGATGAATGGGCACTTTAGAGATCAAATGCGCAGAACTCACCTGGTACGACTGTTGATAAGGCGTATAACTAAAAATGGAGAAACAAAGGCTTTAGACTTTGAGTATATAGTTTCAAAAAACAGTAGGTAACCAAATAAATTTGAAAAACGCTAGCCAGGAGTGTGACATCGTAAATAGTAAGCTAAAGATGCATATCAAGTTTTGCAATGGATATTTTGGAATGCAATTATCCCTTGTCCCTCTACTATTTAAGTAGCCTATGAAAGCTTTTGGTATCTTTTTCGATTTCGACACAATGTCGTAGAAATGTCGTTTCCCCCTCAAGACGCATAATAAATCAGAAAGACCATCTCTAGTTATTAGGGTCGTTGAAGGAAAGCATGGTTAAAAATCTTTACCACGGGCCTTAAGAGTTACCTGTTTCTGTAATATTGTCTAGGATAAGCCACTTCATTCCAGTACCCCTGCAAAAGAAAAAATTACATATTTAAGATAAAAAGCAAAATACACACAAAAAGGAAAAGTTGAGAAAACAACGTTGTTTCATGTACTGAATGTCTTTATCAATTTAAGAGAACGATTGTTTTAACTTGCGTAAACGAAGAAGCGTTGCAGCTAATCACGTGATATGAATCGATCTCTAGTTGTATCTAGTTGTAATTAAACCAAGTTGTAATCTAGTTGTAATTAAACCAAGAACGACAAATAGGAACGGCGTACTCTTCGAGAATAACTGCGTAAATCTTGCGTAGCAGTTCACCACATGGAATGGTTTCCATTGATTACCACAAGGATATTTCAACCACATAACAGTAACTTTTCAGCGATGAACACTTTTAATACCTTTACTGTGTGTAGGAGCAGTGGTTTAATGTGGAAGACTTTTAATAGCTGTACTGTAGAAAGAGTGTGTAGCAGCAGTGGAAATTATGACAACCTACAAAGTGTCGCAAATCAAGTATCCCCTAATTAAGTAATACTGTTTTAAAGAGTAAGCTTTTGTTAAGTCACGGAAGCATTTCGCAATTGGCTACATAAATGCGTCATGAGCTATCAGTCAGCGAGTGATTTATAAACAGGTTTTGATACTTAGGGCACTGAAGCTGACAAAGTGGAGAATTGAATGACAACCTCATGTAAATATCGTGAAAAACCGGAGTGGAGGGAGGGGGGATTGTTTTGCGAGACGTCATTAAGGCAGAACAATTGAAGATCCAGTTTGTCTTACTCTTCTTAAAAGTTGACTATATACTGAAATATATAAAAATGAATGTTTAACGGTCTGTCATGAAGTGCTCAATGCCGTGTAGGCAGGATTGTACACGATTTTCGTGTATAGAACAGGGCGGTTCAAAATTGCTTCTGAGTTTCACGCTTAATGCGATCATTAGAAAGATACTTTATATTTAAATAACAACCTTATACGTTACCAATATCTAGTTATAAAATATTAACATAGAAAATATAAATAACTATTTCACATTGTAGAATGGCAAAACACTTACGTAATTGCTGCCGTAGAACTGGCTGTGAATACAAGACAAAGAAAATAAGCAATGCATTTTATTTGGGAATGACTGACGTTTCAAGCAACAGTGGATAAAACTTTAGTTAGACAAGACAGAGGAAAGAATCAAGGTAAAAAGACTTTGTTAGATTTGCTATAAAACAATAATCTTTGCTAGCTTAAAATTCTGGTCTTTTGGGGCATATTTAAACTATTTCAAATTGTTTGTCATTTTACAGGTTGCATTTCAACTTCTTATGATTGTTTGAAATATTGAAGCGGTCAAACATTCAATATATCATTTCTTATTTCAAGTATTTCAAAATGTAGAGATATTCAGCATAAATAGATAAAAAATAAATTTCATTTTGATCTAAAAAATTTGTCACAGTCGCATCTTATGAGTAAACAGTACATGAAACATATGAAATAAAGACTATCTTTTAAGCAAGTAATATCTTCAGCTATCGATTCCTTTTTGCACCAAACATTGACTGCAAACAAAGCATCTGGAAATCGAATAATGACTAAATACTTTTGATTCTGATATGGTCCAGTGTATGCTCGGTGTTCAGAGTTGTTAATGTGGCCTCTGCCTCGATAGACTCTTCCCCGAAATGTTTCAGCTAAAGAAAAAGTAAAAAGTCATAAAATTCGTCTCGAGCTATATTAAATAGATACCACATCTTCCAAATGCTACAAAGAGCCACTGAAAAAATACATGGAAGTCAGCTTCACACATATACAATCATTGCGGGTCAACTGCTAATGAAGAGATACCATTGAAAAGTAATTTTGAAAAGTAAAACATCAAAACAAATAGAACTTACGTCGTGATTTATTTGACTTCGGAGTTGCATTGTTCACCTGAAATTTAGCAACACAAAAGTATAAGAAATGTAATTTCCACCTTTTCCAAACTTAAAAATCTTGGTACTGTCAAACGATAAACAAACAGTTTACTCCTGATTAAAGCTGCTTTTATGGATAAACCCTTAAACTCACCTGTGGTTAGTTTTGCAAAGAGAGTTTGCACCACATCATTCTAGATGGTTAATTTGAAGTTATCTAGCCACTTGATGGATAGCCTTTCAACACTCAAGACTTCAATTCTAATATAGCATATATATGCACTTTCATTATATCATATTTGACAATTATATGTCTCTTAGGCATAGAAACATCTACCTCTCCCCCTTGGCTTTTTACAGAATTATCGAAGATCTGCTGCTTTTTACTTGAACCTCCCAATTTCAAAGATGGAAGCCTTGAAACTAAATTCTCGAAATTGTTCAAAACTGTGTCATAAATGGCTACAAAATATGCACACGCGTTTACCTCAACAAAGATGGCACATGAACTTGTCTTGGCAACAGAGAAATGTAAATAAATTTGAAAGAATTATACCTCTATTCTTCTACCATCAAATGCTTTGCCATTTAGTGCTTCTCTAGCCTTTCTGGCACCAGATGATCTTTCCATTGTCACAAAGCCAAATCCCTTGATAAAACACAATATAAATTACTAAAGTTTTATTGCATGCAAATTTGTATCCTGTATAACTAGAACTTTCACTAAGTTAGGCCAACTTGTAATATTGTATTGGAACTTCCTACCTTATTTGAACTTAATGTCCTACCCCTGATAAGTCAGAAATTTGCAAAAACAGACAATTTTCTTAACCCCCACCCCGCCCCATCCTGAAGGTCAGACTTACCAGGATTCAACTGTATTGAAGAGAAGACAAAAAACAGTCTAGTAATGGGAAATTCAATCATATTGGAAGATTTTTGCATTCTTCTTTAAATTTAAAGATATATCAAGCCCACTATTGATAAACAACCCAACATATAACCAAGAGAGGTAAACAAAGGGGTAAAATGTCACATGTTGTAGCTTTTCAGGTTTGCACAAAGAATTAAAGCAAACAATTTAAAAATGATAAAACATCATGGGCATTACTTGTTTGGCTGAAACAAAAATAAATTTATCTCATATGCATGGATGTAGAAATATAGCCTGATACTGGGAATCTCAAATAAGCATATCTATCAAATCATAAATAAAACTGCAAGAAAATTAAGAAACATAAAACTGTTCGAGAGAGTACTTTAAATGCCAAAGATCTTGATTCTTCTTGTTAATAGTCACATAACAGAGAAACTTGTTTGGCATCTTCTTTCAAAAGAGTGGAGACTCTAATGAAGGCCTCCCGGGCAAAATATTGATTTATTTCATCTGTAAATATTTTTGTTTTTTGAGTCAATTTCCACTTTTGTTCTATCATTCCTTTTAAATTTTTACTGTTTATAAAGACTTTCATTTCAAGATTCAGAGAGAATCTGAAAGGAATTCTATTTGCCTTTTTACTGTTGGCATAAATTAAAAAAGCATTCCATTATATCTAACAAAAACATACCTTTGATCCTCTATCGTTATAAATTATCTCAGCATCAATTATAGCTCCATACGGCTGGCAATATAAAGATTTAAAATGAAAAAAGATAAAATCACAAGAAACTGGTAAACAAAAAGGCAAATTTGAATCATAGGCTACAAGTTTAATATCTGTATTTTCTTAAAGTGAAAGGAAAATGAGCCAGAGAGTTTATGATGATGAAAACATCAGTAAAACTATCAAATCTTTTCTGCCCTTTCAAAAAGTAAACTTTAACTACAATTTTCACTTAAGCTGTTAAAAAAATAACAAATTACCAAAATACCCACAAAAATATTTGTATAAAATATGTAAAAATTAAATATGTTTTGAAGAAAATTTAAGAATAGCATTTTGCAAAAATATCAGTTATAAGAAAATTGATGAATATAAGGTAATATTGGTAAAATATTTTTGCAAAAATATCAGTTATAAGAAAATTGATGAATATAATGTAATATTGGTAGAAAGTTTGTGACCAACCTCAAACTCCTTCCTAAGATCATCTTCTGTAAACCTAAATGGGATATTGGTAACATGCAATCTTCTTGGTCCATCATTTACTTGAAGTAAAGGCTCATCTTGGCCATCAACACCATTGCTTTGTGCCTGGATATTAAACAAAAACAAAAAAGATACATAAATGGATCTTCTATCAGTCATTTAATGACTTTTAAAAAAACGAGAAATAGGTTTAGCTGTCTGCTATTGCTCTGAGGGGAGAAACGGATGTGAACCCTTGATCTGGGTGCTTTTTGCAGCCTTTGTTTAAAAATATAGGAACCTACTTTCACAATAAGTTTAGGTAACTTCATGTAATCAGTCTAAGGTCCACCAGTATGCAGCATGAGAAAAGGGCTCAGAAAAATTTGGTATACCCTTTTCTTTTACCATGGCACAATGTTCAATGTAGACAACAGCCAAAACAACTTGGTTAGTATCTTTTCAAAACAAGGTGCTACACAGATTTTAAGTTTCTGCATAAAAAAGGAGTAAGTAAAGGAATTCATTGTATAGATTGGGCTGCGACTCCTTGAAGATTTCAGACAACCAATATTGATGCATTTGAAACAATCAACCCACTTGTAGCCTTTGATCAAGGGAAAGCTATAATTTTGTCCTCCAATTTGAGCCACTGTGTGCTGTGCTGGGATTTTGATCATTTACAAAAGACTGGAAACTGTTCGCATGATATTATCTGTCCCCAAATTAGAATTGGTAAACCATTGGCATTTCAGTGGCTGTAAGCCACTTTTACTGGGGTAAAATGCCTTGAATATGGATTCTTTTTATGTGACTATCAATTTTACTATAATGTTTATTGACTGTATTTTTATTGTTTTTAATTAGACTAAGTTTTCTGACACTAGGATACTTTTGACAAAGGCTTTCCAAGAGACCTTTTTTGGGTTTTTTCTTGTTATCAGAAGTCAGAAGTTTAAATGATGGAATAATCGCGGGGAACATGACCAGAAAAACAAATATTGTGTGCATAATCTATGCAAGATTCTTGATAATGCATGGGCGGAAGGAAGGTTAAAAATTATTGCGTGAACGTGTTCCCCACGCAGACAAAACTTTTTAGTCTGGGTGTGTTTTGGGGGCTAGAGATTCCTAAAGGAACAACTGTAGCCCCATAAGTGGACATAGCCATTTTTATTTAGGCTACCTTCAACAAAAAAGTTTCTTTCCAATTCACTTATGATAACAAATCAAATTCAAATATATTCATGATACCTATTTATAGGGTAATGTTTCACTTATCATACCTATTTACGTACCCATTGTACGTAATACCTATTTATAGGTTAATGTACTGTAAGTAATAGATAGATATTCGGCTTCAACTGTGTATGATACTATAGGCCTAGGCTTACTCTATTATTGCCATTTGCTGGCCAATCATTGCGCTAAGATTAAATACAATAATAGTAGACATTCGAAGGATTTCCTACACAAAACACTGTCATTTAGATTTGTTACAGACGTCTATTCTATATTGAGCATTTAACTTTTACATCGCATATAATAACTAGTTTTTTAACATCAGATTAGGCCAAGAAGAAGTCAGATTGCTGCTGTTCATACCTCTTCTTCCTTGGTTCCACTCATTATTAAATGTCCCTCTGATAAAAACGTAACTTTCCTTGATGTGCAAGACACCTAAGATCTTTCTAAAAGATATATTCTCGTGATCTTTTTTGGCATTTGTGCTGCATACCTGTACTACGAGACTGGAACACAGGACACAGTACACCGAACGTGAATCTGCAGCAACAACCACTAGTGCGCGCGGACCGCTGAACTCTGCAGAACGCGGAATGGAATAGCAAGGCTGAAGGGCTACAGAGGAAAGAAGATTGACCGCTATCCAGGGACGGCGAAAGCGGGGGGGGGGGGCTGAGGGGGCTGAGGGGGCTTTGGCTCTGAGGGGGCTGAGGGGGCTTTGGCTCCCAAGTAATTTCCAAAATGTACCTTATTCCATGCAAAAATTGCCTTGCTCTTGGTTGATTTATTGCAACAAAAAGTTAATACTTCCTTATAAGGTCAAGGGTAAATTGTGATCAGGTGACCCTTTTAAATTACGAAAAGGAAATGTTTTTCAACGGAATGTACTCAAAAATGGTCTTAGTTACTGTTGTGAAGCAAAAACTATAACTTGTGCTGTATCCAAATGGAAATTTTCCGTCTTCTCCTTCGCAGAGGCATTCCGCTGAGTGTTAACTTTTTCACCCCAGTTTTCACCCCAGTTTTCACCCCTTAGGTCTCAACAGATCGCCGTTCACCATCATTTTTCTGAACCCCTACATATATGGGTACCTGAAAATAACCACAGCAATTTGTCCGCTTCCAGGTGGTGTACCTACCTCAAAATTAACCTGGTCCAACTGTGTGTGATGAAGTAAACATTTCGCATCTCAGGAAACTGCTGACACAGCCTACCATGTACTTCCTTCTTTCTAACCATCACCTATATATACCCCTTTAGAAAAGTAGTTTTAGAGTACGTGTCATGCTGTAGGTGCTTGTGAAAGGTCTCAGCATAGATCTCATTATAACAAACCGTCTGAAGATCAGAAGTTGTATTCTCTGTTGTATCACAGTGGTGGCGCCAGAAATCTTTCGACAGAGGGGTTGGAGCTTGAATTTCCTCTGATGGGGGGGGGGGCTAGATGCTTCTGACGGAGGGGCTGTAGCCCCCCCTAGCCCTCCCCTGGTGCCACCACTGTTGAATCATGCCATCGCCGAGACTCGCTGGATCCTGGGGACGGGTTACAAAATGCTCAGCGGTCCTAGCCGCTACCCTCTACCCATAACCAGTCAGCATATGACATAAATGACAAGGCACAATGTAGATAAACATAAATTTGGATGCAGTTGACTAAACTGAACTAAAACCTCCTCTCCTTTTGCAGATACTGAAATAGCATTAACTTTCAAAATGGCCCAAGTTAATAGAAGGGAGGACTCCAGCTTTAAATCAATAAAATGCACGTTAAAGTATTGCTGCTAGCATAAGATTACTGCTTCTCAAAGAAATCTAGAGCAACTGATACGTTAGCCTGTGTTCCACACGGCACAGACCTCTACTTACTGGTCTGGAGCAAAGGCTACTGATACTTGCGTGCACCTTGTTCCCTCTTGACAAATTATTTATTGAATCAAAGATAGTCGTTAACGTTAATACTGTTTCCAAGATTATTTCACTACCGAGCGTTTTGTTGGTTTCCCTTATAATTTGCATTCTTTTCTTATAAAATAATTTCCCTTATAAAAACTGAAAATTTGCAAGATACGAAGTTGAATCCCAGAAGAGAGCTGCTGATTTTGGGGTCATGCAAGGCTCCCAACCCGAGCTTCTTTTCGCTTTGGGATTATTATTCCTCTCCCCTTATGACAAAAAGCCTAAGTATCATTGTATGCGAGAATGTAATAACCCTTTGCATATATTGCATTCTTTATTTTTGTTTAAATAGCCCCGAAAAACACGACATATGAATCAAGCCAATGAATTTACTTTCTTCGGACTGAAACAGAAATTTGTTGATTCTTACCTCTGCTCATTTGACACTCATAAGCTGCAAATCCCATAACCAGGCAAACTTTATCGCATTTTAGACTCCATTTCGAGCAGTTTTATCCCCATTCAGCAATGATATTCGAACAAGATCCATACTAGGTCCCCTCAAACATGGAAAATATCCAAAATCCATTAATTGTCCTACCATCAGCCCGTGACTGCAGCAAAATTTAATTATTTTGGTTTTTTCAAAATATGTTTAAAGATATCATTCTACAAAACAGTCAAAGCTTAGGTCCATCTTTTGTCGCTGCTTCCTTGTGTCCTGTTGCATGATCATGATAGATAGTGGGCAGGATATGGGGAGGCTTCATACTTTGTCAATCCCCATTGTTATAAATGCCTCTTTCATTTCCAAGTCATCAACGACAATATATTAGCAGATGTCACATTTGCCCTTCATAAATAGAATGCAGCAACACTTCTTTGTTTTATATTTTCTATGATGCATTTGCTTTACATTTTTAAGCATTCGTTGCAGATGTTGTTGGAAGGGAAGTTTCAAGTCTTTTAGCTGTGTCTGTAACCTTCTTGGAGCTTCCATCATTATAATGATCTGCAAATACACCCTTTTCACGGAGAATGTTAATCCCATGAACATGAACCTTTCACACCAAATTATCAAGATTGTGCATATCTATTGCAGAGACAAATTGGGTTTCTCCATTGCAGATGCATTGTGCATATATGACGCTCCATCTTTGCATATAATGTGCAGAACATCACTTGCACCTTTCAGAAGCCTCTGTTTCTTCTTTTTCTCTTGCTTGGCAGCATTTGCTTATTTTTTCCTTGAACTTTTCTGTTTCATAACAAGAGCAAGAAGTACTCTTTATCTTTAAATCAATTTTACCTGAAAGGCTAGCAAGTTTAATAATTACGTCCATTAAAATATCTATTCTGTGGGCACAAAATTCCAAGGCAGTTCTTCATTGTTCTGAAATAGGTTTGCTCTCCTTTTTTCACTTCTTTCAGAAAAACAGAGGCTTTTTCACAGGGACTATCTAAATTCTAAACACTTTATTAAAGCATGGGCAGCACTAATGTCGGAGGATTTAGATGTTATCAACGCATCAACAACCTCCCAACATTGATTTATTGGCATTGCCCATCCTTGATGCTTGAGGAGTGAGGAGATTGCTGTCTCAAGTTACATTACAGTTTGATACTCTAGCTGGCAACTGAGGTATGAATTCAAGGAAAGTTTATAGTTGCACATTTTTCTCAGGAGCAATGTGTTGAAAGATTGATAATTGGTTCGTATAAGTATCAACAAAATGTACATTCTGTGCAGGTACAGGTAGGTTGTGCTCCGGACCAGTGGCGTAACCACGGTTGGAAGATTGGAGGGGCAAAAAGGTACAGAATTGTGTGAAAAACAAAATTGTGTTTGTGGAGCGTCATTTGATAGCGATGTAATATATAATGTTTTGAAAACTTAAATATTGTAAAACCACTTAAAAGGGGGTTTTACCAACGTGAGTTCGTTGTAGGCAGAAATGCTCAAAAATGCGAAAACGGCGGATAAGATCAAAATTCTTCTTTTTACGGCAATGATTCGACTAACGACTGAAAACAACAAGTTAAATAAATAACGGCACGGCTTCAACAGGCACGACAAAACTAGCGACAGAGCTTCTAGCAGTACGGCGAAAGTTTCGACAAGACTTAACCTAACTTATGAAACAACCCTCTATATACCGTTAGCAGAACCCTTGAAATAATAATTACGTAATTCCAAAAAACATATTCGCAGACGCTGATGCAATCACAGCACGATGATGCAATTGTCACGTGACATTGTTTGTAAGCGAACCCTGTGTCGTAACAATATCGTCTTTTTTTCGAGCTATGCCCATAAGACGGACGAAACTGCTGATGATAAAGCAAGTTATACATCTGCAAAATTTAAATTCGAAACTGGTGACATGATTTATTTTTTGCTCTGAATCTTTAATGTTCTCTGATTTAAACAGGCTCCTGCTTTGACACTATCAATTTCGTACTTCGTGTATGTGACTATGAAGTTTCTTGAAAATTATAATTCCTCTACATCGAATGCCTTTCTATATCTATAATTTCTATATCCAAATAAGTCTTTGTTTAATTTGAGCGACATATCTATTATTTTTTTCTTTGTTTCAGCATTTAAACTTTTACTTGTTTTTACTTTAAATTCTTTTTTCCATTAAGGTAACATTTCAGAACTGCGCAGATTTCAGAACAGCTGTTTAGAACTGCACGTTTTGTGTAGAACTGCACGTTAAAAAAAACCCTACCCCCAGTCCCCCATGGCGCCGCTATTTGTATACATTAAGTCATAAACAAGTCAGGTCGCTGAAGTTTAGGAAGTTTGGTTACCGTATATGGATGCTGATAAATCAAAGCCCTAAGCAGAGGGCTAAGTCACGCAAGTCTAGCCTTGGACCCCAACTGATTTTATGACTGCTTCTTTTTTAAACTCCATATGCGCAGTCTCGCCCTTTAACGTATTTCTGCTTACACCACTGAACAGTTGGCTTTTGCTAAATGATTCGAGGTATTTTTACCATACAATGAATCAATGGGCAATTTCAAGCTACCCAATGAACGTCATTGGAAAATCTCAGGTCGCAGCTGTCGCCCCACTTTCCCACCCAAGCAGGACAAGGACCCCAAGCTTGTCTTCTACTACCAAAGGTTGCGGAGGAGCTTCTACAAAAAACAGGTTGTTGTCGTTCTGCTCATTATTGCTGTGGCAACTGCTTGAAACAGGCCAAGATACGGAGTCATCTATTGCTGAATATTCATGAGTGTGAGTCTTTTCGAACATCTTTTCCATTGAATTTTGATTAGAGTTTCTCTTTTTTTATTTAAGCATCCTTAGTTCAGCTCGTTTTTTTCATTTTTACTCAGCGCCAAGCTTGTAAATTGACTTGAATAAAGCGCTCCTTCCTCTACTACATAGGCCTGTTAAGTTTATTGTATTCCTTGAATAACCATTTACTGAGAAATATCATGCATGAAAATCCCAAGGATTGACATAAGTGAGGCTCCAATAAGCTTTAGTAGAATGAAAATTTAGAATACCGCGAGAACCCCTTCACCTTTGCAATGCAATTCATAAGCTAATTGTTAGATCCCATTTTTGATTAATAAAATTACTTTAAGCTCCTTGTTAGTAGCTCATAGACTAACTTATATGCTCTAACTGGATGCAGCCAAGGTAATCATTGTATGTATATATGTGCTAGGCTATAGGTTCTGCACCAGCAAGCACCGTATTGACACCTTTTGGAAGCCATGCAGAATTCAATAATGTGCAATGCCAGGCCATGAATGAATATTTCATCTTTTTGCATCAACATGCTTCACTGCTGATGGAAAACAAGACACAGGGGCAAGACAGTCAAATTGTTTGTGGGAGGGGGAGGAGGGGGGTGCATATCTTGGAGCAAAAGATGAAAAATCTAGAAATTTGCTGATTTGCTGATTAATCCAAAGCTGGGAGGTTCTTCTCTGCCCCTGACAAGAAAGCGTATTGGTATCCATCACTGCCAGACAGCTCTATTTAAAAAAATGAAGTAAAGGTTGACAGTTCTGATAAGCAGTTTCTTGAAGATTTTTCTTGTTTATTAAGAGTAAAACAATCTTGTTTAAGTGCAATGTGTTTCCTATGGGAAATAATTATAATTTGTCTTTTATAGGTTATGCTGATATTCAATTGAATAAAGCTCAGGATGCAAAGAGTGTGATTATTTGAGTAGAAAGATTGTGTTTGTTGTGATTTAAGTTACTCAGCATGGTAAGTTACATGTTAAGTCCATTAAAAGTTAAATTTTTGTGGAAATTCATAAATTTAGGTTTCCCTGTAAAAACTGCCTTTCTCAAATAAAGGCATTTGCTAGGTAATTTCTTGTGATACAGCTCTTGGAATTCTTGATGCTCTAAAACACATTTGTAGTTCAGTTGCAGATATGCTTATACAATAAGCCCTCATTAGAAATTATATTGAACAGAGAAAGGTTTTGTTATAATTTATTACTATTTTATTTTTGCTTGTATCCTAATTATCACTAATGATAAAATTTATTCAGTGTATTTTTGGCCTATTGAAGTATTACCTATTGTTTGCAAGATATTTTCCTATTTATTTCTTTAAATTCTGCTACTGAAACCAAGCTAGCAGTTTTCATTAAGCACTCTTGCCACAAATATGCTGCTCATAAGGCAGTCAAGCAATAGGCTTTCACTATTACAATGCAGCAGAGATTTTTTCCAACTTTGTAGTTGTTACAAAGAGCAAAGCCAGCTGTTGGCCAAGGCTCAGCAGCCCCTGCCAAAGAGGGGAAAAAGAAGAAGAAACTTCCAAAATTAAATGACTTTCTTGAGAACAGAGATTTCACTGGAGCTGCCACACTGCTAGAGGTATAAATTTCTTGATTCTTATTATTAGATTTTGTGTCAAGGAACAGCAGGAATTCCCATGACCAGCTTTTCAAGTCTGTGTTTTGTAAATTAGGCACTGTTTTACAAGAGCATTCTTTTAAACAACATTTATCATCACAACATGCAGATTACATTTATTTGTAACAATCAGTATTAGATGTATTTTGTATTTGTATTTGTTTCTACCTAGCACCTGAAGGTAGTTTTTAGGATACTTAGAAGCTAATGCCTATCAAGCAGTGTCCTGGTCCTTTCTCTGGTGTGACCATACCTTGTGATTCCTATGCCTGGAATTACAGAGACCTGGTGACTCTCCTCACTCTGGGTGGTAGTTTGGTCATGCCAGGGACTCGAACCACGGACCATTGGGTCTGTAGTCAGTCCCTCTAACAACTGAGCCATCCTTGCAGCAATGTCTGAATATTCTCTACATTCATACCTTACCATGCTCTATACCCATCCTAAACACATTTTGAGGTCATGCTCCAACTATTATCATTTATAATTGACAAAGAAAAAAGAATTGCTTGTCCATTTTTTTCTTTTGATAAAGTATAACTTTTTCATTTGATGGCAGACTTTACAGGCCTATAATTGATGATAAATGGGGGGCAAAGATGAAAACACTGAAATGATAATAGGTATTCATGTTTTCATTTCAACAATTAGGTTAGCTATCTTTCTGTTTTCAAAATGACCCATTGAAGGTTAATGCTTAATGAAAAATGGTACAAAAAGTCAAAGACAAAGTCATTATGGTTTGATCAACAATTTGACCCCTTTGCTGAGTTGTTATACATTTGCCACAAAGTATTTTGTACTGCCTCTAAATTCCATATCTCTTGTCAGCAGAAAGCTTTTTTGCCAGGGCTGTCATTAGCACTGACAAACTGGCAAAGGTGCTCACTTATGTTAGAAGAATAATGTCTGTGTGATCATTGAACATTTGTATTTACTGTAGGAGAGAATAGTAGACTAGAAATCATACTAATTATAGTTTTAAAAGAATCATATTCATTTTGCAGTTTAACAGGAATGCTGGAAAAATATCTGACTCTACTGATGAATGGATTGCATACTGCTCTTTTCACTTAGGAGACTATAAAAAGGCTTTGGAGGTATGAACAAACATCTCCACAAATCTGAATTTTCCACAAATGAAATAATACAATGTTTTATGGAGTATCTTTTGATTTTATGAAATTCAGTAATCAAAATGTTTTATTAGATATTTAATCCTGTAACCTTCAGTACTGACTACTCATTATTTATTATAATTTTGTTTTTCAAATTTTAATGATAAATACTCTTGTTTCTCTTTCCTTAATTTTTTTGCTTATTAACAAATATTAAATTGTTCTTGTGCTATTTGAGCTGCAGCAAGGTTTAAAAAGGTTGAACATCTTCTTATGTCTGTTGATTTTTTAGGAATACAAGAACATTGTTAAAACAAACAGTTCTCCTGATATAATGTGCAATATTGCTTGCTGCTGTTTTATGCTTGGCTTATATGAGGAGGCACTGGAGTATGCTGAGAAAGGTATAAACATTTACCTCTTGTTTTGAAACAGCCAACAAAACCTGCCTTCTTTTAAAAACCTTCTCATGCTATTATAAGGTATTTTGGGGTTTGTAGAAGCAAGGCATTAGACTTGGATAGTAACAAGTGTAATCAAAAAGATATTATTGTAGATCAAGGCTCACACAAGACCAATTTTTATGTACCTAGTCTGATTCATGAGCAAAAAGGCTTAATTATGCCCCCTCAAACTAGTTTCCTATTTACAACTTGAGCAAATTTGGCAAGTTGACTTGATATGGATTGTCATGCATCTTCATTCCTGTACAGGGGTGTAGTGCTAGGGCTGAGCCTCCCTTGTTAATGCCAAAAAGTAGCAAATACCTTCTTTGGTTATTGTCTCGTGCAACATTTTTTTTGTTCGTCAAAATAGGTAAGTTTTTGTTTTAAGGCTTCCGCTTTCAAAGTATGTGACCTTTTTTGAAAATACAGCTTCTTTCAAGCCATGTTTAAATGCATTTTGATATTAGTGTGAAATACATGATTTGTTCAATGCATTTTGGCTTATCTGAGAGGAGAGGTGCAGAGCAGTGTGGAAAACAAAAACAGTTATGATATATCAGGGACAAAGGTTTCAAAGCAGGGGTTTGCCAGTAATATAATGCCAATATAACTTTTCCAAAACAGAATGGGAAGAATTTGTTGATAGAGTTCTTGAATCAATAGAGTGAAAAAAAGATGGTCAGCAAAAAGAAAATTAGCAGGAAGATAAGAAAATCAAGGTCCAAAATTCCAACATCATCATGCCCTTTTGTTTTGCGATGCAACAGGTTTCATTTTCTAAGATGTAATGCCTTCATGGCTTTGTCATTTTCTCTTTATTTTGTTAGGAGGCAAAAGTAAACTTCAAAACAGATTATTATTTCACCTTTCACATAAGGTTGGTGCTTTTGTTCCTCATTCATTTTTTAAATATCAATATGTTATGTTGTTTCTGGGACAAATTAGTTTGCTAAACCAATAGATATGTTCAAGTATGTAAATTACTTTGTTTATTTACAGGATGCTTGTCCGTGTAGAGTAGTATCAAAAATAGAATAAAAATTTTTTAAGATTAGTTTTTCAAATGTATCAGATAATAGCTTAGTGTGTCATATTAATATCATTGTTTAGAGAAAGCATTTAAAGTATGGCACATTATTATTTATCTATTTATCTCTGAATTGTTATTCTTTTTTACGATTTCTAGTTTAGTGATGAGAAGAAACTGATGTCATATCATTCACAACTTCAAGATGTTATTGAGGATCAGGTGAGACTTTCCAAGCGAAAAACAACAGAATTATTAGTCATGCAATTGAGTTTTCTAATGAAATTTTACAAAAATTTTGGTAACTTTTATAATAATTATGTGATGTCAACAACAAAGTTAATTCAGTTATAGTATGTAATAAGATATCACTAGCAATTTAATGTAGCTAGTAAGGCCTTATTAAAGATGTAAATTACTTAAAAAAATACTTTCATAACGCAAATAACAATTTTAAAGCTACTTTTTTACTAAACGTGGTATGCATATTTGAACACAGTATGCATATACCTTAGAACAGCTGAGATACACTCTAAACTGCTATTCACATAAATAAGTTTCATTTTATGCATAGTGGTATAAAGTCGTTTATTGTAGCTGCTAAGCATCATGTTGTATATTGCAGCCATGACTAGGAATCGTACCAGCTGTAGTGAAGCTTTGTCTAGTTGAGTCTGTTTCAGTTAGTATTAATATGGTAGATAGTATCTATTAGTAGAGAGATTTGTCTGGTTTGAGCAATTTAGGTAGAAATAGCTACAATCCCGGACAAAACTGGTGAGACTTTCCAAGGAGAGTTTATTTTTTCTCTTTCTTTTGAGAAAAAGCTTTTCCATCTACCACAATTTTGCAGGAGAAATAATAGAACTGCAAATCCAACATTGATTTGGAGGGCATTTAAAGTAGAAACTTGCAAAAATTGCATTTTTCTAAACAATTTTGTCTGGGATTGTGGCCTCAAATGCTCAGTCGAAACCTACAATCCTGGCCAAAAGTTATTGGACTGGCTGGCAAATTGTAGTATTTTTGGAGAAATTCCCTCCCCGCCCCCCACAGTCAATGTTGATATGCTTATTTCTACTCGCAATTTTAGTAGTTTTTTTTCACCAGTCCACTAACGCCAGGATTGTAGAAGTATCTTAGTAACTGAGAAACTGAGAGCCCATTTCAATATGCCAGTGTAGTAAATCTGTGCATTGTTTCTTAGCCAGGGGTAGAATTAGCAGCTGTAAGTCAAGTAAGTTCATTTCATTCTTGTATACTTTAAGTAGTAGTAGTTAGAAGCCTTAGTATTTTTTAACCTGCAAATAGCAGAAGAACACGTTTGGACTTAGTGGCTTTCATCCTTGAGTGACGAAAATGGAGAGTTGAGGTTTTTTGTTCTTATACAATGCAAAGCAATTTTTGTGAACCAAAGAGCCAGAATAATTACAGGGAATAAGTATGGTCCTCTAGGGGTGCTGCCTCCAGATGAACACTAAAAAGAGCTAGCAACACGCGCGAATATGAAACACATCTCCAATAGCTAGAAGAAGAGTACTCGATAGAAAGCTATGCTCAAAAACTAGACACAAAAGACAAAATAGGAGCAATGGATATCAGAGCTTTTAATACCAATGACTAATCAGTCACCCTCTCTGAAATTTGGAAAATAGAAAAAGTCTGGACTACCTTATTTTCCCTAACTCGATGATACTTGTTTTTTAAGTAATTTGAGGGATTTTAGAGAAACTTCTGCCCCTTTGCGAAGTCTTTCTCTTTATTTGTGTTGTTGAACATTTGGCGAAGATAACATTATGCAGGAAGAAACAGTGGAGTTTGCCTCTTTGTTCATGCTAAAGAAATCTGTCATTGTGGGAGAATAGTACCCATTTCATCGAAATCTAAAGAGAAATACGTAAAGGAATATATTATAAAATCTCAATAGGAACATATTTTTCCTCCCTGGTATGTCTATTCTGTTCCTGCTACTAGAATAATAAACAACTCCACTAATGAAAGCACCAAGAGTTAGTATGTTCCACATTTCTCTTTCCAGCTCAGCCTGGCCTCAATCCACTACCTGCGAAGCCATTTCCAGGAGGCTATTGATATTTACAAGAGGATTTTGCTGGATAACCGGTAGCTTTATATTTAATTTCTATATTGCTAATGATATACCGTTGGACAATATTGAGTTCTTACTTAGGGTGGGAGCCAAAACTTTTATTTTACAATGCTCAGTGTCTTGCAAATGGGGAACCTTTATCAAAGAGAGCTTCTAGCAAACTCAGCCTTCATCAAGAATGACACTTTTATTGGAGGCTTTGTCGTTTATCATTTATTATCATGATATTTATTCTGAAAAACGCAAGCACAAGACCGGTATAGTTGACCAATCAGTGCCGCGAGCCTAAAGAAAAATTACCAATGGAGTCCAAGAGAGAAAACGAACTCCTTTTGTCTACACAATGGCGGCTTTTTCGTTTAACGCTATAATGACGACATGTTTCGGATAATTGGCAGAGCCCGGTCGTCCTTCCATCTAGCAGTTTTGGAGTCAATCTACATAAAAACGAAAAAGCCGCCATTGTGTAGACAAAAGGAGTTCGTTTTCTCTCTTGGACTCCATTGGTACTTTTTCTTTAGGCTCGCGGCACTGATTGGTCAACTATACCGGTCTTGTGCTTGCGTTTTTCTGATTGGCCTATTTCGATCCACAACTGGGTATATATTTTTCCATCGTGATATTTATTCTCCTTGTCATCAGCTTCCTTACCTAAAAAGCATCGCAATGAACAATATCTTAACCCTTTTGACTGGCTGACTTAAGCTTTAAGCTTGAATGTTATATTTCAGATTTTCGTAAGTTGTTGTGAAGTCCACAGTAATGTCAAAACTGATTCAAGTGCATTAGTGAAAAAATCTAAACTCAATGAAAAACGAGGAAACTAATCTACACTGCAGATCTGTTGTCTAAATTTAGCATTGCTATATAATTTGATCAGCTCTTAATCTGATCAGCTGTTCAGGCATGTTTTATAATTTCCTCATGCCTAGGACATCTGTTGCATTTACGTCTTTTTAATCGTGGCAATGATGTGTTTGATTTTATCTTCATGCTTATAAAACCGAAAACTCCAGTTAGCATTGAGATCATTTCGTTTCTCAATGAAACCTTGTTTATTCTCGTACAGAGACTATTTGGCGCTCAACGTATATGTTGCTTTGTGCTACTATAAATTGGACTACTTTGATGTTTCGCAGGTAAAGTTCTGCTAGTTATATATGCAATTTTGTTTAACTGATTTTCTTATAGCAATTTATATTGGTATTACTATTTCTGAAAGTAGGAAACGGTAGAATAACTGTCGTATGTCGTAGCAAACTGAAGGAGTGGATGGATGCTCAATGAAGGACCTAAGCCCTACGAGGGCGAAATCAAATTGCACCCACTAAAAGTACTACTTATTTCAAAATTTCATGTTTTTCTCTTTGCTAATGGTTTAGGTTAACACAAATGAAAAGTTGTCAATCAATGGTCAGATGGTGACTTTTGAGAACAATTTTACGTCATTTTCAGTGCTCAAGAGAAACCTAATTGACCTTTAATCGATCGTAATGGCTGTCTTAATGTAGAATTTTAGGCATGAATCGTAACGTTTTCACACAGACGTAGTTTTTAATGAATTGAACATGTCTTGCCAAAATATAATACTTATAAAAGCCTTGATAACAGAATTTTACGATCGAAATTTAGAAATGCCTGGTTGGGTCATTTATAAATGCGTTGGTTATATTGCTTAGACGAAAATTATTGATTCTACTCTGATTCTGTTTTTAATATTTTTGTTCATATATTTTATATTAAAGAATTTTTATGAAGTTGTTGCTCCAATGATTTCTTGTATTTTGCCACTTTTTAGGAAGTCCTATCTGTGTATCTTCAACATTTCCCAGACAGGTTTGTTGCAACTCTGCTGAATAGCTCGATATCTGCTTTGTTAAAATTATCCTGTTAAGGGATTTGACCTGACGAACCTGGATTGATCAGCTTGTTTTGTAACGAATCTATTTGGAATGTAAAGTGTTAGTTTTCATACTAAAAATTTAGACAGAAAAATTATTAGGTAACTATTTCTTATAGCAGCAGCATATTCAGCGCCTTTCTTTAAAAAACAATTTAGCTGTGAACTTAACAATCGTGTATTAGCAGCATTATTTGAAAAAGGAGAGTTGTATTCAAAAGTTGCAAAAATTTCGTGCAGTTTACCAAAACCTCTGGCAGGTATTTTGGCCTAAATAACTAACATGTAGGCTGCAAGTCGTTCTACCTACACACATTTGTTCATGATATTTAAGCTCATTTCAACGTGCTCCCAAACATAAACATTGTTGTGCTTACTTCAGAACTGCTTCGTGCAGGATCACTGTTTAAAACTGCAAGTTTCCAAGGAAGAAGCGATTTAAAAAGAACGAATCTGTGCTTGCAGTAGCATTATTAGCTGTTAATGAAGACTTCTGATCTTGGAACACTCATGTCTATGCTAATTTCAACTAGTTCCAACTGCCGGACCAGTACCTATAAAAAGGATTCTAGATACCTCAATTTACCCTAAGACCTAAACATTTTTCGCTGTGCCATTAAGACTGTACATGTTTTTTGCTGTTTTTTTCCAGTATCAGAAAATCAGAGTTTTTCTTTTCAGACTTCCGTTTCTGGGCACAGAATTATAAAGCTACATTTTCTTTGTTATTATTCAAACAAAACAAGAGCCATTGATTTTCATTAATTCTTTTATTCCAGTGCAGTAGCCGTCAACCTAAAAGCGTGTAATCATTTCAAATTATATAATGGAAAAGCTGCAGAGGTTAGTCCTAAATAAATATTTGACCTTTGTGGATTGCTTGTATATCTGTTGGACTAAGAAAGTTTCATTTTAAGGCCTGAAATGGTGAATAACGAAACGTTACAGTCATAATGTGCCTGCCACACGCTACATATAAAATCTTTATCCCCTTCCATTATTGTTCATTGTTTCACTCAAGGAACTATCTTCTTGTAACTTTGAATAGTATTTTCCCTATAGAATCTTGCATGTTAGGTTGTTAAGCTAAGCTGCCAGCTAGAGCCAATAATCTAGTGTCCTTTGAAAATAGGATAAGATTTTGTGAACAGTCTTTTGGTGGTACAAAACTTTAAAAAAGCAAACATATGAGTAAACTAAAGACACTCTTCAGAGTATAAAGCGTCGAAAATGGATCTAGAACTCTAGGCTAGGAAATATATTTGCCCAGTTGTGGATCGAAATAGGCCAATTAGAAACGCGAGCACATGGCTATTGAGGCTCCCCAATGAGTCCTAAGGTGAAAACGAACTCCTTTTGTCTACACTTTAGCGGTTTTTTCGTTCTTAAATGGAAAATTACTGTTTACTGGTCTGTCAAAGAGTGTTCGATAGACGCAAAAACAAAAAACAGGACGGCTCTAAGTTGCTTCTCCGAACTGCTAAAATATATGTATATATATTTTTACTTATTTTACGCATAGGTAATTTATTTATTGTGTGTAAGTATAATTACCAAGTTGGATATCCTAGTGTTTTCATGTCCTGTATGTTTTCTTTCCCTGTAGGCTGAACTCAAGGCTTTGCAAGAAGTTGCAAGTCCATCATTTAGCTTTGCCAAAGACTTGATCAAGCACAACATGGTTTGTTGCTTTATTAGTTAATTGTTTTATGGCGTTAAATTCACTCGGAATTTTAACTTTTAATAAAGCATCTTAGACAGTTAATCTGAAATAACCTATGTTCATGCACCCTCTTTCTGCTCCCCTTTAATAGACAGCTGTTTAAATGTGACTTTTACCATTGTGCTGTTTTTTCCTAGTTAGTTCTATACATGTAAAATTTCGATTAAAAATTTTATTTAATTGTCATAGTGTTGTTTTCAAGTTTTAGCATTCAGTTATGCCCCAATATTGATATGCTTTGCATTCAGCATAAGGCTGGCATTACCATCAGTTGTTTCTGTTTTACCAATCATAATTGAACTGATTTTTGAGGGATTCTTGAAGCAGAGGAATTCTCCGTCTCTTCTCTGTTCTTTCTCCTTAAGGATTTTTTTTGCTTGAAACAAACATTGTTGATGGCTATCTTATCACAACATTTTGTTATGTTTTAACAACATTATTAACCTTTGAATGTTATCCATTGCTTTACTGCATTTGATTTGTACTTAAGTTAAAGTAAATTTTAAAAGGTTTTGAAATCGATTTAATGCAGGTATTATTTGCATGCTCCGAATGTTTAAAATGTCATTTTCAGGTTGTTTTTCGTGCTGGGGAAGGAGCTTTGCAAGTTTTGCCTCCATTGGTTGATGCTCTGCCAGAAGCGAGGCTGAATCTTGTAAGCATGAGTTGTTACTACCATTGTACATGTATAATGTCTGCAAAATCCTTGGAATGCCCCGTAGCTCCAACTCTGGAAGTCGCCATGCTGGCTGTGGCTGTAAGTTTTCCTGTCGTTACCGACCCGAATCAACTGGACAGTACTGAAGGCTCTGCAAATTATAAAATGACTATTGATTGGGGAATAATTTTCCGTAATCGATTCAAGTTAAAATCAATTTTGGCAATAAAAGTAGAATTGATTAACCCAAAACACCGTAAAACTTATCTCCTGATCTGAAAGTTTCTGAATGGCTTTGCATACAAAGTTAAAAGATTTTGCACAGAATTCAAGGCATCCATTCATTGGAAATATTTTTAGATACTTTCCTGGCCATTCACTAAACATTTAACCATAAACGACGAGCTTGTAAATATTAGAGTTACGGCGATTTTAAATATGGACTTAGCCTTTTACGTAGATATTGTGTAGATGCTTTATCAAACATCAATTGCTCACTTTTTCAATTTCTAAATTGATTTTTAATACCTTTCACTTAATTTCTTTTAAGGTCATTTATTATTTACGTCAAGGTTAGTATATTATTACTTCATTATACTACTAAATTAATTATGAAATCATGTATCAAAGATTTTCATTTCCTATGATCGCGGAGAAATAGCGTACCAAAGATCAGCAGAAAATTTTATATCCATAAGCGGATCGGAAGTAACATGAGATGAAGAATAGTGCGTTTGATTGGTTCTTTGTTTTTGACCAATCAGCGACCGCTAACCTCTCACCTTGTTTAAGAGTCCAAGAGAGAAAAAGACCCTGTCTACACAATTCAGGATACTTTATTGGTTTTGATGTAGACGTGTTCAAAAACTTCCAAATGAAAGTAAAACGACGTTGCTTGGCCAACGATTTTAAAGTTTTCGTTACTTTACGTTTTCACATTCACTAGATTCTTGAGTAAACGTTGAGGTGTTCGCATTTTCTTTGGCAATTGTGATTTTTGTCATGGCTATGGGTAGCCCTTCAGGTCCAGCATTGGCTGATATTTCATAGGTTTATTTCCGTTAAGTTTGTGACACTTTCGTCATTTTCAGATCAGAGCAGAGACCAGGGACTGTAAAAGTGGGGGGGGGGGGGCTGCATGGGCTTTAGCTTCCCAATAATTCTCAAACTGTACTTAAAACCATACATAAACCTCCCTCCTCTTGGTTTTTAGCATGTTTAGCCCCCCAAATATGCTCCGCATTTCTTGGATGGGAAGCGATTCTTTCCAAAAACTCTATTATTCGCTTCCAGCTCTTAGAGTTCTTATTGAAAAGGAGAAAAACAACTCCTTGAACTTTTTCAGCATTTTTTACAGAAACAAAGAGCTTGTCTTCTTACCAGTGTTAATCGAATGCCACCCCGGGTTCCAGAATGCCCAGGGTTATAGAATGCCAACATTTCTTGGCAATATATTCTTTGAAATTCCTTTTATATAAAGAGATCAAAATTGGTCTTATAAAAGTCTAGCACACATGACACATGGCACTGGATTTGCTTCAAAATTAAGTTAGGCCCAGAGCATGTCAAAATCAAGAACATTTGTCTTGGTAATTGCTACCCAAAGATGCCATTTCAACATGTTTTATGGAAATTTTTGCTAATTTTTCGGTTGGAAAAATGTTTGGTCCTGACAAGGTTCCTATATATTCAAAAATACCTTGGATTTTCAACATTTCAGCAAAATTTGAAATTCAAATTAAACTGTCACAACCATTGTTTTTCCGCTGCGAAGTCTCGTGTCATGTTTGCTATAGTACAAAGGCTATGTCCCCTTCTGTTTAGTAGTTTGTGAATTTGAAAATAGCACAGAAAAATGGAAACATATCATTAAGTACCAAAGGCTTATTTAGTTTATAAATTTTGTGCGGATTTGAAGCTTGTATGTACGATGCATATGGGCTAGTCAACAATTTGTCTCTAGAATAAAATCTTACAAAAATAGTTCCCATAAGAGGACAGCATGACTTTCCAAAAGTTAAAATGACTAAAGTAGTCACTTCCTCTCTTTGACACTTCAACTAGATGAGATGCTAGCGGCTGCTGGTTGGTCAGAATCAAGGAACCAATCAAATGCCTTCCTCTCATGTTACTTTTTCTTTGCATCTGGGTTTAAATGTTCAGGTTATGTTTGGCCATCATCTGATGTTCATACACAGAAAAATCACCAACAAATAGTAGTTTGGCATGTTATGTTTTTCCTTTTTCATGCTTTCTTAACATTTTTGTAGTACCAAGGCTTACTTTCATATTTGTTTCTTCAACAAACCTATGACTTCACCAAATGTCCTTGCGTTGGAAAAAACTAACCAAGAAATAATTTTTTCCCGAAGATGACGTCACTGAAGCATATAGTCTTATCAAAGATCTTGAACCAACAACACCAAGTGAGTACATTCTCAAAGGCACTGTCAATGCCACAATGGGACAAGAACAGCGATCGGTATGTGGCATTATTTGTTTGTAACAAAGCTCTAAATTTAGAAAAAGGCAGGCATTCTGGAATAAGATAAGCAAAATTGTAGAAAGGTTTTCATTTTTTGTCTTGATATATGTTAGAAGCGTCCAGAATGGGATATTGAATGAAGCTGTTGTGTTGAATAAATAATAGTAATACTGTATATTGAATAATTTGTTGTCAATTTGCAAAAGTTGATGGCACCTTACAGAATTAGCCATTATTGGTATAAATTTGTCATAAGAAGCTGATGGGCTACCTGGAAAACTGTAAGACACCTAGAGAAGGGGCTACCTGTGATTGATGAGAGAACATAAGTTGTTAGTTGAGGTAAATTTGCATTGAGTTGGCACACGACTACATAAGTTGTTAGTTGAGGTAAATTATGGAAGCAAGGTTGTATTGACCTTTTTAATACTGCTCCTGCTATTTTTAACCAGGGGTGTTTTTCAGTATACGTTTTTAACTACGTTATATGTAAATTTTATATCTGTAATTAGATTTTCTTCTTTTTCTTAATTTTAAATTGTAATTTATTTGATGGCAAAATTATACATACATACATACATACATACATAAACATTCCCGCTTGATATATACGGCACACACAAAGGAAAAAAATTACAGTTATATTGCAAACAGAATTGAAGAAAATGAAGATTTCAATGTAGATAATATGCCTGTAGCCAGATTTCGAACACATTTTTAATGGTTTAATTGATATAACATGTTTTATTTTAGTGGTTTGGTTTGTATTGTTTTAATTCTCTTCGTTATCTTTGGCAAATCGTTATTATAGGGGGGCACTCATTCGAAGGGGGTGCTTATTTAAAAATATTTCCTTTAGAAGAGACACTGTTTCGAGGGGGGCACTCTTAATATGGTAATGCATCAGGGTACTGCAAACATCTGCAATTACCAGAAATAAATCCGCTTAAGTTGTGATGAATTTTATTTTATGAATTCTCGATTAAGTCTATCATTGAAACAAACACTGCATATAGCTTGGATCAATCGATATCAAATTCCATCTAATTGATAATATTTACACTTATCTGTTGCAGAGAGAGCATGTAAAGATTGCTCAGCAATATTTTCAACTTGTTGGTGGTTCAGCTAGTGAATGTGGTATGTATGATTGAAGCTATAATATAGAAGAAAAATGTTATGAATTGGGACAGGTGTGGGGCTAAAATGTTTTTGTTTTAAACCAGGCTCTAACTGAGCAAAGTGCCACTAGGAGAGGTAGAATTTCTCAAACAGTTTTTCAAAACCAATTTTTTCTGAGAAATTTGAATTGACTGGGTAAAAAGGTGAATTCCTGAGAAATTTAGTAATGGTCACATTCAAGGCGACAGAAAAAATATGACTTGATAACAAGTTGTTTAGAAAACTCACAATTTCCAACCTCACGCAAATTATGTTCATTCAAGAATAATGTACAAAACAGCAGCTTTGGTGTGCTGTGACATCATAATCCAGGGAGTAATTAGTAATGAGTAATTAGTAATTATCACTTTTGTGCTTTCTTAACCACTTGCTTGGTTGCTTTAAACAAAAAATTTGTCCTTATTTGAAATTTTATGCTTTTCTTACCCTTGCATTTTTCAAGTTTTCATACTCAAGTAGAAAGATTCTCAAAATTTAAGTAATATTTTGAATTTGTGCAGAAAAGTTGACTTTTATTTCAGATACCATTCATGGGAGGCAATGCATGGCCTCCTGCTTTTTTCTGTTGAAGCAATTTGAAGATGTTTTAATTTACTTGAACTCAATCAAGGTAATGTTAAAATAATCTGATTTCTTTACATCATAAACAGACACATTATCAACATGTATTTGAATCAAGAAACATTAGCATTGCAAGGCCTAATTTTGAAAATGATGGTAGTGTAATACTTTGTGCCTCCCACTTTTCTGCAGAGCAAAATAATTATTTAGGCTAAATTGGACAAATGTAGTCTACCATTCTCTATGTAACTGTGCCTAGTTCTCCCTCGAATATGCCCTTAGCTTTAGCTTGGTTACTGTGTCTTCACTATAGAAGACAAATATAAAATTGAGGAGTAAGATTGAGAATAAACCATGTCTTCACTGATGAATTTGGTGTGAAAGTGGGTGTTCACCAGTGCTAAGCCCTCTTCTATTCATCATTATACATGAAGCTTTGTCACTGTCACTGTCACTGACTGAAGAGTTTAACACTGTGATGCCTTGGGAGCTGTTATATGCAGATGACTTAATGATCATTGCTGAAAAAGAAGAAGAACTAAATTTGAAGCTGATTAACTGGAAAACTAAGATGGAGGCAAACAACTTGGAAGTCAATATGGGAAAAAAGAAAGTCATGGTTTTGATCTCCATTCTCTAAAGGACTCCTTGATAATACCCCTGTAGTATTTGCAGAAAGGGTGTTGGAAACAGCTCAATATATTGTTCTTGATGCTCCCACATGGTTCGCAAAAAGTGTTAAGGAATAGCTGGATCACTTAAAAGCAGTCTGAATTCTGATGAAGCAGATGCACGGCACAGCACGTTAAACAAATAATAATGATGAATGAATGCAATTGGGGTTTTGATCAAAGAGGTCGGTCATTGTCCAGGAAATAGATAGATGAACCTGATCTGGAATAACTGGGTGCCATCACAAAATGATAGCGTATCTTTTTGTAAAAGGCACTTTATTCTGGAATAATTTGCAGCATAATATCCAAACAGTACAAAATTGCTCAATTTTTTTATTTTCAGTTTGTAATTCTTTTGTTGATATTTCAGTGTTCATGTTTTATATCAAACCGTGTTTCATTTACCTTTCTCTTTTCTCTTATTTTGGTTATTTTTAAATCTAAAAAATGTTTCATCATTAGCTACATTAAAAGGATTATTCTTAAACTTTGCAAGACTTTTCCTATTTCATGTAAACACTACAATTGACGAAACTATGGAACATATTGATATAACAAAGCTTGAAAATATTGCCTCAGATTTTTCAAAGATTTTCAAATATGTTTTGCTGTTTGTAATGTTGCACTGAATTTGGGTTATAGTGCTAGGGTGCCCTTTTCAATGCTTCAAGATTTTCTAATCCAATTTCTAATCTTTAAATATTGGTTTATGCACCATTCTGCATGAGATCCCCTTTACTCTATTCACCCCTGTACTGAATAGGGAAAATTCATTCATCTTTCCAGAGCTACTTTTACAATGATGATCACTTTAATTTCAACTATGCCCAAGCAAAAGCAGCAGTTGGAAACTACAAAGAGGCTGAAGAGGTAACTTTTCTACCATAATTGCTGTCACTGCTTGCGATCAACTTTATTTTCTCAGAATAAATGTTTTTGGCTGAAAGAATAAGGGATTGCTGTTTCAAAGGTATTACAGGTTTGCTGAAATTCATGTAACTATTTGCATATTCTTGCTATAAGATTCAGTTCTGAGTCTGAATCTAACAAGTTTTCACAAACACTTGTAGGTATGAAATCTCCAGAGTCTATTTTACCAATGGCCAATTTTGACTACTGAAAATATTGATGGATAGAAAGGCAACAGTCCTGCTGGGTTGAGTTTGGTTGAGTGGCTGGGGTTATTTAGAGCTAAAATTAGAGCTGGTATTCTCTTGCTCTGGGGGTGGCATTGCCACCCTATACCACCCTTTGGCTACGGGCCTGGAGGAGAGTTGTCAGCTTTCTGTAATTCCAGACATAGAGATCACAAAGTGTTGTCACAGCAAGATAAGTTTTGAGTTTAATTTCATTGTTAGTATGAATTTATGGTTGATTTTCACTGAATTTTATATGTGGTAATTATCTCTCCCTAAGGTATTTCTTCTTATACAATCTGACAAGATAAAGAACGATTATAGCTATATTGCATGGCTCTGCAGATGTTGTAAGTATATAATATACAACTAAATATCCAGAAAGATGAATGTTTGTGTCGAACAACTCATTTGTTTTACTGTTTTGCCAAACTGGCAAAAAAAACAATTTAGGTACTTTGGTATCAAAAATGATTCTCTCATTTACCTTACCATTTAACAGTACCACTCTCTGTTTATTGTCCCTCCCCTCCCTTTATTCAGAGTTGGCGCCACAAAATTGAACCTGGGAGGGCCCATCGGTTGGGTATGATGCGAAGGAAAATTTTTGAAGTTAAACCTTCTAGAATGGCTAAAAATGCATCTCCAGGACTAAAATTTAACAAAATACCATACCGCTTAGAATAGACAGTTCAACAATTCTTAGAAAAACATTGATTATTGACTTTTAGAAAAAATTTGGGCTGGGGAAGAGTCATGCTAAAACTCTATTGACAGATGTTGGGGAAAGGAAGAAAGAGTAACCATTTGTTCAGAATGCACATCTCAGTGATCTTGAATTGACTGAGAGAATTTTACTTCCTGAACACACATGTGCGTTTTCTTTTTCTCGAGTATTTTCAGTAGGACATCATTACACATCAAAAATGAAATTGCAATGATAGAGAGAGTTATCTACTGAATTGATGCAAATAAAAGACAAATAATAGAAATATACCTCGACAAGTTAGTACAAAGATAAAATGAAATCAAGCAGTATATAAGCACTTTGTTCTCTTTTAATTTCATACTCTGTTTTAAAAGATAATAGAAAGGACAGTAAAAGAGTTTTGATCTCTGAAAAGAGGGGGGGCTCTAGCGTGCTTGTTATTATTAGCTGTTTCTGGATACGAAAAAGCCTAGTTTGTGCAGGGGAATGTTTGCAATCAAAGTTTAGGTTGGGGCCAAAGAGACCAAAATCCTAAGGAATTTAAGGATGAGTAAAGAACTGATGATTTTTGTGTATTACTTCACCCATACTGTCTGACAAATTTCAGAACATATTAATTCCCCCAATATTATATAATCTCTGAGCTTTTAGATTTTTTTTATCAAAGTGTTTACTTGTTTTTCTAGATATCATGAACAGAAAAGCTCGTCTTGCTTGGGAGATGTACTTGAAGATGGAAACATCATCAGAGTCCTTCAGCTTATTACAGCTCATTGCCAATGATTGCTATAAGGTAAATCAGATTACCTTTATTAAGTATTAATTATATATCAAAGCCAGTAAAGCTGTTTGATATGATAAAGATATTATTTTATAGGTCTTGTATTTTCTGTAGGTGAAACAGTAAGAGAAATGACAGAAGTCCTTTGTTCTTGTGCAATTACAATGCTAAAAATTGATCAGCAAGCCATCCTGAAGATGTTCAGCTTGATTGCAAAGCAGTATGATAAAGAATTAACTGCTCTCTCCACCTTTCAAAATACTCGCTTGTGCTTTTGCCTTACCAGTTGTTTAACCCTTCAATTGGTAAAATACTGAAAGACAGACAAATCATTTTTGCTTTTTTGACTATGTAGGCTTAATATTGAAGTTTACTTTTTCAGATGGGTCAGTTTTATTATGCTGCCAAGGCATTTGACGTATTGGAGAGACTTGATCCAAACCCTGAGTACTGGGAAGGGAAAAGAGGTGCCTGTGTAGGCATCTTCCAGATGATTATAGCTGGCCACGAGCCAAGGTAAGTATCAGCTAGGTGATTTGATGATTTCTTTCAGCCTCTCTGATCTCTCACCCTGAAGCAGCATTTTACACATTGTTCTACTTTGGTAAAGGGGGTGGTAAGAATAGTGTTTAAGTTGAAATGATCTGATACTGAGTTTGCAAATGGGAACATGGGAACTATGACTTTGTTGGTTTATACATAACCTTTGTACACTTTTTATAATAGTCATTTTTGTATGTTTATTAAAACATAAACCTCTGTACTCATAATAAAATTTTTGTCAGGGAAACATTGAGAGATGTCATTCAGCTGCTTAGGAACACAGCCAACCCTCAAGTGGAGTATATCACAAGAACAATGAAGAAATGGGCTAAAGATAATAGAATACCTATATCTTAGATGTAAGCAAATACTGTATGAGACATTTGTTTCTACGCACCTATATGTCCAGGGAAAAAACTTCATTTGAGGAAAAATTTCAGTAATTGAAATTGATAAATCTTTCTTTTCAAAACGAGCTTACAATATGAACTCAAGTACCTGTATTTGCATGGAAAGAAAATGCACAAAGTATTTGCTTAATTTTATTTATGTTAATATCTTAATGTTTTAAAGTCTTTCTGTAGATATGCTTAATCTGGCATGTATAGATATTAAGTATCTAGAATGTCCTTGTGATTTAGTAAAAGTTAAACTCTGGTAATTTATCTTTGACCAATTTTTCAATTTCCTCAATGTCATTGTGCAGTTTTGGTTGTCATAATTTGTACAAGATACCTAGAAACACATTATCTGGTTGTAGTTTTACAGTCATACCTTCATAAAAATGTGTTGGATTTTTCAATCATCTTAGCTGATATTCACGGTGAAAATTTTTCTAGAAACATAAGTATTGGTCTCATTAGACTACTATAAATATGATATTGGTTCTTGACTTGGCAACATTAGTATTAGAGATAAGACACTTAGTATCAGGGATAATAAAACAACATCACTAGAAACAGTAAAAACAAGTTGTTTCAAAATTGCTTGGAAAATGGGTATATTCCCCTCCCCTCAGGACATAATAGTAAAAGGCAAGAGAAACTTCATTTACGAAGAACCAAATGTTTCTGCAAGCACATGGGCAAATGTATTCAGGGTTACCCAAGTTTTCAGCAGTAGGTAGCTCACCAAAGGCAAATCAGCCTTGATAATAACTTAGCTTATGTGTTATTTCCCAATGACAGTTTCCCACATGACTTAGAAAAAGAAAGATTAAATCATTTTGTTAGCCTGTCACATCGGATCTGAAACAAGATTAGCCAAGGGGCAATTGTTTTCCTTAAACAACAAATCACGAAAATGGTTTAACTTCTGCCCTTCTCTATTATGTCACAGTAATCCAGAAAAAATTAACTGTAGGAACCCTATGTTAAAATAGACTGCATCCAATTATAGAAACTATTCTAGAAAAATGACTGAAAAAACTGGAGTACTTCAGAAATACAAAAACAAAATGTAATACGTTACTTTTTATGTATGACTTTCCCTTATTAAATTAACTAACAATATTTACAGAAGTGCTGTATCCCTAAATATCAATTTAGCACTAAGCTACAGCTCAACAAAACATCAAATTTAAATAAAACTTTATATAGTAAGGCTTTTAAACGATGAAAGTTGATTTAAGGATTACCTAATGAATCACAAGAAATGTAACAATATGAGGCCCTAAACCTGATTTGAAATTTTCATTTAATCTTTGTAGAAAGGTCTTCACCTAATCGGTTAAATAATGGGCAAGGACAACTAAAAAATGGTTTAAAAGCTGGATATCTGGAGTTGAAACTGCGTTTGATGTTAAATTGATGGATAAAGTTTTGGCGCCATGTACGTCGATATTTGAGAAAATGGCGCGCAACACGTTGAAAAGGCGACACTAAGAAGGGCTGGCGTTAAACTTACATTATTATTTATGCAAAAACTGTTCAGCACCTTTAAGTTGCATTATTCATTATTAAATGTCATTTAAAATTCCTGGCTTTGGCTCTGGCTTGCTTTGCCTTTGTGCTCAGTTTTCTTCGGCAACAACACTGACTGGATGTTCGGTAGCACGCCACCCTGCGCAATGGTCACGCCTGAGAGAAGTTTATTCAGTTCTTCGTCATTTCTTATTGCCAACTGTAAATGTCTTGGGATTATACGACTTTTCTTGTTATCACGAGCTGCATTTCCAGCCAACTCAAGAATTTCAGCGGACAGGTACTCCAAGACTGCAGCGAGGTAGACTGGCGCGCCAGAACCGACTCGTTCAGCGTAGTTTCCCTTTCGTAGTAATCTATGGACTCTTCCGACTGGAAATTGCAGTCCTGCTTTTGAAGATCGGGATTTTGATTTTACTCCCTTAGCTCTACCTTTACCACGTCCAGACATTTTGAAATCGTTTTCTTCTAGTTGGGTATCTACACGTTTTCGATTCTCCGACAACTTCCAGCTACCTCGTTCTAAAGTGAACTTCCCCAGTGGCCTCGTTCTTTTTATATCACAATTGAAGATCGAAAAACTTGCTTCCTTACACGTCCGTAGTTGGCATGTGAGCGCCAATTCCCATAGGTTCAGACACGACCGACGAATGTATTTTCGTGAGATTTTAGTGGAAAATGGTCAACTAAATTTTGGACAAACTTTATTTCTATTGATTCATCGATTTTAATATCTGCAGCCATAGCTTATTTTTGCAAAATATCCAGAGAACTTTGCATGCTATTGATCCCAGGGAAGCCGGATAAGGGGGGTGCAAGTGGTCAACAGCTACAGTTGCCTTTTGATAGGAAGGACAAGGGCGGGGGGTGTATCACTCCATGAAAGGGCGTACGGGATTTCTTTGGGATTTAAAAATCCTTTGATTTTGTTCGGAATTTGTGAATTTTTCATGTTTTTAGTGAATTTTTTCGACTTTTTTATATTTCTGTCTGGACTTTTCCCTCCTTCCAAAACTTAAAAAACAGCAGTTAGCTTCATTATACTTCTTGCTTGACTATTCAGATAATCGCCAAGTGTTAGGTAACACGTTTTGTTAATTCATGATGTTTCGTCAGGCGCGAATCAAAACCAGGTTAACATGTTTAAAAAACCCGTCAGATTTCTAGAAAATAACATATTATATGTTTTCAAAATATATATGGAAAAATGTTTACCAAAATGATTATTTTATCACCTCCCTCACCCTTATCAACACTTATTTTTATCATTATGGTCATTTTATCTCGCCACCTCTGGCACAAAATTTGTATTTTTATTTTGCAGTTGATACAGAGTTTAAAACAAAGTTATTATCTTGCACCAGGTAAAGAATTTTTGCAAAGTAATAAAATTTTTTGAAGTATCTAAAGACAAGTTTTGTTTTCTATCACGCATTTCACCAAGTGAATAAGAAAAATTAACTGTAATAGAAAGAACTTTATCATTTGGTCTATTTGAAAAAAGAGTTTTCAAGGTTTTGTCGTCCAAATATTTAAAAAGTCACCAAACTACGAAGATTGTCGTTCAAAATAAGCATAGCATTTTTCAAAGGAAATTAGCTAAGGGGGCAAACCTTTGTTTATATAAAAAAGGGAACAATAAAATATTACTTAAAACAATGGAAAACTACTTGGGCTGCAGGGGCTATTACTCCCCTAGTTAGTATGAAAAGGCCCTGAAGTTCGAGCCTCGTTCGTTGGGAGCATCTACACTCATTTTTTAGAAGAAACTAAAGTCTAGTGCTGGTAGGCAGTTTCTTAAATTTCTGGCCATTTTGCTATCAAAAGTTTTTTACATGTTTCTTGAATTTCTTAGGTAATAAGTTTTTAAACTTGCTTCCAAGGTAATTTGGCTCGAGCCCCCTTCCCCCCTCCAGCCCCCATAATTTCCATCACTGGTGTTGTTGAGCAAAGTTTGATTCTGATAAATAATGTTAGCGTCGTTTAGTGTTGTTAAGCAAATGTTTAGTTGTTTTGCCACCAACTAAACATTTCTTGTGCTAGCGCAGGCGCCGTAGCTGTTAGAATCCAAAGGTTTTCCAGGGCCTTTTCGGTTTCCCTGTCTCTACATGACCCAAGATCTCTAGATTGCCTTCGTGCGACATCTGCTTCATCTCCTTGTACGGTACTGTGTCTTCTTCAACAGTCAGCTTTGTTATCGAAGTGCTAAAAATTATTTTCTTTTCCCTTTCTTTTATCAAATTCTTATTTTTACCCACTTTTTGCATTTGAAGTCTTTTATGCTAACATACAACAAAACAAACAGAAAGCCAATTCCTATGCAAGACCCCCTACAACCCCACAGTGTCCTACACAGGGCGCAGTTCAAAAATATTGAGCAAAGTTTAGTGAAAAGTTGCCAGGGCTTAACAACGACCTGGACTGGAGGGATCGTCCACAGTGTCCTTGAAACCGGCCATTTGTAATAATCAGAGAGATTCGTATGAAATTCTAATGGTAGTGCCTAATTCCATGGGCTCCGACAAAGGTTGAAAAGTGGGGGGGGGACAAGGGAAAATTTAACACCCATAACAAAAGTTTTTGAAAACCCCCCGCCCCCCGCCCCCCCCTTCGTCGGAGGCCCTGAATTCATGACATTTCTCAAAACTTGTAAAATAATTCCTTAAGTCAAAAGTCAACCAATGTTCAAGATACCTACAGAAGATCAAAATAAAATGACAGCTACGAAGGAATTATTAGAAGCTGGGAATTTTCCAAAGGAGGACCAGGCGAGCACAAAGAAATGGATGCTACCAAGGGCATAATTTCGGTTTCTCTGCTACCATTTGAGGGCTATTGTAAAAAATGCTACAATTTGAGGGTAATTTTTAGCAATTTAGCTTTGGCCCTCTTTGACCCTGACCGGGCCTCCCTGTTAGGCCATAATGGGAGTGCTCCCTCCCGGGGTTAATGACAGGGACGCCGGAGAAGGAGTCGTGGGGGCGTTGTGTGTGTTGTCTTTTGATAGGAGGGGCAAGTAGGGCTAGAGTGCCCTTTTCATTAAAGTACATTTGAAGCCGCCCAATTGCAATTATCAGATAGCCTTTCAAGTTAGGGTTCTGGAGCACAGGCTATTTTCAGAGAGATTCACATGAAATTCTGATTGTAGTGCTTGATTCATGACGACATTTCTCAAAACTTGTATAATTAATCTTTATACCAAAAGTTAGCCAATTTTCAAGACACCTAAAGAAGATTTAAAGAAAATGGCAGTTAGTAAAAAAAATTAGTAGAAGCTGGAGTTATCTTTCAAATGCCCTTTTTCTTAAACTTGCCCCTTTTCCTTTTGTCGTTCCGGCGTCCTTGGTCAAATATGTGTCTTTGGTGTTTCTCAGCTGTCTGGATCGTGGGTCTGCCCTAGAATATCTCCATACTCTGCGTATGATCATTTTTTTAAATGCTTAAATTTTTCTAGATTCAAATATTTACCAAAAAAATTGATTATTAATTTCTAATTGTTTCTATTATTAGTTTCTAGAATCTAGATGTTTGGGAAACGACTCTTGTCGGTCCAAGGTTTCTTTGTTGGCTTCTAGAGCTCAGGCTCCTTCTCGGAGCAAGTTCACAACAATCGTCTGAAAATTCGCCGGAGGAAGGACGGAAGGGCCTAAGAACTTGATAATGTTGATAAACATCTCAAGAAATCTGTAGCATCACCCTATCTAAGCAATCTTAGATGATCACACTCTAAAATTTAAAATGTTTTGATTTGTAAAGTTTCCATATTTTTCGGACAAATACCTCAAAGCAGTGGTATTTTGCAGTAACCAGTTTGGAAGGAGAAGGACGCTTCAGCCTATGAAAATGGAGTTACGAGTAGGGGGCAAATATCGGCTTGGAAGGAAGATTGGTAGTGGATCATTTGGCGATATCTATTTAGGTAATTAATTTTGTCGGACACTTCTAGATGATTCATAATTTTGAGATTTTGAGCTATTTTGTCGAGCAGCTGATTCAGTTATTCGCACTTCTGTGATTTGACACAAGCAAGCTTATTCCGGCTGTTTGTCAAGATACCATGGGTTTGATATAATCTTTTGCATTGGCATTTGAACGTAGAAATGCGACTACTACCTTTGTCGTTTAGCATCTAAATATTTTCCTACACTGATAGGCACAAACATCACAAACAGTGAAGAAGTCGCCATCAAGTTAGAATGTGTGAAGACAAAACATCCCCAGCTACATATCGAAGCAAAGTTCTACAAAATGATGCAAGGCGGAGGTTCGTATATTTGTGACAGAATTCCTTTCTCAATTTAATGTTTAAATTTCTTTTGAAATTATTTTTGTTAAGTTATTAATCTCATAACCAATCGTCTTGTATGCCCAACAACCATCCGCGTCACCATCAACCAATTACTGGCATGGTAACCCATCAATACAGCATTCATTTTCAAATATGACTTGAATATGTTGTTGACATATTTTGGCCACAGATGTTAGCTCCAATTGCGTTGATGATATTGCCTAGGCTACATCCTCAGCTTTGGTATGAGAAAAGAACGCCTTAGGTTCCAGTGCAGAATCGATAATTATACTGTGTTTGCGAAAAGGAAAAGCTTTATCAGGACAGGAAACCAATCCTTAAAACCTTATTAAAGCAAGCCATCTGTGACAAATCTCTCCCAGATATGTTGTGTAGCGAAATAGTTCTGTAGAAAGTACGCTTTAAAGAAGAAAATTCTCACAACCATAACTTTGAAACTCCAAAGAATTCAATTCTAGTATTAAAAGAAAAGCAACACATACAAAATTTTTTATAAGAATTCCTAACTTTTGCTGAACCTCAATATACTTAAATTTTTTAGGATTTTGAGCCTAAGATTATTCTTAAATTATTCTTAAGCGACACAAGGTACAACCAGGTTGCATTATAGTTTTAATGAATTCAAGGCCAGCTTGAAAATTGCTTTCATTTGCATTCCAAAATAAACAAATATAGAAAATAATCAAATAAACCAAAAAGTTTGATTCTTGGTGAAGCTTGAGCCTTGCATTCTTCAGTTTTTCTTGAATTTAAGCAATTTTGAGCCTTGGAATGCTTAGACTATATTATTTTATAAAAAACTTGAATCTACATTTTAGCTTTCATTACAAACTCTTCTTGTTTACAATTTTTCAAGATTTGGCAGTACCAGTTTATTGAAGACAATAAACATGATAATCAAATTGACAGTGGAAATAACTTGAATTTCTTAGCTCAAGGGCATAAGATGAAGACAAAGGCATAAGACATAACTTGCAAAAATTGAATAACTTTGTAAGTGCAAAGCATTAGGAAAAAAAACATCTTATAAATTGGGAGAAGATGAGTAAAAATGAAAGTTGATAAGTTTTGAATGAGTACTAATGCAAGACCCTCTTTTAGGCATTTTATCATCATTTCAAAACTAAAAATGTTTCTGCTTTAACATTTTTCTTATGACACAAAAACAAAAAGCAAGTGTTGTTGCTGCCAGCTAGCATATAATTGTATTTGTCAAAGATAACAGGTTATTTTCAATATGGCACGCCTTGTTGAACTGCATCGCTTTTAATTCCAACTGGTCTTGGTATATACTTGTTCTCCTTGAGTTTCAAATGCCTCTTGTTTTAGCTACATAAAATACAGCTCTGTGATAAACTTAAATGTTAGGCACACAACAGATAACACTTTGGCTTTAATTTAAAAATGACAGACAAATCCAGTTAATTGTTAAAATTATATTTTAAGTCACCATGTTAAATGACAAATTGAGTAAACAGGACTTAAATTAGCACCCAGTCCTATTCAGCATCCACCCTCATATAATTTTTTTGTGATAAAGCCTGTTTCTGAATAAGCATCCAGGCAGGGATCAAACAGAGTACATATAAGAATAAATGATGAGGATAGTTGATGCATCAACCCATCAATACTATTCAATCAATTTTTCAGCAATTTGCTTATCAAGAGTAACAGCAATAAAACATACTGGAAAAAACAAACCAACTTAATATTTTCCTTATCTAACAAAATGACCCTACATTGTACATTCAAAATTAATGTGAGGTAACATGTTGAAGTTGGCAGGTAGTAATTAAGACATATTGTATTAATAGGATGAACATAGATTAAAAAAAAGGCAAGTTGCTCATGGCATTCAAAAGGCAAAAGTCTGATTTTCACAAAATGTTTAACAAGCACCAAGAACTCGAATGTTCAATAGTTTAAATAGGAGCGTACCCTAACTTCTTGAAAATAAATAGTAGGCCCTATCTAGGCAACCATTCAATGTGGGACAAATCCAGCTTATGATGAATCTGAAGATGCTTAAGATGTGACAAGCTTGTCTACACATGGCTTAGTATTATAGACCCTTTTATTAAACTAGATTTATGCAGGCCTGGCTGTTGGAGGCAAGCAATTGCCCTTATCCTATTCACAAAACCCTGAAAAACTTACAATGGTTAGTTGGTTTATTTTTGGTGGAAGAAATTGGTAAGAATTTTTAATTGGGGGATAGAATAAAACAACAGGTTGATCCAGCATTAGAAGCAAACTCTCCCTCATACTCGAACAAAGAACAGCCTACTGGGTCTTGCAGATCTAAAACAACAACTCAAACATGCATTTTACTGTCGAGTTGCATTTATTGGAAAACCCAGTATGTGCAAATGTCTATAATGGTGACATGTTTTGGATTATTGGCAAAGCCCGATTGTCGTTCCATGTAGCAGTTTTGGAATCTTTCTACATAAACATGAAAAACCGCTATTGTGTAGACAGAAGGAGTTCGTTTTCACCTTAAAACTCCATTGGTAACATTTTCAATGGCACTGATTGGGCAACCTCAACAGCCATATGCTCGTGTTTCTGATTGGCCTATTGTGATTCACAGCTGGGTATATATATTTCCTAGCGTAGAGTTTTTGATATATTCTCTGATATTTTATACTATGAAGAGTGTCAGAAAAAAACATATGTTTGTTTCAAATGTTTGCTTGTTTTGAAGACATTTTTAAATTCTGTACAACAAAAAGATTGTTTGTTAAAATAATTGTTGTTTTTTGTGTTATGCAAGCTTTACATGAAACTGACAGAAACTGTTTGTTATTTTAAATCCTTTGTGCAAAGGGGGTGCCTGGGCAACAGTTAAAGCATATATAGATTGTAAGAAGTTAAAAAGCATGCTTCTTAACTCAAGACTATTTAAAGGCAATCAACATTTACTAAAGGGGCTTGCGCCATCTGTTGATTGCTATTAAATTATGTCCTATGTGTTACTAATTTAGCTTGCTTTAGCAAATGAGGGGAGCGATCCACAGCTCACCTACAAAAATACAAACGGCCAGGCCCCGTTTATGCATGCAGAATTGAAACAACTAAATGCAAGTACAAAATAGGATCGTGTTGGACTGGAATAACAACAAGACAAATAAACAAGCAACCAAATAAATATGTTAAAAGTCTCCTCATTATTTTTTGCTAACATTTGGAAGTTGTTGTCATAACATGATCAGCCATCCCTTCCCAAAAAGATATAAATTTTCATATGGGCATAGACTTTGTCAGTTTCATTGCTTGTGAGTGGTTGCCCTCACTGCTCAACCAACAGAACCATGAAATGCTTTCTGGAGCTCTAATAGACGAAGTAAAATTTAAGCAAGCAGAGGAGGTGTATTTTGGAAGCAAAATTACCTTCCTAGAAAAACCAACATGTATTATCACCACTGTCACAAGCTCCTCTAAGGGTAAACATTAAATGGAAGTCAACTCATGTCAAAGTGATATGGATCACTTGCTCAGTGCTTGACAAATATCAAGGTCTGGTTGTGAAAAGTAATGTTTCAAATCAGTAAATTTGAATAGTTAGTTTTAGAAAGAAAGAAACAGTTTTTTAGTCAAGAAAAATGGTCCTTTCTCTTGAGCCTTTGAATTTGTAATGAGATTTGTGACCTTTCATTCATAGTTGGAATTCCACGCATCAGATGGTGTGGCACAGAAGGTGACTACAATGTCCTTGTGATGGAACTTCTGGGTCCAAGCTTGGAAGATCTGTTCAATTTCTGCAACCGGAAGTTTAGCATAAAGACTGTCCTTCTTTTGGCTGACCAAATGGTTTGTTCAGAGCTAGATTTATTTCTGTTAAGGGGTAATGTGTACTGGCTTTTTATTCTGAAAAATTATGCTGGGCAGTGGACACTATACCTTATTGCTGGATCTTTACTTTTATTTGGGCTGGTAACCAAATACACTTAGTGATACCAGTTAACTTGGTACATATCTAAAACATCTTTACTGTTTTTTGTTATGCATTCTGGGCTTTATATGTTGACAATCTACCTACTCCATTTCCAGAAATCCACCCAGACAGTTTTTCTACATTCCAACAATTGTACCTTTGCTTAGTATCTCAACATTATCTCATTTAAGGAGCGTTGTAGCGAAAAATGAAGTGCAAAGAACATATTAGATCTTTTAATTAAGCATTGTGGGGCTCAAATTGAGGGAAAACTACTCTGCACATATACCAACAATACTACGAGGGAAACAACCCCTCAAGATTATAACAGATGCATGACTGATAGCATGCCTCATGTCAAAATTGTTCAAAGAGATGTGTGTAATATCAGATGTATACAGCATTTCTGTAATATCAGCCAGTAATATCAGATGTTACAGCATTTCTGTGCAGTGTTGAAGCTTTGTGTGACTATTGTCTCTCAAGTGTTACAGACACCCACAAAAGAAACCTCTGTTATCTTGATCCCAACATGAATTCATGACAGTAGTGTACTGAACAAGTATAGCTAGACTTTTTATACCTATTCAATCTAAAACTTAATTCCTAATGATAACATTGGGAACACAGATTTTGAGGGATTCCTCCCTCACACCCAACCAGCACAGACTTTTCCTTGTTTAACATGCTTATAAGGTCATACTTTTCCCTAAATGGTGTTTGCCATAATTAAAAAATGAATCGAAGAGAAGCAAGATTAAGTTTCTGATATAAGAAAGTAATCTCTATAAAGTGCAAATCGTTGTGGCATGGGAATTTGCTACCTTTTTTGAGAAGCATCTGCGTGTCAAAATGCTCACCTTTTCTGGCTCAGGCTCATGCAGAGGCGTTAGTATACAATCACAAGCCTCAAACTGAGAGGCCTGGGAGAATGTGCAGCAGTTCTGTGCAGTAAATGGGTTTTGAAAAATTTATCTAGTTGCACTTCTTTTATGTGTATCTGATTTTAAAATGATAATGTAAAATGATATTAACCCTATATTCAAATTTATTACATTTTAATTTTGTACTTTTCATCTTGATATGTTTTCATTTTGTATTATTTTATTTAGCTCTGTTTTCCAAGCCTGCCTTCAAGTATGTCTATTTTCAGAATGTAAAACTGAAGGAAAATGGATGGATGTTAATGGCACCTTATTTTAAGCAAAATATCATTGATAATGGGATCTATTTTCTGCTAAGTTTAGTAGAATTATATCCTTCCATATGATTGATTTTCAACTGATATGAAGCAAAATCGCAATGGGAAAAATCCTGTACAATGATTATGAGAAAAAATCTCTCACTTCAAAAATAATCACACAGTGTGTAATAATCTTGTCCCCTACCCTGGATAAGGCATAAAAGTATACCACCCTTGGTTTGAATTAGAAATCTGGACTCAAGTGAAGACTCTGAAAAGCCCATTTCTTTGATACTAGATCAGTCGACTGGAGTATGTTCATTCAAAGAACTTCATTCACAGAGATGTGAAACCTGACAATTTCCTGATGGGCCTTGGCAAGAAAGGCAATCTAGTCTACATAATTGACTTTGGTTTAGCCAAAAAATACAGAGATGCAAGAACACATGAGCACATTGCATACAGGGAAAACAAAAATCTGACTGGAACTGCAAGATATGCTAGCATCAATACTCATTTAGGAATAGGTATGTTACATGCATTGAATTTCACCAACATAATTCAACACACTCAGTTTTCAGAAACTCCTGCTAGTTTAACTGCATTCAGTCCATCAAAATTTGAACATTTGTTCAAAATGTTTTGTTTGCTGCAGAAAATATAGATAGGGTTTTTTTTATTTTTGCTAATTATTAAGAAATTGTAATCTACATACAAGCTAACTGATGAAATTAATTTGTTTTAAAATCTATAGTTTATCTGCTTGTAACTCCTGTTGATTTGAAAATGAAAGCTTAAATCTATCAATATTCCATGTTATTAAACTTTATAGTGGCAAGCTCATAAACCTTTTTGATGTTGCAGATTTTTCCTTCTTCAGTTCCAGTTATGAATCTTGAAGGTATTTTTCCTTTCAGAACAGAGTAGAAGAGATGATATGGAATCTCTTGGTTATGTTTTGATGTACTTCAACTTGGGTCAGCTACCTTGGCAAGGACTTAAAGCTGCAACTAAAAGGCAAAAATATGAAAGAATCAGTGAGAAGAAAATGTCAACACCAATTGAAGTTTTGTGCAGAGGATATCCAAGTAAGCTTTCATTAAACTTGTTTTCAGTTTTGAGCAGTACAAAATTTATAAAAAGTTTTCAAAAGGCAAGCATCTTAAAGTTACTCAAGCTTATTGTATGTTTTTCAAAACAAAGCCACAAAACTTTTGCTTTTTCCATAAACTTTTGCTTTTTCCATAAACTTTTGCTTTTTCCAAAAACTTTTGCTCTTTCCAAAAACTTTTCCTTTTCCATAAACTTTTACTTTTTCCATAAACTTTTGCTTTTTTCATAAACTTTTGCTTCCATTTGCAAATTATTAAATCAAGTTTTTTTGTGCAATGTTTCCGTTAACAGTTTCTCAGTTGCAAATTTGAATTGCACTCAATAGCCTATGTAAGTGAAAAATCTCTCAAAGAATGCCATTCTTCTCTAATATTTTCAAAGCCTACTTCCTGTTCAACCTGAAACTGCTTATTTTATTAGCCTTGTCAAATTTCTGACCCTTGTCAAATTTCTGACCCTTGTCAAATATCTGACCCTTGTCCGATTGAAAACTAATCACCCTGCCTTGCTGTCAAATTCAGTTGTTTCAGATTCTTGTGTATGGCATTGAATGTAAACATGTGTGATTGGAGCCAAGATAATTACGGATAATAATATTATGCATAATATAATTATGCATGAGTTATTGGAGTAATAAGTAATTTATATTATAGTATATATATTAAATAATATTATAGATAATATAAATAATAATATTACTGATAATATAGTATATTATATAAAAATAAAATAGTATTTTACTATATCATGTCAATAATTTTTTATTGATAATTGATAAGTATGTTATGCCATGTTGTAGGCATAGACCACCTTTATCAATATTTAATGACAAGATTGTGTTGCCAAAATGTTGTGATATTCTATCCCCTCGTTTTATACCACATAATGTTATTGCCTAGCATAGAAAACTTTTAACCTATTAATTTTGTGCTGTTTTGATATGTTTGACTTTATCAAAACGTTTATTTGTCTACAAAAATTCAAGCTGCGTCATATTCACATCTGGGTTTTCTGATTGTAACAAAGTTGGAGCTTAATATTTAACTTGTCTTGATGTTAATGGCTGTAGATGTTTTGTGTCAAGCTGACAGAACGTAAGAAATAACTTATTACGGTTGAAATAACTTGAGAGAATGATATGCTTGGCTACGATTGATATAGGGTAGTGTCTACCAATGACAATTTGCTTGTGTTGACGCATGCGTACTGTATTATTTTTTCAGCTCAGTTTGCTACATACCTGAACTTTTGCCGCTCGTTGCGATTTGATGACAAACCAGACTATTCCTACTTAAGACAGCTGTTCAGGAGCCTTTTCCACAGACAGGGATATGTCTATGACTATGTTTTTGACTGGAACATAAGAAAGGTGAGTCCATCAAGGTGTTTGAAAATAGGCACATAAACAGGATGTGTGGCACCTTTTGCCACGATCTCAGGTGCAACAAGACTCTTTCGTAGCAAGTGCAGGTGCCCAAAAGACATTAGTTTTGTCTTGTTTGCTCCTGTGGCGTATTATCAACGCTGCTGAGAGTAGACATCCTACTGCTTCTAGCCTCACAAGTATTCGAGCAACAAGAGAAATTAATGAGAAATAGGGTCATGGGCCAAGAAAGCCTATATTTACCTCAAAAAACAATTAAGTATGATCTCCCCAAAACCTTATTTTCACAATTGCCTATTCTAAGTATTTTATCTCGCTTTACCTATAGTAATGTGAATGCAAAACATTATATGTGTGTTAGTAACGCGATTCTCATTCATTGTTAACAGTGTCACATCTAATTAGGGCTGGTGCTTCTTTTTACTTCCAAGCTCATATTGCAACCTTATGTATTGAAGCTAATTATATGAAGTTAATTATAATATCTAATTATTTGATCAAATTTCACCCAGGATCCGACTGTTGACCACCATGGTGAAAGATCACGTGATCATGACAGGGAACACAGAGATACAGATCGTCACCATCAAAGGGCCTCGGGTTCTAGATTACCCCAGACGTCATCAAGTCGAGCAAGAGAGTCCACAGGTGAATTTCTTGAGCACGTGTAAAATAATTCTGCTTCAAAGCAAATGTAGATGAAATTTAGTTTTCTTTTTTCCATTCAAATTCGGATTGAAATAGAAAAGCTGCAGGATTTGAAGAATAATTATATTCGGTCTTGTGGGGAATGATCTTCTAAAATGAAGATTTGGATAGCTCCTTGAATAAAACCTTATCACCTTTAAAGTTATGATAACACGAAAAAGTGCTTGAAATATTTAGGCCCATAGTAGAAAACATTTTTTGTCGTTTGTCACGGAAAACATCATTTAAAGTGAGAATTTTTATAAACGCTACCAGGCTTCGTTCAATGCATATTGTATTCAACAAAGTACAGTAAAGCCTAAGGGACCATCCAGTTCTCGGTATCATGTTAATCTCCTACACTAGTAATGAACATCAGACAGAGATGCTTGATTCAAATCAGGCTGTAACTACAGGCAACAACAATTTTGGTGCCTGGAATTGATAGACGTGGTTTCATCTACACGAACAGTCACAGAGCTGGAGTCGACTACGATTTAAGCGATATAAGTTCTTGTTTAGTAATATCATGGAGTAAACGATGAAGCCAAAAGACATTATGCAAAAGAGGTCAATTAATAAGGTCCAGATCATTCTCCGCCCCTCTGTGAGCTCTAAAGTTTATTATCATTGGTGCCACTTGCTCGGCCAGTTCATCGACACAAGAAGTTTGTTCCGACGGAAGCTTTTTCATTTGGTCCAAACATGTCGGGATGAAGGCCATTATTTCCTGGTTGTGTGAAATCAAAACATTCCTAGTTATGAACTTGCTTTTGCTTAATCCATACTCGCGTTGACTCCACCGCTAGCCAGACGCGCTGTTATCTTGCTTGTTCATTAGAGTGTTCAATTTTCTCGTTCATATTGTATTTTCATGCTCATTTGGGTAACATCAGCACCAACTCCTGACGTCATTGGGGGCATGCTTTGTTTTGCTATTGGTACTTCCCAAGCCGTTTGACAGCAAATTCGTCGGAAACGATTTTATTAATCGAAATCAGCAAAAAATTACACATTGGTCTCAAGTGAAAAATGATGTGATGAATTTCTTACCTTAGAAGCACTTATACCATAAACATTTGGGTCGCAGTGAGAATTGTATGTTTTTTGCAGCAGAGAGAGATCGACGACTTGCCTCACGGATCCCGCGAGGTGCCGCAGCAGCTGCCACTGGGGACCATGTCCTTGACTATGACTCAATGCATTCCTCTAACCAAATGAGAGGCATGTACTCAAGTGGAGGGATGGCGACACTTGGATCTCGTAAAATGAGTTCAGGAAGAGACAGGGATACGTTCCCTCTGCCCGATTCGTCACGGTCACCTTCGAGACACCAGAGAATAACTAAATAAGCAGGTGCCCCTTGGCTAGGTTCTAGAGTGTTGGTATTTAGATGGCACCTTTTTCAACTTGTTCCAATTGCAATGTTGTGGTGTAGAACAATAGAGTATTCATGCAGCTTGTTAAACATAGACTAAGATGTATAAAAACTTAAATTATAAAGGTAACTCTGTTGAGTTCTCCAGTGCATTTACCTTTCTAAATATGGTTATGCAGGTAGGACTTTACTCATCATTTCTCATACCTGTTTTATAAGGTATTTTATATGCATATCCCGTTAGGTAGACGCTTTTCAAAGAGTCTCCATTGAAACAAACCGAGAAAGTAGACAACCACTAATGCGCCAACGGTGTCAAACAGATCTCTGTTCTAAAATAGATATTTTCTATTTGAATACATACTTGGAGGACCATCGTTTTCATTAAAAACGAAGGCAACGATTTCAGCAGATACTTAGCATCGCCTCATTCATAGCTCATGTGCATTCAATTTTGAACTGTGCCCAGGTTATGGCACTGGCTTTTAAGATATGCTTCAGCTCGTAGATAGAAGCTGCAAAGAGACCGAACCAACTTCGTCAAATTGTAAGGGTCACAGAGGTTATTTTAACAAACAGCAGAGCGAACTGTTAAGATCGTCCTGTTGTATCATATGGTAATCAACTATTGTATTAACTGTATAACTAAAGTAGACTCGCCGTTCCATTGGTGATGGCTAAGATTATGTTTGTGGTTTTCAAAATATAAAAGCCAAGAACATGCAGTTGACTAAACAGGGTTCTTTCTCTGACGTGTTGAGAATGATGCAGAGAGAGAGAAAGTAGTCCTTCTGTGATCAAGAATATTCGCAATTAAGAAAACTCTTGAAATTGTGCATTTAAAAGATGTTCCTGCAGCTTATTCTGTAATTTTTTGCTCCAAAAAAATTGGACTGAATTGAGATCCAAATAAGTGGAAACGTCGCAAATTTCTAACCCACAAAAGTAATCCCGGCTTTCTTGTCCCAATAATTTCCGTGTACAACCCCGAGAGAATGACGACTTTTGCCTACTAGGTGTACGTTTTTACATCCTCGGGTAAAAATGTTAATGTTTTATTGGTAGCTTTTCCTGCATGTATTTACATTAAGAGATATTCGAAGATTTTGCAGCGTATGTTTCTGTAGTTGTCATGGCGTCGTGTAACTAGGAAACGCGATTTAGTATTTTGGAAATAAAAAATCGGCCTTACGAACATTTCCGAACATTTTGGAAGAGCATATCCGAACTCTATCGAAAAAATTGCTGAAATAGGAATGTTATTTATGACAGTTTTAATTTGATAAAGACTCTGATTCCCAACCCCAAACATTACTCTGTATATATCCTATTCTGTTTTAAAGTTTGCTTTAAAATAGAGCTGTTTGCGTTCCAGTCATGCGGTGCCATGTGTGTATTATTTGATTTTGCTTATAATGCTTGAGCACTTTTGTACATAGGCAATTAAACACCCTATTGTATATTAAATTATGACTTGTTATTCGGTATAACCTTTAAGATTGAGACGAACAGAAGTCTATATTTCTTTTTTTACCTGACAAGAGAACAGTACGATAATGTTTCTTGAATCATATGACACCAACCACTCTCCCAAATGATTTCCGAATGTAACTTTACTTGTGCGGTGATAATTTTTCAAAATACCGGAATAAAATGTTGCCTTTGGTAACAAGTTGACCAACCCTGGCCATGTGCTCTGGCCGAACGTAGCCTTTGTGTTACTGTTTTCAATTTGACTCTATTGTTTCACACTTCACGTTAAGTTGAATTCAAAATTCATTGTTCTACTCTCAGCATAAGCTTTTGATTGAACACAACGTGACGTGGGAATCAGTGGAGTCAACCTGAAACTAGCAGAATGTGCAGGCTAAACATAGCATTTTGTAAAGAAAGAAATGGAAAGTGCAAAAACAAGACAAAAAAGTTTGGCCTTCCAAGAAGTTTCGACAAGCCATCCAATTGTTCATTTTATATTTTAAAATGTCTCATTAGCTACCAAGTAGCTTCTTTCAGTAAATCAGGGCAAAGTCGCCAACTGTAATCATTATAGTTTGAAGAAATATAAAATTGTATAGCATACCAAAACATGTATTCAAAGGAAAAGTGACTGGCTAGGCATATCAAGCCTGCAACACCGAAGCCAGTTCTCAAACAAAACTTCCCAAAAAGTATTCAATGGGAAATGAAATGGAAAAGCGAGGGTATAGGAAGGGAGAAAAATATATAAGATTACCCAGAAGCAACGTATCCTGCGTAGAGCATTGGATACGATTGTAGTGATGTTGGGACAATGCAATTGTCATTCACCGTGACGTTAAGGTTGTCATTAACAGTGACGCTGGAATTGTCATTCGCAAAGAGGTTTGATACTATGGTGTTCCCTGTCACAGAATAGATATCTATTCTGTTGTGTCCCTGTATACAGTGCCATCAAGCGTTCTTATATTCTCGGTACATACACACGAAAAAGATGATTAAATGTGTTTTGTGGTTTCTTTTAATACCAGTGCCAAATTCGAAGATATTTTGCTTTTTAGAATTATTTGCTAGCAACACGTGCGTTCGTTAATAGAAATCAACAGTTAGTAGAAAACGTTGCACCGAAAGCACCCAGACATTCGTCTCTTTGTGGGCCGTCCCTTTCTTCATCAACAGAGCACTACTGAGTCCCTCAAGAATCTCCACTGACTTCTATTCTGTTTATAACTGAAGTATGACATGTTTTTCCTGTTGAATTCACCGTTTACGAGCGGCGTACTCAGTCAAAGAAATTTTCCTCTTTCTTCCTTTTAGAGATTCGATTGTTCTACATGCTAGATGTCTCTCGTTGTTTATTAGGCTAATACAGCTGCCTTTTTGTGCAAAATTTACAGCATCATTGTTTGTTTCCGTACAGGCAACTCCATCTGAGAAGGCCGGTGACGTTTTAATGCAGGGACGATTTTTCTCTGAATATATCGATTCTTGGTAGCAGACCTGGCACACGACATCAAACATTTCCTTCCCAGGATAACCCGTGTCACTACACAATTTTTCTTTCTTTTTACCCTTAAATGACATGTTCTTGTTCTTCGTTCTAGACAGCGTTTCTTTGACTTTTTCTCTGTATTCTCTCTCTGCCATAGAATCAACGAACTTCAGGCTTTTCATCTGAAATAGTGTTCTACAGCCATCAAAGTAACTTTTGAAATCATGACACGATGACTTCTTGCACTCAATTAAAGATTGCTGCAGTTTCTTTTCCAATCTCTTCACCTTGGTCATGCATTCTTGAATACATTTTGTGTAGAATTTCTGTAATATCATCAGCATCTGGTTAATGTGCAATTTGTTTCGGGATTTCTGTAGACCACAAAAGCATAGTGTTACAAAACCCGACGGTTGCTTTTTAAACAAGATGGCCCTAAGTAAAAAGGACTTCCAATTTTAACCGTTTAATTCAGCTTTACTTACTAGTAGATTAACAAGATCCGACTTAAAGGCGACCAATGGTATTTCTATGCTGACCCAAAGTCTTCCTTTTTGAAATGTTGAATTGTTTTCTCTCCATAGATGAGTAAGATTGTTCATTAGGTACCATATTTTCGGAGTCAGCTTTTGTAAAACGAAAATTGGAAACTCAAAACTATAATGAATTGCTAAGGTTTCTCATCAAGCATTCTATTTCCAATAATGAAATTTGAAGGGTACTTGCCAGCACTGAAATTTCGCAGAAAAATCCATCGAAAATCTCCACCATGACTTTAAATTCATTGTTTAAAAGCCAGATATCCATTCGAACGTCGAAATCTTCAATCTGCAAAATACCTGATGATATCACAAACTGATAAAACGTTACCATGAGCTGGGACCTTCCAGGCTAGAGTTGGGGGGTGGGTGGGGGGTGGAGGGTCATCAGTAGTAAATTTACCAACAAAGACATATGAATAGAAAGTATATAAGGAGCATTTTAAGTGGTGTCAAATATAGTATACTCGGATAGATGGAAAGGTTACGGGGATAAGGTACGTGGAGCCCAACGAAGGAACTTCAGTTCCTTACAGACTAAGATTCATCTTTAATGGACAACTTTAACAGACAAGCTTTCATGTTAGTGAAGGCTGTTTTTGTTCCTGTTTTAAATAACGGAAATTAATCATATAATAAGACGCCTGGTCTTAAATTCATCAAAATGGAAACGAATTACAACCTACAAGCATTTAGATAGAGACAAGAGTGGATTTTGTCATACCATTGAGAACATTTTTCGAAGGCTCGTGAAGATTTGTGATGCTGTCTTCAGTAGCTGCAAGAGGCGAAATGAATGTTTTACGGATGAAGAAAAATGCAGAAGGTGGTGCTCTCTTCTCCTAGAGAATTTCCCCTAAAAATTCAAATTTATATAAAATCTAACATAACTTATAACACTTATAACCGTGTTTAGCAGCTACTCTCAAATTCTTGTAAATTTTTCTCTTAAAAGTAGTTTAATTGTAGGCTGATTGTATGATCTTTGTGTCATGGAATTCTAAAAATGATAATGAAAAAACTGAAACTTTATACTTGCTCAAAGTAAGGCCTAAAAACTGAATATTCAACTTAGAAATCATAAACTCTGTTAAGTTAAGCCAATAAATCAATTAGTCGTTTAATGATTAAAGGGGGGACAAAACGTGATGTTATCGATGGAACTATGAAGTTATTTGTCACAAATAACAAATTTTGAAGTCAACTATTCTTTATCGAGTCTAGATATTTCTTAGCATGCGCAACAAAGAAAAGGCGTGCTTGCACTGTGAAAGGGTTGCTCTACAACTAGGGTTAGTAGGTCTATCTTAAGCATGTATTTACACACAGCCTGTTGCTGTGCAGGGTAACTCTGGTGGCCTAATTCACTTCGTAGAGATGTTTAACTTCCATTTTATGATTGAAGGCGCATAAACTTCGTTATGCAAACAATTTCTATGGGAAAATCAGACAAATAAGAACAAAGGAAATCCCCAGGGTAATCTCTAGCAAAGCATTAACGCAATGGAATCTAAACCCTAGGGTTGTAGAGTAACCAAGATAAGCTTATCGCTCAGGTACGACTTCTTTAATGCTAGATCAACTTTACGTTGCAGTGTCAATAAGTACTGACCAAAAACAGGCATTGTTTTGGGTCAACATGTACATAAAGAAACAGGCCTAATGTAATACACGAAAAATTTTTGAATGAAATCTCCTCATAACTCGTGCAACTTTGATCGCACGTCTGAAGTTGTAAATTACGTCACTGATTAAACTTTGTGCTTTTAAACACAGCAAGGTTACCTGGGAATATAAAAGTCTTCTGTCCGGCCTATTCATTAACCGATTCACTACTTCTTTCTTTGTACAGTCAGTGAAGGCATCCCATTTCATTTGAAAATATTCTAAATTCAGAATGCACGAAATCATTTAAAACAAAAGACAATAGAAGGATTTGCATTTTGTTGAAATGGTATCAAGTTATTTACTCTTTAAATGACATAAACATATTTAGTTTGATCGGCTTAAATATTCTTTACAAATATGAATAAACTTTCAAATTTTGAAAAAAATTCACTATATTATAAGCATAAACTCAGCAAAGGTTTAAATCACTTCTATTTTGAAAATCCCCTTATTGATGAAACGTAGTAGTGTATGCAATTAAAAGACTATTCTTTGGTGGATGTGAGATTTATAACAGGGCATTTTTCAACATACTCAGTGGTGGGAGAATCGCCCCACCAAGCCCTACGACTTCCCCCACCACTGACGAGCATAATGCTACCTTTATCCCAAATGTCTAGGCTACTGTGGGACCCTCGTACATAATGCAAATGTGTTGGTAAATGGACACAGATTATTATCTTATCTATCATCATAATGTTTTTGTGGAACATCTCCACTACTGCAAGTGCATATAAGTACAGTGCCAGTGTAAGAGCACATCTTTATCAAATTATGATCAAATGGTGCTCTTCAAGATGTACATGCGAAATAGCCATGGCCGCCGAAGGGTTTTGGAGGCCCTGGAGCAAAGTCAAAAAGCCGAGGCCCCCTGTGAGCGAGGTGAGCAGGAAACTTTTTCCATTCTAAAATAGAATTCTGCTTTGGAGGCCCTGGGGCAACTCTCCCCCTTGCCCCCTCTCGGCGGCCCTGGAAACAACCCATCCAGTCCTTGAAACAAGTCAAGATTTTAGCGTAAGCGGGGTCTTTAAGTGTGGACCCTTTTGAAAAGTGCCCCACTACTTAAAAAATCTTTAAAAAATGCCCGGACAAGGAGGCTTTTTATGGAATGTGTGACTAAGGAAGACACTGAGAAGATGGAAAGCAGTTGCCGAATATACTCACCAATGTCTGTGATTAACGAACAAAATAACGAACTAATGTCAGCATCGGAAATTGACGTCAAGCCAGTCTGTAAAGACGATTCACAGCTTTGAATTTGTTAAGGCTTCTTTACTCAATCTTAATGACAATAACTAAAAATTCTTAACAAAATTCATTAAATTTAGCTTAAACAGCCCATTTTCTCACGAAATATACTGCGTAAAAACTTTCTGTCTTGTTTAGACTGTTGTATAAATGTGTTTCACAAAAAAAATTAAAATTTTCTCTGACAGATATTAAAAAACTGAGTCATGGACTGTTTTATGGTCTTCCTCTGTATTGATCGACACATCAAAGACCTGATTTCATGTTAGTCAAGAAAAAAAGAGAAACAAGTTACCTCAAACCGTTCATGTTCCGTGCTCCACAAGTTTGCATTGAGCTCTCCTGAGTTCGACATCTTTATTCTTTACTATATTCCTTCCTTTTGCTTAAAAAAATTTCAAAGGCATATAAATGCTGTTGTTTGTTTTTATACGAGGTGTTTATGGCCAGATGTTTCATAGCGTTTCTTTTTTCTATGGTGTTGATTCCATGACCAAGCACTCGAAATTCTATCAGGAGAACCCAATAACGTTTACTGGAATTGAACGATATTTCTGTAAAATTACCCGCAAAAGAAATTACGAGTCATCACCAATTAAAAACACCCGTTTTTCGCTAGATAAAAGAATAAAAACAGCTTACATTAATTATTTTTACAGATAAAGCTTTAGATTACAACAAAAACATTGCACCAAAGTACACAAGTAAAACAGTTTCAGCCCATGCAGATTGACTTAATACCTAAACTTGACAGAATCTTCAGTGTTATAACGATTTTTGGGATAATTCTCTAAGAGTGGATGGAAAGTTATGAAAGTTTTGATTTGGTGCTTTGTAAAAACACCGACTAAAGTCTAAACGTTACAGAATCTTGAGTGTTATAGCCAGGGGCGTGGTGGGAATTTTTATGGGTTGAGAAAATCAAATTTTTAAGGGCACACCATTTGATGCTGGTTGTTTCTTGTTGTCATCACTGGAAATGAGTCTCGTGGAGGCAGAGTGAGGCCCCGCTTATTTTTTTACAAATCTGATGTTACAAATGTAAGAGATTAAAAGGAAGAAAAATCTAAGGGGCCCACATGAAAAGTTTTAAGGGGCCTACCGGGAGGTTACCAGTGTCCTGGTAGGCCACCACGCCCCTGGTTATAATTGAAGTCTGAAGGCATAGAGCACGTTTTTCGCTAATGGTAGGGTAGACATATATGTTGTTGAAGATTGATAGAAAGTCTAGCCTATTGAAAAATATTTTGAATGGGAGACAGAGACAGTAATCCACTATGGCTTCAACTGCATAAGCAGATCTTTGCATTGGTCGATAAGATACGGACTGAAAACTTTTGACGGCCCAGCGTTGACAGAAAAAAGCCACGACTATTACTTTAAAAAGCGGGATATGGTAAGGGGTTTAGCAAGAAATATTTAGGCATTTAATCAATATATTAATGCCTCTACAGGCATTAATTAACATTGGCAGTATTAGGGACTAGAGGACCCTTGCTCTTTTCAATTTCTAAATTCATTCCTTAGGAGCAGGCCACCTTTTTGGCCATTAAATCGAGGGGCGAGGGGCCTGGAGCAATGGTCCCTTGGCCCCAAAATGGTGCCACTACAAATACACTTTCGGTGGAAATTATAACCAGTAGCGTCGCCAGCCCGGAAAACTGGGGGGTGGATAAAAATTATTTTCTCGACCATGCCCTTCATACACTCGGAAAACGCTTTAATTAGTATTTTTGATATATTCCAAAATTTTTGGACAGGTAACTTTCTCAAGCAGCATTTTTCGTAACGGGGGCCTTCTTTCAAGGACGAAAATCTAGATCTATCTGATCAACCTCCCTCCCCTAAAGGTTTTCAACTGATTTCAAGAAATTAGAAAATCAAACTCTGGGAAAACTGGGGTGGACATGTCCAACCCATTCCACCCCGTGGCGACGCCGCTGCTGGTAAAATATTGCTCTCCTGAAAAAGAAATCCGTTGCTGTCGTTGTTTCCTTTGTCCCAGACAGTTGTTGCGGCTGTGGAAACTTATATATCTACAAAAATCTTAGGCCTAGATACCTGACTGGTGGTTGAAGCCACGAGGAATGAAGTAATTAAAACCGTCGACTTAGGCCGTACAGGGCTTATAAAGAAACATTCTTGTGTTTTTTAATATCTTCCATGTCAAATAATCGGGTATGCTATAAAATATTGTATTTTATTTCGCTGACATATCTAGTACCGGAACAATTTGGATAGCAAGAACAGTTCAACATCATCACAACACCGGGCAAAGGCCTGCAGAGAAACCAACTGAATTAAGCGGAATATCTTTTAATTGAGAAGAATTAAACACTATAGATGACATTTTAAATGTTTAAGACTGCAAATGCAACATGGCCACAAGATTGGATCGTCTTCTGGTGCTTTTAGACACCGGTTCAAATTCAATAACAAGGAAAGCTGCAGCGCAACAACTCGGTGAAGTGCAGAAACTTCATCCGCACGAGCTACACAATTTGCTCCACAGGGTGAGTAGAAATGATATTAAGAAAAATGAAAGTAAAAATACGTATCTTATCAAGAGCTTCCTTAACTTGAGTGCATTCCTTTGTTGTGGGTTATCTTGCAAGATTTTGAAATGTCGGTTAGCAATATGCAGATTTTCCTGTCATTTCCTTCTTTGCTCTGTGTCCAAACTATTTCCATCCGGGTTCAAAGCCTTGCGAAAGATTTAACATTGAGATCTAACTGGAATGATAACCTATAATACCATATTTAAAAAATGTACCTTATTACAAAGATTACAAATGATGGTCAATTCAGTGTATGTGTCAAAATCACACTTAAGATTGAGATGCAGTTCAAGGAAATAAATGTTTGACAAAATTTTTTTGTGTTTAAAGCTCAAAAGATTCACAATGTTGTGAACATAAGCGGTGCTTTTTAAACAAATTGTGTTGTTCCTCAAAAATGAAATATCACAAACTGTCTTTCATCAAAAACAGGTAACATAGAATTTCAAAGAGCTTGAAAGAAGGCTTTTACTGACAACAAAGCTGGTCAGGATGGGACTGAAATTTAAAAAGTTTGGTGCACAGATACTAGAATAGACACAGTTAAGCTGCCAAGAAAATTTAAAATACACAACTCCTTGATAGTTACAAGTTGACCTTTGTTCTGAAAAAGTCTTAATAAAAACTTGGGTTCTTTAAACCTAATTGAAGTGATTAAAATGTTTGTTTACCTGGTGTTTGTTTGAGGAATAATGGCTCATATTTTGTTTTGTATACCAAACTATTTTCATGTCTGATATACAATTATTATTTTTGTAAGGGAATGTCATATTTTTGAGCATGTCCGTTTCTTATTTGGAGGAATTTAGTTAAGATAAAGTGCACCTTATCAAACTCCTTTTTGTGACATTATGGATTTTTGCAGGTTCATTCACTCCTAAAGAGTAGCAGCTGGGAGACAAGAATTGCTGCATCCCAAGCCATTGAAGCAATTTCAAAAAATGTTCCAAACTGGGATCCTTCTCCTTTAGCTATGAAAGGTTTGTTTCATCAAAATAAAAGTTTTTTATTTTTTGCAAAATGTTGTTTTCCCCAGAAGCCAATTTCATATGTTTTCTAACTTTCATTTGACTTTCACCAGTGACATTCTTTTTTGTATTTGTTTCTACCTAGCATCCGAAGGTAGTTTTTAGGAAACTGAGAAGCTTATGCTTATTGAGCAGTGTCCTGGTCCTTCCTCTCAATGTGACCACACCTTGTGATTCTTATGCCTGGAATTAAAGAGAGCCGGTGACTCTCTTCACTCTAGGTTAAAATTTGGTTATGCCAGGGACTCGAACCAACAACCCTTGGGTAGTCAGCGCTTGTAACAACTGAGCTTTCCTTGCACAAAGCTGTTTTTTAACTCGTAAACTGATTTTGTTCTCTAAATAAAACAATGTATTGTTGTCACATGATTATATTTTGGGCCAGGAATACTCATGCAAATTCATTGGCTTTTTGTCATCTGCAGTTGAAAAACAAGAAGCTAAAGATAATTTAAAAGATGATGGTAGCTTCAGATTTGACTCATTTGACATTTTGACTGTGATTAAATATGGAGAACCATTGCTGGGGTCTGCTGGAGATGAATTTGACATTGATGAAGATTCTTCTTCTTCCCAAGGTAAGGATCATAATGAAGTTAACATAATATTCATGCATATTGTTATCCCCTGTGAACAATAGTATTAAAATATGTGCATAAATCATATCTAGCCTCTATTCCAGTTAGCGCGTGTTGTAAGTCAGTTTTTGTATGTGCAATTATGATGAAGATAAATATATTTTGAAGTCATTTTAGGTCTCAATATTTGGTTTATTACAATATTGCCAGTAAATGGTGCCTAATATTTTATCAACCATATATGGTCTTTTTATCGACTATATAACTTCAGTCAATTGCCGTCTTTTCTCTTGGTTGCAAACTTTGTTTTCACATGTAAAAATTGACTCTGAAAACCTAGTTGAAAATAAAATACCAGAGTTAGTAAGTCTGCTCATAATTTGCTAGGTGTCATATATTTGCAGAAGAGCTGCCATAGGCCAGATATGATTTGCTAATTCTAGTCACCTTGCTCTATGACGTGTATGACAGCAAGCTTACCAGATCAATTAGGAAAAGAGGTGCTAAATAATCGATAAAATATAGTGTAGTCTTGAAGAGTTATTAACCTATCATTCTACTATAAACTTGAAATTTTTGGTAAAACCTTTTTCTTTAAATTTTATAAAACCAAGGAAACAGCTCTTTGTAATCAGTGCCTGTTGTCAGTCTACACGATTATGGTGTTGGTATTTTTCTGATAAGTTGAGATAGTTTAGCGTTTCTATGTTTTGATTTAGGGTTTTCAAGAGATGAACAGTTGTCACGCCAAAGACTGATGCTCAGAAAACGTCTAGGACTAGATCTGATTGGAGGTGTAGATCTTGGCATGGAAGGAATAATAGATGAAGGTGATTTCATTGTTAATGAAACACGAAGACCCAAACTTGGTTCAATTGGAAAACAAAATTCAGCTGAGGTATGAAATTCTGCTAGAACAAGTATTTTATCAGGTATCTCCAGCTATATCTTTTTAGAGATAGAAGTCAGGAAAATTTGAACAACTTCTTTTTGCAAACTTCGCAAAGCTTACTGAACATTTCTCTTCTTCGCGAATTTAAACGGTTGTCAATTAGTCAAAGGTCAGAGAGTTCCGCATTCCAATGCAATAACTGTTTCTAAAATGACTCTTTCTTCGGGAATGGAGCCTTCTCATTTTTCTAATGAAATTTGATTGTAAGTTTGAAACTTGTGAATTTTAAATTCTCCCTCGGACTCTTCAAATTTGCAGTTAGTATTTATTGATTAATCAAAATAAGCAGCCAGTCAAATTCTTCCTCTCACGTTATTTTCGATCCACGTTTTGTTATAAATTTTCGATCGCCTTTTAATCGTTATCTGACGCTTTATAATGGCTACTTTTCCGATTTTCTGCGCTATAAAGAATTTTTTTTAAATACTGTTCAAAGGGCTCTAGGATAATTTTAGCTTTTCGTTTGCTGGAAGAATGAAACTTTGTTAGAAATTTCCTTTCTCTTTTATGTCAACAACCTATGCCATCAGTTCCTCTCAAAGTATTTAGAAGAAATCTGGATTCCACAAGTAATACTTTTATGCTCTTTCGGCGCCGAGTGCTGTAGCCTTGTAGTATGAAAAGCAAACCGTTAAATTACCAGCCAATTGAGGAAAAACTTCCCCGATATTCAACCAAGGTTTTATAAACGCTGTAGCCATCAATTTTTGTTGCTGACGTGGCTGTATACCTAGGGCTTGTTTGACGTTTCCCAGTCATGGATGAAAAATGATGGTGATAAAAATGTTATCATCAATTTCTTATCCGTGGTTCGACGTATTATCAGTGTACTAAACACCTAAAATTTCTTTCTGCCCAGTGATCGCTTTCCATCGACTTCATGATTCCATATTGCCACCGTGTTTTGACGATCAGCTTCCGATCTTGCTCCCTTTATGCCCCTTTTTTCTAGAAATCGGCCGAGTTGATGGCAATAGAAATCGCTGCGATAAACTCGAACAAAGGCATGAGTGCCAGGGAGAAGAACATTGCGATAAGGAGAGCAAAGAAGCTTATTAAACAGCGATCAAAAGACCAACAAGATTCGGCGTTTTCTACTTCGAAAAGGTATGCTTTTCAATACAGAAAATTATTAATATTATACCTCCGAAAGCATTTCAATATATTATTTATTCTGAGTGTTACAATTAATCAAAATGTGGTTTCTTCGAACTTTTCTCTAAAAACAAAAAAACACATTTTTTGCTTCACTAAGACATTTTCATAATACAATTCATACTGTACAAATTTTTCTGTAATACCGAACACCTTTGCAGCCATTTTGGCGGGATTTCAACTCTCTTTGCAAGTTCGATGACTTTTTATTACGCTAATTCTCGCCTCATAATGGCTCTCAAATTTTGGAATCTGGGATGGGAGAAGCCATTTCTTTCTAGGAAGTCAGCTAAGATGTTGAGAATTTCTGTCCTACGAACATCTAGCAAGATGACGTAGACCGATTTTTCGGCTCTTCATTTTTGTACCTGTTGTTTGATGAAATGGCTTTTGGCATGAATTTGATAGTCACATGAGACTCCTATGATAATAACTTAGAGTAACTGAGAGTATTTATGAGTAACCGATAGTAATCTAGAATTAATTTGTCTATTTCTTCGCATCTCTAAACATTTGGGCTCTGCTAGGCATTGTGAACTGTGCAACAGAACAATAGCTGTCGTAAATATGCCAAAATATAGATTCTGGTATATAAGAAATAAAATATTCGTGTTTTGCGGAAAGATCATGCTAGGCAACTTTTTTTTAAAGTCAAAATTTCTATATATTATTATTGTAGCTAGCTCATTTAATTTCAAATTTTCCTTTCACACCATATGTTTATAATATGAGCCTTATTTAAAAAGAAAAGCAATCTTGTATTACTCTAGTTTGTTCCGTAAGGTTGAGCAAGGTTATTGGAGACTGGTGCTTCGTCTGAGTTTTTATTGGCTTTCCTTGGCTCCCCTGTATCAATACTCGTTGTCTTTTGTCATTGATTCTATGTTTTTTACCCGATGGGCCTAGTCGTTTAAAATCGACCAATTTCATTTTTTGCAGCCTCGACCTGCCTGAACAACCAGCTGCAAAAAAGCTGCGTCGTTCTGCTAGCGTTGTAATCGATCAGCCGGGAGACAGCAACAAAGTTTTGGTTGACCATGTCGCAGATAACTTCACTTCGCTAGAAGATGTATGTATAAGAGGATTTAAACCATTTTGGATCCAACCACCTGTTATGTAGAAATTGTATCGATTCGTGTGCTAGTCCATGAATTTGGACTTCAATTATGAAAAGAAATGTTTCAAATTCTCTCCAATGCCTAACTTCAGGGAGACATTTTAGGGGTGTTAACAAAGTTAAATTCTTTGGAATTCACTTTCACTTCTTGTTTCACCTTCGTATAACCCCGTATTGATGATAAAAAATGCTTGATAAAAAATGCAGATACTTACCAAAAATTGTCTGAAATTCTTTCCTTCTGCTCTGATGACTTTCCTTTTTTTGGATCAAAATAATGACTGATAGTAATAAGTACATTTGACTTTGACTCGAATTCTCTGCTTGGTGATGAGATTGAGTTTTATAAGAGACTGTTTACTGAACTTTGAAAAATTATCAAACTTATTTCATAGTACGCATTTTTTCAAAATTCAGAGAGCTTGTCTTTTCGCTAATTAAATTAGAGATTCTCTGCCATTGAGAATGCGCAGTTTAAAGGCACGGACACTCTTTTAGATACTGAAGGAAGATTATTCTTTGCCATATAATTTGATGAGTTACCTAAGTAAAATTTTTGTTTACAGCTGGAAGAATGGCCATTTCAGAAGTTTTTCACCGAACTTTGCAATGAGTTGTTCCATCCGTCTTGGGAGGTAGGCTTATTCATCTCCCATAATGTTGTTTGTTTCTTTCTTATCCCAGCTACTGTGTGACAATGTCTGAGTTGAAGCGCGATAATGCGTGATTATGTTTGCGTTAAAGCGCGATGATACCTTCATAGGACAAGAACAAGTCGTTGCTTTTTGCTCTCTTAGAAAGCTGCTAGGAATAGTTCCTGCTGCATTTGGAAATTTTAAAATTGCTTTCTCTTTTGTTCCTGAAACAGGTCCGTCATGGAGCTGCATCTGGCCTAAGAGAGGTTATCAAAATCCATGGTGGTGGTGCTGGCAAACAAAAGTCAATGACTGCCGAACAGGTCAGCAAATGAGTGAAAGTCTATATTTTGTTCTGTTGGGTCCATTTTATCATATTCAGGGCCCACGAGAGCCACACCGGGTCCAGGGGCAATGACCCCCCTTGCTTCCTCCCTCGGTGGACCTGATCATATTGCTTTAAGTCTATGTGCTCTCGTAAAGAAGAATTCTTCAAAACTTTTCTGAAGATAACACGCTTGCAGAAATGAAACTGTCAATGAAACACTAAACAGCATTGCTGAAATCGTGCATCAAATAGATATTCACTTATTTTGTAATTTGTCTGAGATATAATTATTCAGAATGGAAAGGAAATAATGGTCGCACGCGTGATTCTCAGAATACCGCAAGACTCAAAATGACATCACAACACTATGTGCATTATGAACACTTGTCCATGATGAAAACTTTATTCTTGATAACACTGACCTTTTGACTTTAGCCTTTTGATAACACATTTTTATTTTAAGAAAGTTGTATTCAAAAACGATATTTAATTAATATTTTGATTCTTTTTCTTGATGGTCGATGAGCGTTTTGAAAGTGCAACTGTCAATTTTTTCATGTGATTTGTTGTTTTTGTTTAATAGACTTAAAAGGTTTTGGTGCATCGTCATTGAAAGATAGATTTTCAGTTACTGAGCAAGCACTTTGGCTGTTGTAAATACAGAGTGACCGCATGACTACATGACAGTGTTCTAATCTTACGCGTTTCGTCCACCTGACTGCATAACTTTCTTTTGAACCGTTTTATAACTTTAAGTAAACCTTTTCCTTGCAGATGAAAATTGCTAATATAGAATGGCTTGAAGACACAGCTCTTCGATTGCTGTGTGTGTTTGCTTTGGATCGATTCGGTGATTACGTATCCGATGAGGTAATTTTCATGAATTTTTTACTTATTCCCCATCATGTAAATACCTTGTTGGCCAGCGATCCCCATCAAAAATTGGTTAAATGACATTTTGACAGGCTTTCTCAAAACTGCACAACTTTTTTTACTCTTTTAAGAATAGCAATATCAACGCTTATTTATATGTTCAAAGATCATCATTTGTTTATTTTATGCTCTTAAGGCCTAGCCATTGGTAAAGATGGAAGCAAATGTAGTATTTTTCAGTTTTCTCCATATAATCCAAAAGAGTATTATGAATTACATTTTTTGTGTACTGAAAGTTTTTTTGTGCTGTCGATTCAGATTTAAGTATAAAAATCCAAACATTAGGCAAATACGTTAAACAGTAAAGCTCCCTCCAATAAAGTTTTGCTTAAAATCTCAGACAGATATGTAAATTACCAGTAAAAATCTCTCCTGCTAAAAATTACCACAAATTGCGCTCATTTCCCGCAGTCAATTACCCTCAATTCTTTCTGGTTTCCTAACATCCAGCGCAATTCATCTGAACATTTCGTTGGTCTTTCTCCCAGGTCATTGCCCCCGTGCGAGAAACTTGTGCACAGACACTTGGGTCTGTGTTGCAGTATCTAGAAAACGAAAGTGTATTGAAAATACTGAAAGTCTTGATGATGCTGCAAGAACAGGATCTTTGGCAAATTAGACACGGGGGTCATTTAGGAATCAAATATGTTCTTGCTCTGAAAAAGGTAAGATTCTGTGCATTGAATGTAACTGTTATATTCTCGAGATTACATAGTCTGATATATTGCAATAAACCTGCCCTAATATGTATGTAATTGTATGTATCTAATTAGTTAGACGGACAACGGAAAGGCAGCGTTGATAGAAGTATTAATGAGAGCAACAGGCCTTTGTCCCATTAGGTCAGCTAAATGCATCGAGGAAAATAATACGCCATGTTTCCTTGTCATGCTATTGGCCTATTCCTTGATATGAATTTACTAGTTTTATTTGTTGTTTAAAGGAAGAAATAGATTCTTTTTATAATGGAGGATTTAATTTGATATATCATATTCCTTTGCTCAAATTTTAAACGCTTCGCATTGCCTAAATGTCCATTGTGCAAAGGTTTAAATCGTGTCTATTTTTGTTGAGGAACTATTCCTACCGCCTCTAAAATCACGATCCTCTTTTGAATCTTCCCTCGAATATCCAACTAGCCTATTTAGAAAAAGTTCACCATTGTATCAAATTGTCAGTTTCTTAATGAACATTTGCAGTAGACACCCAGACTGATGTGATTTGTGATCTAGTTTCTTCTCCTATGTTTTCTTCTAAGGAGCTGACAAAGGACATTCTTCCCGCCGTTCTGCCTTCAATAAAAAAGGGATTGCAAGATGATGATGTCAGAGCTGTTGCAGCTGCTACCTTGGTACCCGTTGCATCTGAACTCGTGTCTTTGATGCCAAATGAGGTATGTGTACCATTTCAGTAATGATACCCAATTTGTATTCAGTGTCTAGAGAATGTACCACCTTAACTAAAAAATTGTCACAGAAGTTAAAAATAATTGTATTAACCGGGTCCCTTAGCGTTATAAATTTTTTCTAAGGTTTTCTGAAACCTAATTAGCATGCCACACTCTTAATCTGTGTTTTCCATATTTAAATAAAAAATAATAGATAAGATCAGTATTTTACACAAAGGAAGATCGAGTATTTTGCTAGGCATCATATCAAGCATGCATATCTTTTAAAAGTCTCCTTGATAAGCCAACAAAGGTGATTTGTTGTCCTGGGGTATTGGGCAGGATTTGATGACCATTTTCTTTCAAGGAACCCTGCTCAAAATCCTGTTTGTTAGGTTATGGCTTTTTCTTATCTGTTTATCGATATACAGTCTCTAAATTTGATCAAAAACTATGAATACCCTTCTCAAATGCTTGTTATAGTACAGATTAAATTTGTTGCACTTCCTGCACTTTTTCGTATTCTGTCATATTTGGATGTTAGTAAGGATATGAGTAAATGATAGCTTGTGTACATATCATTGCAGCTTTTGGGCTTCGCCCTAATTTGTTTGTTATTGTTCTGAAATTGTTATTAACTAAGGTTGATAATCCAGCCCTTGAATGGCAAGCAAAAGACAACGGAAATATTTAAATCATAAATAAGATTTCGCAATTCTTTTCTATTACAAGACATTATTTTATCATGGTAGGAGTAAAAGAGAAAATTTCCTTTCCATGAATTTATTTACGAGTTAGTAACTTCACTATAAAATTGTGATATGGACAAGTGAAAGAGTTTCCACCAGCTTAGAGATCATTCAAACCCGTTTTAAACGAGGAAACTTCAATTAAATGACAATGAGGGCTGTAGTCTTGCAAATGGTGGTATAAAGTAACCTCATGTTTCAGGTCCCCATCATTGTCAACATATTGTGGGAAATTCTTCTGGATTTGGACGATCTTGATTCATCAACGAAAAGTGTCATGTGTTTGTTATCGTCACTCATCGCTAAGAATATGACAGGCGACGTTCCAATGCAAGACGCGGGAAACCTTACAGAATTAGTACCCAGGCTTTGGCCGTTCTTGAAGCATGCTATTTCGGCAGTAAGACTATCGGTATTAGATGCACTGAGGACACTTTTGGCGCGGCTGCCAGATCCAGACGCAACCGAGGTATAGTATTGTATTTCAATGCAGATCTCAAAACTGTAAAATAGCGTGCTTGTGGATGTTGTTTATTCTTCACTTGGCCTATCATTTGCAACTAAACCCCCTCCATACCAAAAGCCGCCAGTTAACGCATTTTCTTGTGCCTTTGATAAGAACTTATCTGCTTGAATAAGCTAACATATTGCACCTCATACAGGTGAAATTCGCTTTGCACGCCCAAAGGCTACTTTTTTAAATGCTCTGGTGAGCGAATAAACCCGAACAGAAACCCTGTGCTTGAATGACTTATGATTGTTTTGTTTTGCATAACTTAGAAGCATAAATTCCAGGTTTCTAACTGCCTAAAAGTTCTGGTTAAACTCAAAGGCTCAATACCATTCAGAGTTTTACAATTTGCCAACAAATTTGCCTCATAACTATATTTGGGCCTAATTCGCACGTTTTTACAAACCCCCAGAAAAATGATTAACGAGCAATTTAGGCCTAAATCTAGCAACTGTGAGTCACGTGTTTGTAAAATTTTACATTTCTGATTGGTTAATATGGTATGGAGAATTTGAATGTAATCAGAACTCTAAGCCAAAGCAAGATCTTGTTCCATTACATAAAGCATCAGTCATTTATCGCAGACGCCTTCTCCATCTTGGTGCTACTTAACTATACCTACGTAATCATTGGATAGGATACGTAAATTGAACAATAGAAACAACATATTTTGTATTTACTACAGATTTGGACAACAATATTAAACATCATTTTTGAGAGAAAATGATCCAAAGGTTTACAATCCTGACTCTATCCAAGATTTTTTAACATTACGATCTTAGCTATAAAGATTTTCAAAGCATGTTTTCTACCTAGATTTTGACATAACGTTTCTTTATAACTTGGAATCGGCAATATTATAAGTAACAAAGTTTATTTCAGGGTAGCAGCTGGGTCGAGCCGATTCTTGCCGATCAATTGAGTCACATCTTTCAAAGATTCATATTGGAACCAATCGAAGACATCAGCTCTTTGGCGCTAGAGGTAAAGGCAATAAAGTACCAACTATTCTTGCGCAGTTACCTGGGTGCTTTATGCTCATGCCTGAAATGATCTGACGACCGCTAACACTTCTGCTTTTTGCCATGTCTAAGTTTTTGTCATATTAAGCTGAAGACACAGGACGGATGTAAAGCCATGTTGTTTAAAAATAGTTCAGTTGTTGAAACGTTCAGGGAGAACTGATCACATGAAGTGATCAGTCGCCTAACAATGATACTCTATTGTTTTGTCTTCTTTTAACCACATTTGAACGCAGTTTATCAAGTCGTGGAAACATCTTTCGTTGTTGGATGCAAAATCAATAACATGCAATGTCCGGTACGATTTTTCATGGGTTGTCTGTTTTCAAATTAATGTAAATTTTTTTTCTCCAACCATACTGAATCTGCCGTGTAAATATTTGTTTCTTTCTTTCTATGATATTGTATTTAAACACTTTATTTTTCGTAAGGTTTGGTCGCTCACTATAAGGAAAGTATCGACCGTCACGTTGACAGAATGCTCTAAAGACATGATCAGTACATGGCTCTCATTCCTTGTCACGCCACACACCGCTCCTCTAGATTTATCCAGACTCATTGGCTACAGAAACAACACAAAATCAAAGGTGAAATTTTTCTCGACGTCAATTTTTAAAGGCAAAGGTGAAACGTTTTTGCCTCTCTTTGCTTAATTCTTTGCATAATAAATGGGGTCTTTAAGTTATTATTCCAGTAAAACCATAGTGGAGCTAATAAGAACTTACGAAAAGCAGTTTGGTCCCATAGGCTTCCCTTTTCTCTTTCCATGATCTAACTTTAACAGTGCACAAACTTTGTTGAAAATACCAAAGATAAAATTCAATTCCAATTAAAACAAAGAGAAATCATTCATCTAATTTGGTTTCTGTCCTCGTTTATAACTAAGCGTCTAATTTTTTTTAATATATTTCAGGTTGCTTTTAAAAGCGCGCCACTTTTCTAAAGCTAACTGAGCTTAGTTCTATCTAGGGCACCGTGCGTCTGTTGCCCCAGATGTTGCCCTTTACAAAAAGATTTTTCGTCGTTCCGCTAATTCTTAAGGGCTCATTATTAAACTTTAGAACTGTCAATCACATCTCTTTTTAAATAATAGAGTGTGGAGAATGGCGAGGCTTCTTCTGTTTACTTCATCGGTGGAATAACTGGCGATATGGACGCTGCAACGAAGGAGGGTATTGCGATCAAATCGAGGCTACTTGGAATAAGGTAATGTCTATAAGATCCCTCGTTTTCGAGCGAAATCTTTCAATTATGTTTCTTAATACTATTTCTGCCACGACAACTTAGCCCATGAATATTTAGGCCGATCGCATTCAGTATTAGATGATTCTGAGACGAATATACATTTATCAAGATTTGATGGAAATCAATTATTATTTTCTTGGCGGGAATAATCTCAAAGATGATTGTGTATGTGATTTTTCAGTGATTGGCGAAGACTTTGCATTTATAACCCCGCATTCAAGAAAATTGTTTTATAAATAACTTAATAAGACTGCATATTACTGTATGTGTTATTTCAATAATGAACCTTGTAATAAAATTATGGTTTCGGAGGCCCTGGGACAAAGTTTAATGGGGAGCCTGGGGCAATAGTGAAAAACTTTGTTCCGACCACGCCCTTTTGATTAACTTAAAATTCATTTCAGAATATTTCTTGCAGCCATATTCTTGCAATCATTTAAAACCGTCAAAGAGGCACTGACGAAAATTTTTGCATCCGAAGATTTCAACGATGTTTTATGAGCCACAGGTTGGGGGCTCATGGTACCCAATAATATCTTTCGTTTTTCTGTACCTGCTATGAATGTTAAGTTTCTAGTGTACGAGCAAATCTTGTTCCTTTGTTATGACACGCTCGCACACTCGTACCATTTCTCACACCATGGCTTTCACCGAAAAAATACCCCCATATTTCTGCCCCCGTCTCGTTTGACACAAAAATTTTGTTCTCACAAGGTACACAATCTCCACATAGACCAACCTCCATGCATTCGGGATTTCACCTAATGATTACAATTTTTTGCGTTAGTGCCTCTTTTAGGGAATCTTTTCTTACGTTTGACTGATTTCTTTTGTAAAATGGAATTCATTACTTAATGAGGCCCCCTAGACCACGAAGCCCTTTGGCTTAGCCCCCCCATGTCCCCTGTTGGTGACTCTGCATAGTAATGCTATTTCGTTTCAAAGATATTTCAAGCGAATAACAGTTGCTTGATGATCGTATTAAGCGTGAAACTCAGACTTGGAACCATCCTGTTCCATACAACAAAGTGTCAAGCAGAGACTGTATAAACTGTGAGCACATGATTATTATTATTTTCGCAGGGCTGTCGCTCTTCTTCTATCGTGTCTTGAGAATGGATCAGGAAATGCCAACGACACGGTCCTCCTCATCTTCCAAACCCTTCTTCAAATGCTGTCTGTGACGTCAGCCTTGCAAAGAATGGTTGCCACGCTTGTGCTTATTGAATGGACAAAGGAGTGTAAGGTGAGGCTGCCTTGTTCGATGCTGCTAGACCAATTATATGTTGTGTCGATAACCAAACATAAATTCAGTACTGTGTTTTGAGTTTCGCTATATGAATAAATGACAATTCACAGATGCTATGAGATGGTCGGCTTGCTTTAAAAAGCTAATAGCTTTTAGTAAAAACTAATTAATTCGGGTGTGCCTAGATGGGTATCAAGCATGTCCTTTTTGTGTGCTGGGCAACCTTTCTAACCCTCGTCAGCTGTGCGGCTCTTTATTTGTGACTCTCTGTGACTCTTCTCTTTGTAGGTATGCTTCTGCCCGGACCCACTGATAGATCGTTTAAATGCAATCCTTTCTGAGCAGTTCATATATGACGAATTAATACCACACAACCAGAGACTACAGGTTGATACAAAGGTAACCTTCAATGCCTTTTTTGCTTAGGAAATTACCAAGTATACTTTTTTTTATAAAAGTACAATGCCTGCCAAAAGTCTTGGAACACTGACATCAATTTGCAAGGTCAAAATCAATTATCCCCCTCTCCCCCACGGAACAATGTTGGTTTACTACCAAACTGGTTAGGATTTTAGTAAACACTTTCTTTTTCACATCTTTTATGATATTTCTCTAAATTATCAACATTGTTTTAGGGGGAAGGGGGGGGGGGAAGTAGAAATTTTTTTCATGAAAGGAATGAAATATATCAAATTCAGCGTAAATTGCTGGGTGTTCCAAGTATTTTTGGCAGGCATTGTACACTTCAAAAAGACGCCGAGACTTGATTTGTCAGAAAATAAGAAAATCGTAGAAAACTGCATAGATGAAAATATGAAAAATAGAAGAAAAGACAATTTTTTTAAAGATTTTCTGCTTTGCTAGCAAAACAATAGATTTTTTCAGCAAATCAACCTTGCTATTAAAAGTATCACGCGAAACTTTTACTTTGCGGTCTTAGAAACAATTAATAACATGTTGTAGAAAAATCAATTTTGAAATAAGATCCCTCCACGTCTAAAATTATCCACAAAAAGATAAGAGAATGTAGCCTCTGCAAAAAGTATTTGGTTTTTATTAAAAATGGATTGTATTAAATCTTCAATAGAATTAATTTGTCTTTGCAAGGAAGGCGAATTGTTGCTATTGTGTAAGGTAGTTTCATCGGTAATGTTAGCAGATCTGGACTGTTTGATCTGATTACCTTGCTGTCATACATGTCATAGAGCAGGGTGACTGGGATTAATGAATCCTCGCTCATATGACTGGGATTAATGAATCCTCTACTGCAAATATATGACACTTAGCAAATTATGAGCAGATTCGCTAATTCTGGTGTTTTATTTTCAATAAATTGTCCAGAGTCAATGTTCATATGTGAGATTAAATTGTTTGTAACTGAGTGTAACTAAGTGTGGTAGATAAAAACCAGGCGATTAAGAACGATAATTCTTAGTGGATGCATTAATTAATAATGGGTAGGAGGAGATAGTTAGTTTTTTTGAATACAATTTCCATGGACCTATTTTTTTTCTTTTAACATTTTACAGCGGTTTCATTTTATTGGTTAAGATTATTTCCCCTTTTTTTGATTCGGACCCATCTAGTATTTGTTTCTATCTAGCTCCCGAAGGTAGTTTTTAGGACACTGAAAATCTATTCTTATCGAGCAGTGTCCTGGTCTTCCCTCTCGATGTGACCACACCTCGTGATTCCTACGCTCAATTTTCTATTTTACCGACTAATCGTATAAATGTAGCAAATAAGAAACACCTTAATACGCCGTGAGTAAACAACAATAAATACTCGTAAATCAGTGAAGGCTAATAAACACGTGTATTTATTGTTGTTATTGTTGTTTATTCTCGACGTATTGCGGTGTTTCTTATTTGCTACATTTTCATCGACTTTTCGCCGCAAGAACTCCTTGGAGCCCGTCGAGCAGCCTGCTACGGCATACTGGAAAAACCAGACCCTATGACCCTAGGACCCCTATGACCCCTAGGACCATTAACTACAAAAAACAAAAAAGGACCCTTAACTACTACATGATTTGCGACTCCCCCAGAGCCATGCCTTTTAACTCATGACGCACACACCAATCCTAACGGACTAAAGACAAAAAACACCATCGACGCAAGCATCGAAAATCACTTTTAAGTAACTGACCAGACAAGAGAAGCAAAAACATTTCATCCAGCCTTCAAAAAAGTACTGTGCATGAGATAACGGAGTTTATCAGACCAGGGTTTAGGGGGCCTTTAGAGGGAAGTACATTGTTGAAACAAATGGACAATGTTGGCAGAGCAGGGTGCAGCTGCAGAGCACTAGAATTCAGGGCAAACAAGTAGTCTTCCATTAAAAAGTTCCCCGAAGTTCCGCACTTCTTTAACTTCCCCGCCCATACAGCACACACTGCACGGGTTAATTGCCACGAGGCGAATTTCGCAGCCAAATCGCTGGTGAAGATATCGAGGGGGAGGGCGCAATTTTGATTTTTGACTTCGAACAGAATTCTAATTTCACCTCTGCGAAATATTTCGCAATAGGCGCCTAAAAATGTTTAGTTTTGGGGGAAATCACAATATAATTTCGCAGTCTGGTGGAAATCAAAAGGGACTTTTGAAACAAACTCGTAGCGAATTTTGTGGGAAATTCACCTCCTGGAACTCATAGAAGGACATGAGACAGACGATTGTTAAATGACAATGTTTGAGCCAAAGTTGGAATGCTTCCAAAGCTGTCAACATGATAGCATTAAAAAGCATGGCTCTGGGGGAGCCGCAAATCATGTAGTAGTTAAGGGTCCTTTTTGGTTCTTCGTAGTTAATGGTCCTTGGGGTCATAGGGGTCCTAGGATCATAGGGTCTGGTTTTTCCAGTATGCCGCCTGCTACAGTGATCTTTTCTTCATTCACATATTCGTATAAAGAATTTTTGAAATGGTTTCTATTAATATCCTTTCTTTGTCGCTACAGAACTTGAAAATGGCTTTGAAAAAAGCAAACACTCTATAACATATTTGCCAATATGTTATAAAATGTTATAAAATGTTTGCTTTTTCAAAGCCTTTTTCAAATACTGTACCGCCAAAAAACTGTTCACATTTTTCAAGCAGTAATATCATTTCAGGGGCTTGTAAGCTTCTTTGCCAAGCACAAAATCGATGTAGCGGATGGTATCCAGCCAGGGTATGCTTTTTAAATCTTCAAAGCGCTCTTTATTTTGAAAGCTAAAAGAATGGATATGAATTAGAGTATAATATTTCACAGCTGAATTTGAGGATTTTACGATATTTATAATGTATTAAGGTTAAACTTTTTCAAAACACTCTTGAATTGCCCCATCGTAGAAGCCCAACTCTACTCACCTTCCAACCTAGAAGGTCTCAAATTAATATTTCCCTGGGATGGTTAATTACTATAATTAACTTATGAATGTATTTTTTTTTACAAAGCAAAATCATTTTTTCTAGATGCTTCAATCTTGACACGGCTGCTCACTTAGCTACTGTAAAGTTTGAAGAAGCAAGTGCAAGCTTGAAGGAAGATGCAAAGAAGATTGGTGACTTAAAAAGACGTTCGTTGTTAGTAACAATAGGACAGATGAAGACTGAATATCAAAAACTACAGAGCAGGTATTCTCAGTTCATTTGTACTAAGAATAAAACCATTGGCGATTTGAATGAATGAAGATGATACGAAATCAACAATTTGTTTGGTCATGTGCGAAAGAAGTTTTGAGAGGCCTCCAGAACACTTGGCAGCGTTAAGATATAATATGACATGGAACATATATATAAATATATTTATAACAACCAATATTTTAGCTTTTTATGATATTCAACTCTGCCTTAAACTTTAATGGGTGATGTAAAGGCTTTAGAGGATATCTGTTTTTTACTACGACGCGATATCTAGTCACATTCTGCCCATTATTGATATGTTCCTTTTTGTAGTAAAGGCACTTGGTTCTTTTTTCTGCTGTGCTGAAGACATAATGTAAATCAGGGCCACTGAAAGGTCTCAGTCGTAGAGTTATTCAAACCTTCTCTGTGATGTGACTGTATTCTATAAATTAATATTTGTCATCTTAGGGTCCAGTTTTGTGCAGCTGGTGCCTTGATATCTCTAAAGCAACTGCCAAAGAAATTGAATCCAATAATTAGGCCAATTATGGATGGAATCAAAAAAGAAGAAAATATTACTCTGCAAGTAAGTTTGTGAAAGCGAATCCTTTTGATTTAATGGCTTTTCTGTTTTGGAAATTACAGACTGCGCAGCTGTTAAACATGTCTTTTACAATCATCAACTAGAAACAACTCGTGGTAACGTTCCGATGCGCTTGGTAGACCATCGAGTGAAGCTTATTCTCCAAAACTATTGTATCGTTTTTACTGGCAAGGTATAAGTTGCATATTTCATCCCTCTGGTCATGTGCGATGAATGAGTACATATCTTTGTATTTGTTGACGAAAATTATTATTTTTACATAGGCAAGAACTGCTGAATCGGTTGCTGACTTGCTGTCTCTTTGTGTAAAACGCTCTCCTTGTCCAAACAGCAAGATAGTCAAGAATCTTTGCTCGTCTGTTTGTTGTGATCAAAACAAAACGCCGGGGATTGATTGTCTGAACAGCGAAAATGATAAACCGAACCCCCCGGAATCCGATAGCAGTGATGAGATACCATCTTGTTCAAAGATGCTTGGAATCCTAACTCTCAGGCTGATGCAAAAGGTTGGCAAAACATTGTCTTGATAGAACGGGAAAATGATGATGTCACAGTGCTTGATTTCAGTGTGTTATAATTTGATGGCATTTTTCATCCAGGATTTCCTAGGCTCGTGTGTGATAAACATCAGCCGATTTTTTAATTTTATCATGTTCTTCCAGCTTATGCTACTCTGTTTATGCCTCAACATTTATTGTAGTAATAAGAAAATTTATCTAATATTTTAATGCTAGTCCTGGCTAAAGATCTGACGTTTGCAGTTTAGTTGTAATGTCTGGCTGGCTGCAAGATGATATTTAGAACTTCAGCTGATTTTTGAGATTTTCTGATGTATTATTGAATACCGAATACTCGGAGAAAATAAGCACGTGACTCGACCAGGGCAATATCGAATCCTTTTCCGGGGGGAGGGGGCTTCCACATACACTGGTGCAGGATGTGCCAAATACATTTTGGGGTATTAGTTTTGGTAAAATCAAACATGGTAATAAATTTTGGGGTTGATTGTTAGCATGGCCTTAGAAATGTAAAATGTTTTCATATGCTTGATTGAGTTATTGGATTTTTGCAAATTTGATGAATTGTTTGAATTTCCCTTTGACCAGCGACACTGTATGTTATTGCTATAGCGACTGAGCTATCCTTTTCATGTTTTCTAATCCGAGACAAAAACCGTGCTATTTACATTTGACTTTCTATTTGTATCTTAATAATGCAGGACGCTGCGAAGGCTGTTGCGCCGAAGAGGGGAAGGGCCAACAGAGCAAACTCAGGACACTCAGCAGCAAGTCTGGGAATGTCTTCCCTTGGAATGCCGTTGGCTACAAACGAAATACCTAACGATACAGAGGAAGAGGTATTATTTTACCATATGATTTCACAAGCTCGAAATAAGATAAAGTTTTGAGTATTTGGATCCTGCTGACTTAGATCAGGCATACAAGTATCGTTAGCCATCATCGAAATTCATGAGTAAGAAACCTATTTAAGCAACATCTTTTCGCGTCGCTTTCAACACGATGCGGGCGTGCAATGCGGAACCTTTTCTCAAAGGCGCTAACTGCGTTGGAGCTTGGGAGCTATGGCTTTTCCTTTGAACTTTTCGAAGGGGCACAGCCACCTCTAACAGATTTTATGCAGTACAAAAACTTTAAGGATCAGTGAAAAATGCAGTATAATTTCTTAATGAAAGCTATTGCAAATAAAAAATTTCATTTTTTCAGTCGAGATTTTCTATTTAATGGGCCATCTTTACGCGTCTACTTCAATGGTCGGGGTCTAAGTAAACAAATCGTTCAACGTTATGACTTTTGTACGTTCCTGTTTTTGACTAGCCTACGTCACAGACAATAATTGCTCCTCAGTTATGGTCTGTGACGCAGGCTATTTTTTGGCAAGCTTCACATTTAACCAACTCATCGGTTAGGCTTGCTGGTTGTTGCTGTTGTTGCCGGGCATAATTGCGTATTGTGTTGTGTATAATTGCGTAGAGAGCCTCTCCTGTCAAGAAATTTCTCTTTCTTCCATAATTCTTCCATTTATTAACTCGCTTGTCTCAATAGGACGCTAAATTGCTTCCCTCAACTACATTGGAAAGGCGTATTTTTTCTACTTTAGGGCACAAAAGCCATCTTTTTCCAAACCAGAGGAGGGGAGCTTGCATTATCAACAACGGCAGAACGATTTGGCTCGCGTTTACAAGAAGACGTACCAACTCTATGGGAAACCTGTTACGATTCAATACAAAACTGCATTTCAAGACACACCTTAGGTAGGTAGCTCGAGATTTTCCTGTATAACCCTTGCGTGGATAACTGTTTACCAATAGTTTACGCATGGGGAGATTACTGGATAGTTATTGCAATGAAGCTCCCATTTAAGGGCACCTTCCACTAGCAGTTCTATCTATAATTCGTTCGAGATTTCGATGAAAATTCTATAAATAAACCTTCCTTTCAGACCCTGTTACACTGCGAGAAGACACACAGCATGCACAAAATCTTATATTATCACTCCAGGTTTTAGAAACCATCGCAACGTCCTTGCATCCATCCCTACAAGAAAAGGTAAAGGTCTCCCTGTTTTTTGTGTTGTGGTTGTTTGATATCGCACGTCACAGAATCAGACTCGTCACCAGACTTCTCAAGTGTCCAAGTGTTAGGATGTCCAAGTGCATGCTACCCATCCTATGCAAATTGCCTGATATTTTCCCAATGCATAAATTGGTATTCCCCAATGCATTGATATTACCCAGGTACCCCTGATTGAAGTAGCTCTTATCGTCATGTTGAAACTATGCAGCAAAAAATTCAATGCTTTAGATTCTGCATCTTATCTCCCATTTTCAAAACTCCAAAGTACAGCATCTACGTTTTTTCTTCTCGCAGTTGGCTGATTTACTAGATCCTTTGATGCAAACACTCCAGTACCCCTTTACGGCACTAAGACATATGGTAGCAAGGGTACTTGGTGTTTGCAGCAAGTTAATAACAAGACAAGTAATGCAGTTTGTCATCGAACGGATTTTGCCGTTGTTAGGCACCAGCGATAACTTGGTTTGTAGACAAGGAGCTATTGAGTCGATTGCTCGTATCCTCTTTCTATGTAATATTCAGTAGCATATCAGCGTTAATTTAATTCATTTCAAACTAATGTATACAAGGGAGAGGGATCTTTCATATGCCCATTTACTATGCATTGGCAAAATATTATACTAGTACAATTACGCGAGATATTTATACATCTAGGCACAAATAATTTACTGATCACAACCAAGGAAATTTATCTTTTTGGGGTCCAAATAGAGTAATTTATTTTTAAATCTCCTTTCAAAGCTTTTATTTTGGACATAATTCTAAAGGCATTTTGAAGAAATAAACCGCCACCCTATGGTACTTTGAAAATTCACTTACTTTTCCCGTTTCCTCCTTCTAGGGTTAAATCTTTTGTCGTCATCTCTATCAATTTGCAGATTAATTAACACGTTCATTCTCACCGCAGTTATGAATACCCCCTTCACTATAGCGATAAGTTTGAATGTCTTATTTGAAGATCAATTGTTAGTTTTATTAACTGTAAAACTTTTCAAAAGACTGGCTACTATGGTGTTTGCAAACTCTTCCTTAACCCCTTGAAGATATAATTGAAAATCTAGGAATGAACATTCTACCATATATCGTATTACTGATAGTTCCGCTTCTTGGAAGAATGAGTGACCCTGCTGAAGATGTCAGACTGGTTTCAACGAATTGCTTTGCGACTTTGATACGGTACATGCCTTTGGAGGTATGTCGGTCTTTTTCTGGTATCTTTTAGACTGTAAAGAGTCTGGCACTAGTAATTATAATGACGTAAACGTGATATATAAAATCCCATCCTTTGTTCAGAAACAGTTAGATATTCTGAGCAGATTGGAGCTGTAATTCAGGTAGCTATATTTGTTTTTATGATGTCGATTGAGCAAGTATCTCTTTCATCTTTCACAGTCTTTTGAGATACTTGTCAGTAAATGTTGAATATTTCAGATAAGATATTAGAATCCTTCCCAGTGGTCTGTTTTGTAATTGGCCCACAAAATCGGCGTTGCTCTATGTCTTCTAAAGTTTAGCGCTATTTACTTTCTTAAGTACTCAATGTCGCCAAGGGGCCCCCAGAAATTTTCTTTGCCCCTTGTTTGGCCCCCCCTAGTTTTTTCAAAAGCTTTTTTTAAAATTTCAATGTTTTTTTCGAAAGCTGTTCAATCGTTTTTTGACTTTGTTAGGGTTGCTCTCTTTATTTTGCTCAATGCGATCTTTATTGCATTTATTTAACAAGCTAAAGGCCCTGATAAGCGTTTTGGTTTGTAAACGAGGTGAACATTAATGAAATTTCGGCTCCTTTCTGTAGTTACCAAGAAAAATTGATTCTTGGCAATAATTTAGATTCTATATTCGTTATATATTATCACGAAGATACGCTTTCTTGGGGTGGGGTGCGCAGGGTAAGCCCAAACCAAGATTCTCCGCATCCCATTGAAAACCGTTTTCACCCTGTTACCCAGCGCAGAGAAATACCAATACCATCCCAGTATACCTTGGAAATCTACTATTACTTATCGAAATTCTATGATTTGAAATTCTGTGTAACAGAATGATTTGCTTGATCTCATGGAGGTTGGATATAAGATAAGGTGGAAATATAGAAAGTGGATTTTTGATAATATAGAAAGTGGATTTTTGATAATGTCACACTTGGCACTCTTCCACAACAATTTTGTCTCATCCTAGGCTGGTATACCAGATCCCCCTGGAATGTCAAAAGCCATGATAGAGCAGAAGAAAAAAGAGAGGAAGTTTTTAGAACAGCTGCTGAATAATACAAAACTTGACACTTACGATATTCCAGTTCCGATTAAAGCTGAGCTGAGAAAATACCAGCAGGCAAGCATCTCTACATGGCCATCAATTTTTTAATTCTGTATTTTTTTCTTTTCTTTTTTTTTCAATCTTCCTTTATTTCTCTTCACTGCTTCTTGACCAACTCTTGGAACTTTTATTGGGCCAATTTTATGTTCATAGCTTTACCATACTTCAAACTTTGTAATCTCTTTCCTTGGTTAACTATGAAATTGGATTTTACATCTGGAAATGCAATCTTTCCGATAATCTTCAGCTTTGCAGGTGACAATAGAACTAATGACAAATTATCTCTTTCGTTGCTAATCTTGTGTTATCAATTTCGATAGGATGGTGTGAACTGGCTCGCATTTCTCAATAAATACAAGCTACATGGAATTCTTTGTGATGATATCTTTTCTGCTTGTTGAAGCAATTTTTATATTTATGATAATGCAGGGTATATTTCTAGCAGTTTGCGAGTTGCTCTGTTTTTCTCATGAGTTTTCCAAAATGAGAATTCTTGATAGATATCTGCGAAAGATTTTAAAGATTTAGTACAAAACATTATTTCTGTTGGAAAAAGAGTTCCTCTTGTTTGTGTCCATATTTTAAGATGAATGATTTCAAAATATGAAATTTATCCCAGTCTTTCGTGGCCTGCTCATATTTCGATTTTACCATGTTTGTCTGATCTAGATCCGCGCAACCAGTCACGTATGATATCATTTAGCTTCTCATTTATAAAAATACTTTTTGAGTATTTTCATTAGAAGTCTCTTTCGTTTCTCTCTTTTCTGTTTTTACATAGTTTCCCATGGCCTTAGCGTTAGATCTTGTCCCGCCCGTCCTCCTACTCACAGTATCCCTTTATTTCATTTAGTCCTTTCATGTGTAGCCTTATTATATAAGAAATCTCCCTATGTAAGGCAATGAAAACGCCAATTAATTTAACAATCAATTTTAATTTCATATTGGTTTTACCAATGACATTTGGTTCTGCTTTGCTGTATTCCTTGACTTGTATTCTAACATATGGGACTTGGCAAAACATTGCAATCAATCTGCATTATTGCTGGTGACCACCTGAATCGAGCCATGGCTTATAAGGTCTGTATAATTTTGATAAATATAGTTGTGATGGTGCTACCACAGGGGAAGTGGGGGTGGGGTTGGTAACACTGTTTTATTTCTGTATGGTTTTTCAGCCTTTGCACTGGTAATTCACCCTTAGATAAATTTTTTAAGTTATTTTTGAATTTTCCATTTCCTTTATAGGCGACTGGCAGTGATTATAGCAAGCCTCTTCCATCTTTGGTTGTATGCCCGCCTACGCTCACCGGCCACTGGTGCTACGAGGTTGAGAAGTTTTGTGATATCGAACACTTAAACCCACTTCATTATTATGGCGTGCCAAGCGATCGTCTTCGGTAAGACACTACTTTTTGTCGTTGGGTTTTTATTTCCGGGCAAACTTGTACTGTGTAGTGTCTATCCTTAGAGTCAGAAATTAAGAATCGGCGTCAGTTTCTCCTAAAAAGATCTACAAATGGGATGTGTATTTTGCCGATCTACAAATATTTTCTGTGCAAGTAGATTCCAGTCTCTATATTATATTATTCTCAGTCTTAATCATGGTTTGTCTTGAAAGCTCAGCTGCTAAAAAAATTCTGATCGTGAGTGGCTAAGATTTCTGTGAGATGGTGAATGTAAATAATTTGCACCAAGCATTTCTTTCCATTGGAAAGAGACTAATTCCCACAGTCCTTTGGCAGCTCAAATTTAGCTGCTCACAGGCGAGTTGAAAATAATACTTTCTGTTAATTTGACTTGACATTTGTCACCAGATTTTTACATTTACTTTAACACTTCAAAAATTTTCTGTAAAACTCTCTGCTACATTTTTATCTAGAAAAATTTCTGGGAACTATGTTCCCAGGTTCCGATACTTTTTCCACCTCTGCTCATTGCAATGGGAAGATGTCTGTAACGGGTTAATAGGGAAACAAGTTCCTTGGGTTATTTCCACATCTCTTGCTGCATTTCCTTGTACCGGCATTACGTTTTCATGTAGCAATGTTCAAATCAATTTGTATCGTCTCTAGATAAAACTTCAGATGCTAATGTTTACCATTTCCTTCTTTATGTGCAATTAAAAACGGTTTTTCTTCCAAGTAAATTGTTGATGATAGTAATACTTTGCTGTCCGAATACTCTTTTCACCATGCCTTAAATATGTTTAACGCGTTCCATAACGTCTACGTGTAACGTTTTTACAGGCTGCAACGAAAACTGAAAACCCAAAACTACAATCTAGTGGTCGCCTCGTATGATATTGTCAGGAATGATTATAACTTCTTTCTGTAAGTACTAAAAAACACTTTTATAGTTGTTGATAAAATCTTCTTTTGTAAATAATAGTATATTTTGTCAGCATTGGTACATTATTTTTGTTAGTATTCGTTTATGCTTTTGTAAGTATTCGTTTATGGCTACACTATGTTGTGAGTATTAGCGCACCCTCTATGAGTATTGATACGGTCATTTTGTTAGCACACGTACACGCTTTTGTAAGTATTGCTACACTATGTTGTGAGTATTGGTAAACCCTTTGTAAGTATTGATACAGTCTTTTTTGATAGCATACATACACGCTTTTGTAAGTATTGCTACACTATGTTGTGAGTATTGGTAAACCCTTTGTAAGTATTGATACAGTCTTTTTTGATAGCATACATACACGCTTTTGTAAGTATTGCTACACTATGTTGTGAGTATTGGTAAACCCTTTGTAAGTATTGATACAGTCTTTTTTGATAGCATACATACACGCTTTTGTAAGTATTGCTACACTATGTTGTGAGTATTGGTAAACCCTTTGTAAGTATTGATACAGTCTTTTTTGATAGCATACATACACGCTTTTGTAAGTATTGCTACACTATGTTGTGAGTATTGGTAAACCCTTTGTAAGTATTGATACAGTCTTTTTTGATAGCATACATACACGCTTTTGTAAGTATTGCTACACTATGTTGTGAGTATTGGCACACCCTTTGTGAGTATTGATACGGTCTTTTTGTTAGCATACCTACACGCTTTTGTAAGTATTGTCACAATCTATGTATCGATACAGCCTCCATGAATATTGATACGGCTTCTCTTTGTGCATACTGATAAACTCTTTTGTAAATGTCCAGAGACCTGACAATATTAGCATACTTTTGTGGCCATATCAGTAGCATAATAAAACAGACATTGTACCCGTAATCGAATAAATTCAGTAGCGTATTTCAAAGGAGCCGATCAATTTGGGGTGAATCTTAAATCCTTTTTTCAATTCAATCATTTCTTATATAAGACTAATATGTAGGTACTGGTTGAAAATTCATATATTAGGAAATTGTATATTAATACTATTGCTGCATTTCCTTGTAATTCAAAATTGTATGGTTACATTGGAGCAAGTTCTATCTAGAAAGTTTGTAGTATTGATTTTAAAATTTATAGCAGTTCAAGCATATTTTTGTATTTCAGAAATACTCATTGGAATTATTGCGTTCTGGATGAAGGCCATATTATCAAAAATAGCAAAACAAAGGCAAGCTTGCTTTTTTGAAAATTATTATGAAAATATCCGTTTATCCCTCATTTGTAACGATATTTTTGTTTTAAGGTGGCCTTCAAACGGCAAACATTTTGTTTTATGTGAATAACACCACTTCAATTGAAGGTCTGGTTTAGGCAATTGAAAAAAATTGTCTTCATATGAAATTATTGACCTTCAATTAGATTTAGCACTGAAAAGTTAGCCCGGCAAGAATTTTTTGTAATGACACTGTTTGCGATATGGGTTGCCTGGCGATTTAAAGTTTACAGGATTATGAGCGATTTGTCCTTAAAAATCATCCAGGTTGTAATTTAACATCCCCAGTCACTTCTAATGGTCAGACCCGTTATAGTTTTCAGAAATATTTCTTTTCACATAATCAACATCACGAGAGCTTGGAATTTGAAAATTTATATCTAGAATGAATTTATGAGGCTTCCTTCGGAGCTGATGTAAGACATGAGCAACAGAAAGAAATTTCGACTAAATCGAGTCTTGGCTTGACAAACTGTTATGTGAGCTTTTCACCTATAATCAATTTTGCGCTTAGAGTATAACGGTTTAGAGCTGCAACTCCAAGTTTCATGCTTATTGGATCATTAGGCAACTGCAGCAGCAACTTTTTTGGTTATGTGACATAATGATACGATTAGGCTCAAAACTTGGAATTGCAACTTAGAACCGTCCAGTTCTACATATCAAGGCGTGCACAGCTCTGCCTATACGACGTTTAGCACTGTGCAACAGGTCGGAAAGTAATTCTCATCATAAGTCAATTTAGTGAGTTTTGCAATTGGCCTCACTTATCAGTATCACTGTTCCTTGGACATTTTTTGTTTCATTTATGAAATCCTGCCAGCTTGATTGCTTTAGTTTCGCTAAAATGTAGGAACAATGGCACTGTCAGTGGCACACCACAAAAACATCTAGTTGCATGAAATCCTTCGATTTTATCATTGCTCGTCGTTTCTGTTTCCATGCTCTCTCAGTAACTGTTTTTCAGCTGTTAATCTGTTTATTTCTACCTGAAAAATCACCGCTACCGATTTTCATATGAAAATTGTCTCGATAATGACAAACCCAGCTACCGGAAATTTCATGTTCTCGTTATTCTCGACGATAAAAAAGAATGGTGTTTTTACTTTATGTATTCACCTCGTTGTTCTCTTGACATGGAAGTAAAGTTCAACTAATTACCGAAGGCCTCCGATTCTGTTAGTTTCTGTTCATCTTTAGCCACATTATACACCATATTAAGCTCAAAGTTCTTTTAAAAACTGTTTTTTTACAAAAGAAGACTATACTATTAAATAGTAAATACCTTTTCTGGTTTTGTGGTAGCTTTTATTTTTCTACATGTAGAAAAGAAATTAATCATTTTATTTAATAAGAGGATACTGATGTAAAAAGGTATAAAAAACGATGCTACCCAAATATCGCAATAGTTTTATTGAACAGCCATTCTCTGCTTTGTCGATAAAATTAGGGGTTTTATTTGAAATAACAGAATTTTGTACATACCATGTAGTAATTGGATATGAAAACGATTAATTTTTAGGGACATTATTGTTTTGAATAAATATCAGGATAGAATCAACCAATGTTTGGGAAAATATATTTTAGCAACCAACCTGTTTATATGAATATTAGTTACCTGGCGGTTATATTTATATCTATCGTTGAAATTGAGTGAAACACACAGCTAATCAGAATTGGACTGTTGATAAACCTTTCCAGGTGAATGCAACGCTTTTCAAAGCACCGTCATTATTTATCTATTCATTTGTCAATTTATTTATTTTTGTAAGGTTAAAATTAGAAGATAGCAAAGAAATACCGGAACATCGATGCTATTTTACCGGTTTTTCGTGCTTTCTTCAAGTGCTAAATTATTCTGAGTAAGCACAAAGATTTTTATTGCAAAGAGAGAATTAGTCAGATTGGATTTTAGTGAATATTATTCTGTATTTCAGGTAATCTACTCACATTTAGGATGCTTTTACCAGACCCAAGTTAACCATAAGAAGATCTTTTCCATTTTGTTTATATTTTTCTTGCTAAATTGATTGAATTCCTTTGATCGTAACAGGAGTATATCTTAACAACCACCTTATCTTGTGCAACCACCTTATCACAGTCTTTTCATTTGCAGCTAGCAAAGGTTATACGACAGCTCAAAGCCAATCACAGACTCATCCTATCAGGAACGCCGATACAAAATAATGTTCTAGAATTGTGGTCGCTCTTTGACTTTCTCATGCCTGGGTTTCTAGGAACTGAAAAACAGTTTATTGCTAAATTTGGTAAACCAATATTGCAAAGTCGAGATGCTAAGTCTTCGTCAAAAGAGCAAGAGGCAGGTATGGATATTTGCAGTTTTAAAGAAAGTGATATCTTGTGTCTTTGAGCTTTTGTCTCTTAAAACTGATCAGGCCTTTCGGCAAATTCGGTTCTTAAAGTCACAATCGGCGCCTTTTGCAACAAGTACAGCGTATCAGGAAATATGGGGAATACCAACCCTAGGTGATCACGCTTGGGAATGCGACACAATCGTAGGCTGTGTGATTTTATAACCATTGCTAGTGTCACTTTTATATTGCGCCACGCCCTTTTACTAGCTGCCACCCTTTTCAGCACCCATACTTCTTTCTCTATTGTTTTTAGCAGCTGTGCATACAGTAGTCTTACAACCGTTTAATCTAAACCACCCCTTCTGTGGTCATTTTATACAAAATTTAATCCAAAACAACCAATTGAGTAACGCGTTTTTGCTTAGAAATATCATACTAATGACTGCCTTTTCAGAATTGGACGAGTATCAGAATATTTTCTGAACAATTGTTATATGACCAGGGCAGTGGATAGTATGCTCACGTGGCACAAAGCTCAGATCAGTTTAGAATGATGACAACTTAGAAATCTTTGTAAGACTTTCGAAATATTCACAGTTTCATAAACTTAACACAGGCGGACATGAAGAATCCGGAGAGGTACCATGTTTTGCTTGATGTCATATTTCTAGGAGAGCCTTCCCTGACCCTAGGCGACGTGTGATTCGTCGAAGTAGTCAAAAAACTCCTCGACGTGTATTACACGAGGTTAATCGGATTATCCGAACCGGACTCTTCACCTTCGCTCATAAGGCAATGTGTGTAAAACTGGACACAGATTTCTGCATTCCGGGTTGTTATGAATAGGTACTAAATGCTGCTGGTTTTCTAGATGCGAAAAAAATGCTTTTTAATGATAGTTCCTAAGGTACAGTGACATTTTAGGTGTCTTCGCGATGGAAGCACTGCACCGACAAGTATTGCCGTTCATTTTACGACGAATGAAAGAGGATGTACTGCAAGATCTGCCTCCAAAAATAATCCAAGACTATTACTGCGAGCTTAGCCCTCTGCAGGTAAGAATTTTTTTTAAAGAACAACGTATAAATGCACTAATGCTGAAAAACTGGCTTTAGAACCTTGTCCCAACTTGCTTGTCCTTTTTGGGTTGTTTTCGGTTCAATTGTTTCTTAGTTTTTCTGATTGTCCAGAACTTGTTGTTAATAGCAAGTTTGTGAAAACAAAATTGGGTACATACACTCCCTTTTTAGAAGAAACTTGCTTTATGGAACAGATTCTGGACAATCAGAAAAAATGTATGTATCCAAACTGACAACATTGTTCCAAGACGGAAAGGGGAGCAGAAATGAAAGTTGTCGAGAAAGGAAATGAACATGTGTACTGTGTATTGAGTTGACGACGACATAAATTATTGAAAGGGACTTGACTAATGTTAGCAACTGAGGGTGGAAAATTTCACCAAGAGTTATTTTGCAGTCAAATCCATTATAAGCTTCCAATATTTATGTTTATATATAACATCATGAAATCAACAACTAAGAGAAAAACAGCTGTGAGAACAACTGTGAGAAATGGCATCTTTACTGAAAGTAATGGTGGTAAGTCCCAATCTATGCTCAACAAAATCTTACGATTAAGGTTAGAATAATTTCCAATGCAAGGCCGTAAGTTGAATTGGAGTATTGGGCTGCTTCATTTGTTTGTATGGTGCGGAAAGTTTGTTTTGGCTTTTGTCCGCGTATGGAGAATCACCATTGTAACCGGACAGCTTCTTACCGATCTTCGGATGCCTGCTAACGTCCCTTCAATACACATCTTGCATGCAATTCTCACTGGTTATAGTGGTCTAGTTACAAATAATTTTCGTTTTTCCTTCTAAAGGTTCAACTGTACGAAGACTTTGCTAAATCACGCGCGAAGAAAGAGCTTGATGTCACTGTTGATAATGCAATTTCCACCAATGGGGAAACTAAGGAAAAAAGACAAGGCTCTTCGCATATATTTCAGGTGAAGTTTAACGCCATTTTCTTTCATTCGATTGTGTTAACACTAATGCTAGCTCTACAGTCACAATCAAAGTTCGACCATACCTCTCCCTGATAACATTTTTTCCAATTCAAAATATAGCTTCATTACCTAATTACTCTTTTTAGGCCAATTTTTTTGATGATTTACATTTCCAATAGTAAAGAAATTTTCATTTTAAGCAGACATTTTAAGACATACTTAGGGTTTTCGTCTGACAATCTTCAAGAGTATAAAACTTCAGAATAATGATCAAAATTAAAAGGTAGACAACATATATTTACCATGTTGTGGATCGAATAAGACCAATCAGAAATGCGAGCACAAGACTGTTAAAGTTATGGAGTCTAATGGAGTCCAAGCTGTAATGGAGTCCATGCTGTAATGCTAAGCTTCGTAGGTTTTCCTTTTTTCAAAGCCTTTTTTTAAATTTTGTACCACAAAATATTGTTTAAAATATCTAAAGATATCGCGAGTGATAATGTCAAATATTTTAATGTCCTGTGTCGTTTTGACTTGAGAATTTGAAGAGTTTTGTTCAAAACAGCACTTTGAAAATATCTATTTTCTTCTTTTTTGCAGGCACTTCAGTATCTACGGAAAGTCTGTAATCACCCGTCTCTTGTTTTATCGCCAAACCACCCAGAGTACGAGCGAATAAAGGAGCAATTAAGGGTCTCCAAGTCATCTCTGCATGACATTCAAAATTCATCAAAGCTTGTTGCTTTAAAGTAAGTAAAATTTGGTGAATTTAACATAACTGCACTATGTCATGTTTTCTTTGCCTATATTCAACCCTGAAACATATTCGTTTTGCTCCGCTGTGTTTTTTTTAATTCAATTCTATTTGAGCATCTGCCAGCATAAATTACTGATTCATACTCAAAGGGAATTATGCTAATACCAATATCTTATTTTAAAATATAACCAGTAGGACTTTAGATGACCACCGAAATTGTTCAGGGCATAAAGGCTTTGGTGGCTTGCTTTTGTGGGGCAAGTTATCTTGAAGGGTTTTTATGTATCTTGCATTGTGGGGGCTTTGCTTTTTGAGGCCCTTGAGTCTATGGTAGCAAAATAGACGCTTATTAGACATGGTAACTTATTGCAAATATCTCTTTGCTGTTTCACTGATGTTCAGTTTGGTATTGTTCAGTGGCAATTACTACAAGTAGACGAATCGTAGAAGACGAAGACGAAAAATGTTTCTGGGCTAGAAAAAACAGGGGGCGTATACAGCATGAAGTCGCTCTAATTTGCTACAGGAGCTACGGAAGCTTTCATGGAAAAGACTGGACTGGGGGGCAAGAAATTATCCTCCTTTTTAATTGCCCGGGCAAAATAGAGTGCAAAACTATACCAACATCATATAAAAACAACGAGATCTCGGGTAATACCTTGATTCTTACATTGTTACAATCTATCTTTCGAAGGTGGGTTTTGGGACACTAAGAAGATTAAAGAGAACTCATGACACCCATCTTTCTCAGACCATAGACCATTAGATCTGCTGCCCGTTTCCCTAACGATTAAGTAATTCATAGCCCTTTGGTAAAAGATCTTTGGGTGAAAAAACAAAAAAGCGGCAAGAACAGCAATAACGCAAATAGTGCTTGAGAGGATTATCGAAGTAGTAAAAGAAAGCAGCTGTAATGCTGTCATAATTGATGAAACATCTGACTTTCGTCAGCACAAATAAATGTCATTTTGTCTCATTTTTGCACTGAATGGTGTCCCAAAGGAAGTTTTTGCTTAATTTTACAAAGCTCGGTCTTCAGCAATTGTACAAATTTGGTTAAAAAACGTATGTAGAAACTTGTTGGTAAATGCTTCGACGGTCTAAAATAAGCGGCAAAGCTGAGGGCTTGGCAAAACGAATGGAGGACTGTTCCCGCCGAGCATCAATGTCCACTGCCTTGGACATTAGTTGAATCTTGCAGAAAGTGAGTCAATAACAAATGGACTTGGTGCTGTTCAAGGTCTCTACAATTTGATTGAGGCCAAGACCGAAAGACATGTAATTTCAAGAGAAAAAGTTTAACATGAACCATCATATAGCTAATAGAGACAAAGCGCAACGCACTGGGCTTGCAAGTGGGGGAAGGCAGTTGACGGGACACTAATTTTCTTTGCAAGGACAAAAACCACAAAACCCATCTAGAAAGCAAAACTCTGTTCAATTGTTTCCACAATGTAATTGATAAAGTTTTGAAAGAAATCTATGCTTGATTTAGTGATAGTGACTATCGCATTTTATGTGCTTTTGCGTCACGGAGGCATCTGGGGCCCCAAGCAAAATACAGCTACGAGACTTCTATACGCAGACAGTAAGAAGATCACATTAAATGGTGTAAAGCATGTTAAACACGATAGAAAAAGATAGAAATGAGAATTATTTTCTCGTTAGCTAGGGAGAACTGAGTTTTAGAGCTTCAGTTGAAGAACTTTCAGAGTTGAAACACTTTAAAGTACCTTGGGCCCTTTTTGGTCGGGGGTCCTTGGATGCTTTCAACCACTGTGTCAAGACACAATAGCGTGCCTTGAGGTATTGCCTAGTGTGCCGTGGAAAATTCTCTAATTTCAATTAAATGGTCTATAAAGTTGAAAAAAAATTAATAACTACCCGCAAATAATGTGCCGTTGATAGAAAAGGTTGAAAAACGCTGAATCGAGGTGCCCTAAACTGCAAACATGAATGCTAACCCTTCGACAGAAATCATTATAAAGGTTTGCTCCTTCTAACAAAAAGATTCTGAGTTTCTGACATCCTTGAAATGAAACATAAACTGTCCAATGATCACAAGAATAGGCAGGTAAACAAAAAAATGCGTGAATTTCTGAAAATGATGCAAATCTTGTTCACAAAAAGATATCGATAAAATAATCGATACATTTGGTCGCTGTCGTAGAAGAAATTCGCTTTTTTGATGAAAATTTGTAAAGTTTTAAAAATGCTTATTAGATAACATTATTTTCATGACGTTGCATTTTAATCATTTCTTGAATAATATTAGAAGCTTGTTTGTGTTAAAGAACACCCCGTATTTGGGCGTTATTATTTTTCGGGCAGAAAAATTTCAGTCCCCCCCCCTACCTGAATTCACCCCGTACGCCTATGCTGGCCACTACAGGATATTCGCTACATTCTCCCACTACATTCTGCCATTACATTCTTTCATGATAGCAGAATGAAGTTCGCAAGGAATCACCTCACTCTTATTCATTTGTTTTTTCCCAGGCAACTGCTCCTAGATTGTGGCATTGGTGCGACAAATGATGACGGGAACCAATCCAACGTTATGACAGATCCAGTTGTAGGGCAACACCGTGCCTTGATCTTCTGTCAGTTAAAAAGTATGCTTGATATCGTTGAGAACGATCTACTCAAGTAAGTCTATGGCTTTCCAGCTATCGATATATTTGCACATTTAATGCGTGGCATTGTTGTGGTATCACTATTTTAATAATATTTAAAGCGTCTGTTTTTGCAGTTTTTCTTTGCCAGACTGCTCTTTATATAGTGAAAAAAATATATTTTTTAGCTTTCTACAAAACTTTTACAAAAGTTTTGTTTTAAACATAAGAGAATGATTTTCTGGCGAACTTCAAAGGAAAGATGGATGCTGAAAGATGACAGTGGCAGAGTTTAAGCAATTTCCTCAAAACTTCTCGTTGTAGCCTGCATTATCACAGGGTCTTTTCGTCTTCATTTCACTCTTTGTAACTTACTGATGTCCCAAGAAGATCATAATTCCGTGTTAACCATGTAAAATATGGTATATTGTAGATGTTTGAGGTCCATCAAGGCTACGGTCATTCGATCTTTCTGTGTGACCTATCTTTGCAAAATCAAGTTTAGGCATCTGTAAGGAATAAAAGGCGCTTCAAGAAAAGAGATACGATTTTTTTACTTGCCTCTTGACTTGACATTTTCTTGGTTAAATAGTCAAATTTAAAAGACATTGCACACATTACATTCACTTTGACCCTGGTACAAATTACAATTGCTACAGATAACTATTGGTGTCGCCATGGGAACTATCTCAGATAACTGGTCCACAGCATGCGTGATATTGAAATAAAAGTTGGAAAAGCAGCGCGTACGCAAAAAAGCTGACCTTGGAAATATGAAAAATATTTAAGTAATAGATAATTTGATAAAGCTAGTGTTTAACGCTTTTGTTTATATGAAGGCTAGTTAACGTCACATACCCGAATTATCATGTTTCAAGTGTATGTCTTGGAATGGGAAGGAAAACGAAAGGATTTAATATAATCCAAGCTGAAGATAATTATCTCACACATCTACAGTCACACTCAAGTTTGTTGGGCCTCAATTCTTTAAAAAGGCTGCCAAAGATTACCACTTTCTTAGACTGTGAGGAAATTTTGCCACAGCTTTTGACCCGAAAGTTTCACAGTTTTCAGGCTCTAAGAAAATGACCCTGCATTGTGTATTCATAGAATGGATTTATTTCGCAGGTCACATCATACTTCTATTTTCTCAAAACCCCTCATTGATTAAACTATGATTGACAAAAGCAAAGTGCTTCGGGGAAAGATATACATTATTTAGATCTAGTTTAGTTTCTGAGTTCCCATGACTGTCTTTTAACAGAGTTTTGTTTTGCATAAGAACCCCTGTCATGAATATTCGTTAAGGAACAGTAGCTAAATGGAGACTTTTGCAATGACATATAGTTTTTTGCAGGCTCTTCATTTTAGCTAGGAAGGAGACTTTTTAAATATTTATTTTACACGTTACTTTCCCAAGTAGCGTTCTTCGAAGCTTTCTTCCAAAAATTTCTGTCCAACTGTAATTTTACCATGTAAGCCTGTCAAAAGTTCATATTTCCCATGAAGTTGATTTCATAAACTTGACAGAAAACTTGAAATTAAAGTAAAATTGTATTAGGAAAAAGTATAGCAAATTTATAAACGACGTTTCGAGCATAGACCGTTCTCAAGTCAAAACAAGTTAGTCAATTCACTTGATAAGGGACTATGCTTGAATTGTCGTTAATAGATACTCTTTCTTTTTCCTAGTGCAATTTTACTTTAATTTAAAGTTAAATTGTCATATTATATCTTACAGCACGCAAAATAGAATATTGACAGAAAACTGTTGTGATAACACAAAACTATCCGTTTTCAAACGTTGATAAAGTTTACAACTCTGCAAAAATAGTTATTTGATTGGCAAAGTTACACAATGCAGTGGCCAATGCCGTGAAAATTGAATCATATATATAAAAATAAAAAAGAAGTCCACGTACACACTTTTTGATATCAAAAATAAAGTCTACAATTAAATAAAGTTTTTTGGAAAGCAAAAAAATTTTGAGTTTAACACTTTATGTTTTGAAATAGATTTATCCGGCCCTGGAGCCATTAACACTATAATGCGACTTAGTTACACCTTGTGTTGCTTAAGAATAATTCAAGAATAATCTTAGGCCCAAAATAAACTAAGAATATTGGAGCTCTGCAAAAAATTAGTTATTTATATAAAGAAGGTGTGTATTGCGTGCATGGGTTTGTTACGATACTGACGGCTCGTCATATTTGAGATATTTTACAATTTTATTGCATTTTCTTTAAGGACTCAAATGCCTTCAGTCATGTATCGTCGGTTAGATGGAAGCACACCTGCTGGATCCCGACAAGACATTGTACACAGGTATGTTGCAATTTACCTTATGCTAGACGCATACGAGAGAACTTTGCTTAAGTAAAGTGTCATTCGTGGGGGTCTGTAAAAACGTGTTTGATATTTGTTGGCATTCGTGAAATTGCGTGTCGCGTAGGGAGTCGAATGTATTCTACCCTTACGACTGGGCGATAAATTGCAATTACAAAGTTAATCATTTTTTCTCCACTTTTTGAAAAGATTTCTTGAGAAAGCGGGTTCTTCTTTTTGGAATTTGCTGTTTTTTTATTCAGTCCATCATCATCCATTTTGTTGCTGATTTTGCAAAGTTAGAGGAATTTCATTGTGTTACAAGGCATGACAAGATGGCCTTTCCTAAAATGAAACTCTGGATCGCAATCATCTTTCTCTCCAGTCATTTTTCTGTGTTTTCCTTGGAAAAATTGTCTGTTTGCATCTTCGTAATGCTGTAGCGAGCTTCATTTGTTTATATTCTTCAAGCATATAATATAATTTTATAAGTTCCGGTTAAAACTGTCGACGTGTCCAGGATAAGAACGTGTTTTCAGATGAAGCCTCATCTTTGGTGCCAGAGCCACAAAATTTCGAGCGCGTAAACAGAAAGCCAAGTAGAGAAGCGGAGGAGCTTCTAGCTCAGATAGGCGCTCCTCCGCTTCTCCGCTCCTATCTTCTATTTCCGTGATCGAATTAATGTGGCTCTGGTACTACAGCCAGTCCGTCAGTGCGGTCAATAGAGAATTATGCATTAAGTCGAATTTGTAAAGAGTTTTTCGTGTCTACGATTTTTTGTTGTTATAACTATGAAAATATGCCTAAATGTTTTTGAATTAGCATTTTTCGTAGGTCATATGCAAAGATGTATGGTACTTTGAAGAGACATTCAAATTTGCCGTAATGCTTTCTTTCTCATATTATCAAGAACAAGGCTCTTGCTAGGGATCAGCCACTGCATAATTTCATTCAATATTACACCTTTTGATATTTCATTTTGCGATATTTTAACACGGAAATTAGATACCCATGACGTGATAAAAGTCATATCATTAAAGTGAAGAAAAAGTTAATTCTTAATTCTAATTTCTGTGTGACTGTGTGCTGACTTCTTTGAATATGTAATGCATGCCATTTTTGTAATAGTCCTTTTTTTGTAGATTCAATAACGACCCATCAATTGACTGCTTGCTATTGACAACACATGTTGGTGGACTTGGCCTAAATTTAACTGGTGCAGACACGGTAATATTTGTTGGGCATGACTGGAACCCAAGCAGAGATCTCCAGGTATTTATTTTGAGTTTATAGATCGATTTTCACGGGGCTAGGATATCCAGTTGAAATTTATTCGGGTTATCTTCAGGGCCATCGCTACGGGGAGTGGGAGGGGGTGTGAAGCCCCTTGGAAAACATTTACGAGGAGCTTATTACCGTCTAGGGGTGCTTCGTTGGCAAGTTTGCAGATTTGTCCAAGGACGTCTGCGCCATGGGGGGCATCGGGGGCAGCAGTCTCACTCTTGGTCTTGCGGAATTGAACATTTTTCTTTGTTTTACTTTTTTGCCCTTTTTCTTTGCACTTTGCACCTGTTGCCCTCTTCGAGTGCAGGCTTCACTGGATCTGTCGGCAAATAAAGGATGGCTCACCAACTTTGTCGGCAAATGGGATCAGAGTACCACCCCACTTCCCCCCTCTCTTGAGCACAATAGCTAGCGACGGCCCTGGTAATCTTGACGGTTGCCTTTGATTACACATGACTGCTCAAGTACAAACTAAACTGAGAGTTCTCAGAAAAGCAACCGGAAGTGTCATCTCTATTTCAGAAAGGTACGAGTTTTTGTCACTTAGTTTTATTTTAACTGTCACTTGTCAAAATGCCAAATGGCTTCTGCCAAGCACCATTTTCTAACAGTGCATACCCGGCACCATTTTCAACGTGCCAGGCACAATTTTGACCTCTTTAAATTTTCCGGACTTTCCGGACGTACAGGCACAAAGCTTGAAACTTTGGCTGCTGTCCGGGATCAGATTAGTATTTATAATTTAGAAAGATAGTTCGCTTTTGTTCTCACTATTCATATTCGTATTTCTTTTCTTTTTTGATAACCTTCTTTATATGCACGTGTAGCGTACGTATTTTTTTGTCTGGTTGCATGGGGTTGTCGTTGTCCTTTGCTCCCTATGGTATCGTAACTGTAGTATCGTAGAGTAATTAGTAAGTATAGTAAAATATAGTTTGTATTGTAATATTTTATCTGGAGAATACCAGGTAGAATACCACTCCTTTCGTTTATACTGGATCGATTCCCGTGTCCGCATAGGGCAATGTCTACCTGTAAATATTTTATCATTAATCAGTATCAATCTGTTTGTATTTTGAAGTCGTTTGTTTATTACCAGATCAAAATACGATGGTAACTGGATTTTTTGCATTAAAAATTATAATTTCGTGGGGAGGGGATAAACCTTTTGGATACCCATTCCATAAGAAAGGACTCTGAACTTGAATATACAATTCCTTTCCCTCTCCCATCCCCTTCTTTAACCCACTGCGTCTCATGAAACTACACACTGAGTTAAACTAATATACATGACCAATTGCAGGCAAGCTCTATTTAGAATGTAGTAAATAAGGAATACCGCAGCGCACCGAGAACAAACGAAAACTAACGCAAGTAAGTTGATAGAAGCTAATATTTCGCCCCGGCTTTCGGAGCTTCGTCAAAGCAAAAGTGTTGAGCAAGTGCTACCTTTTCCCAGTTTTTTCCAGCGGGAGTGATGGAAATGTTGTTAAGCTAAAGAGGAATTAAGGCCGAATTATCTGTTTTTAAAAATATTAAGGACTTTGATATCTAGAATCGAAAATTGTTAATGTTCTGTTGCAAAATGCACCAATTACATTGTTTAAGGGTCAAGAACTTTCAACTTAAAGTTTCCTTTGTAAATTTGTAATTGATGACCTTATTCGGTGTTGGTCGAATCTTTCTTGCGTTAGTTTTACTCATCAACGTATGTGGATGAAGAAAGTGATAAATTTTATAAAGAATTGAAAACCCAGCATGAATAAGATGTAAAAAAGCGTTGATTTAAACAGCCCAGGTTTAGAGCAAATTGAAACAGTTGAATTTTATCTCAAAAACCATTTGAAGATATCTCACCATGCTTATGAAAAAATAATGAACTAGCAGAAAGATGTTCTTTGGGTCGTCGATAATTAGATGTATAATTCTATGCTCATCCAGCGCAGATAATTTTATAAGATTTATCATCAGTGGTTTGAATCTGATTTGATAAGATTTATTTACATCTTTAAAGCACGCCTATATCTAATGTGTAGCATTTTTCCAAACACAACGAAATTCTCTCAGACATTGATAAGAACTCTCGTTTTTTTCATTTCAGATTTAAAAATAGTATTCTGCTCTGATAAATATGAGAACTGCCTATCTGTTTGCATCGGTGACCCAGAGTTCCTTCATTTAATTGATAATGTAAATCGATTTGACACAGGAAGTGAGGCTTTTTCTTGCTTGCTTTTTTTTTCTTTATGATAAAATCGACAGTAGCAAACAGGCCCCACTCTCCTCAACTTTCTTTCAGGGCTTTTTAGCGCCAAAGCTTTAACTAGCACTGTTTTTTGAGGGGTAATATCGACATAAATGGAAGCCAACTGGTAAACATCCCGGGAGTTGCCATTGCTTATGGCCCTGGTAGACCCTTCATGGGCAAGCATGACCGCATTAGCTAGCTAATTTTCATAGCTGCAAGTATCTTTCTATGTTTTATACATTAAAAAGACAGCGAGGAAGGGAACAACCCACCCTACGTTATCATGGTGAGGACAAATACCAGTGGCATAGTGCGACCTTTCTCACTGGGGGGGGGGGGGCTTTTGTGAGGGATGCAAAACCCTATTTTACCGATTGAAATTCTTTTGTTACATTTGATATAAAATTCTTTTGTTAACAATGTAAATCTACCGACAAATTCTCTGAAAGTTTGGGGTGTGTGACACCACTCACACCCCCCGTACTCTACACGGTCCCTGACTAAGTACCCTATCTGAAAAAGGATTCCTCTACGTAGGGATCGTGCACGTGACTCCTATGAATCATTGGCAAATAACTCCATGGAAACCTCGTAAAGTCAGTTTCCATAGCCTTGTTGGAAAGGTGACATTTTTGCCAAACTTTCACTACATATGCGCCAAAAATTTGGTTTTGTTTTTCGATTGGCATAGCTTGGCTTAGTTTGGTTTGGTTCGGCTTGGCTTGGAATGACTTGGTTTAGTTTGGTTTCACAATTTTTCGTTTTGTTTTATTTTGTTTGTTCTGCTTCGTTTCTTTTCGTTTGGCTTGTTTTTAATTGGTTTGGTTGGTTGCATTTGCTTGTTTTGTTTCAGTTTAATTTGATCTTGATTTGTAATGTGTTGCTGTTTTTTGCTTGGTATCGTTTTTGCTTGGTTCTATTTTTGCTTGGTTTTATTTTTGCTTAGTCTTATTTTTGTTTGACTTTGTTTTGTTTTTCTTCGTTTTGTTTTTACTTGGTTTTGCCATACCTGGCCTGGCGTATCTGTTGTCGCTTTAGTTTTCTACTTTCTTTTTGTTTGTTTTCTTTTTACTTTGTTTTTAAGCTTCACATGGTCTGTTTTCTACTTTTTGACTTGTATTTTTCGACTTGCTTTGTTTGATTTTGTATGAATTATTTTTGTTAGATCTCGTTAGGCTCAATTTTGATTTTGGCAACTGCCTTTCTTTTTATGTGTAGATGGTAACAAATGTTTCCAAAGCTTTTGAGAAATCATACAAACTAAACCTATTTGTTTCTTTATTTTCTTTGCTTGTTTGGTTTTGATGTTTTATTTTTATCGTTTGCTTTTTCTTGATTTTCCTTGATTTGCATTGTTGTTTAGGATTTTCTGGTTCTGTTATTCAGTTCGTTTTTGTTTTTTCCGCCTGGTTTGTTTGGTTTCTTGTTAGTTGTTTTTTTAGTCTTGGTAAGTTCAGTTTTGTTTTTGAAACTTACTTTCTTTTCATGCGTAGACGTGAGCGAGCTTTTTAGGTAACCTTAACGAGGTGCCTTCAATGAGTTTTTATCATTTGTCATCTTAATAGCCATCTTTTCCCACAAAATTCGTTACTTTTTTGTCATTTTTTTAACATTATACTCGCTCTTGTGACAAGATAATGAGGGGACAGCATGATGGTCATAGCTACTTTGATTTAAAGGGGGTATGTTAAACACCCCTTATTCTAATCCTTTTTTTTTAAGTTGTGGCCACGCTAAAATTTAATCATTTCTCATAATACCATAATTATATCAAGTTACAAAAGTGACACGTAAAATTGTCTCACTCTGTCATTGCATCCATCTAGTTGCAATCCTTATAGCCATATTTTCTTATCAAAATGATAAGTAGACCCACCCCTTCCTTGATTCTGTTGTTCCTACAGCTTAACTGCAAGTTTTACTATTGGACATAAAAATTATCTCTGAATATTGATAAAAAGGTTACAAGAAGAATGTGCCCACTGTCAGATCAAATTTACGAAAGATAGCATGTTGATTTGTCGTTTAAGCCAGATTGTCGTTAGAAGTTGGCAGTGCTCTTTTTATACAATACTGTAGTTTATCTTTTGAACTTTCACTTTATCTTTGCTTTGCTAATGTGAAATTATTTCTGTAGTTGAAGCTCAGTTTTTAAAATATTGAGATAAGAGAGAATATGGCCACACTAAAACCTCAAGTTGATCCTTACTAAATTTCCATTCAAAGCAATATTACTTTCAGCAATAAATAAATCCTCTTTACTTTTTCTCGAGTAATTTAGTTGAAAATTTTTTGCATTTAATGCTACTTCCACATTACTTTCTTAAGTTTGTTGCTTACTATATATTCTTGGAATCGAGTTTTTCTTTGCAACAAATTTTTTCTGTTTCACAGTTTATAATTGGCACTTTTTTTCTCTTTCAAAATTACATGTATTGAGGCACGTTTCTTCAAAATTGGCTTTTTGTAGATCTTTCCAACAACAATGGGGCTTTGTCAGGGGCTAATTGTTTCGTCATTTTTCTCAATTCGTAATTGCAAACTTGATCCACCAAAGAACCAACGATGCAACCATTTCAGCCGTATTTGGCACTCTTTCCAGTAACTGGGGCTCATCTTGCATTAATGATGCGTATTCTTCATGTAAGCTATCACCAATTTTAGTGAGCAATTTCGCTGTTTTGTATATTGCAGTTGCATCCATCGATAATTTTCTTGTTGCCATCTTCTTTACAAACCA